TTTTCGATGTCTTGTTGGAGGATGACATGATCACTGGGGTCATCTATTTGTCGGTACAGCAGGCAGTCATCTGCGAAGAGACGAACTTTGGATGTCACACTGGCTGGAAGGTCATTGATGTGGCAAAGGAACAGCAAGGGACCCAACACTGTCCCTTGGGGGACCCCAGAGTCGACCGGCACTTCCCGAGAAGCTACTCCTTCCAATACCACTCTCATTGTGCGTTGGGTGAGAAAGCAGGTTAACCACTGATGTAGAGGGCCCCTGATGCCGTAGTTGTGGAGCTTGTGGAGGAGTTTGTTGTGTGGGATGGTGTCAAATGCTTTACTGAAGTCGAGTATGGCAATATCAACTTGCTTTTTCTCGTCAAAAGATTTTTGTAGGTCATGTAGTGTAACTGTAAGTTGTGTTTCACAGGAATAGCCACGACGGAAACCATGGTTTAACTGTGTGAGGATTTGGTGATATTCAAGGTGTGAAATGATGTGTTTGTAAATGATATGTTCCAGTTGCTTACAGAGTACTGAGGTTAAGTCGGTATATAAGATAAATTAGAATATGAAAGAGATGTATAATTACATATTTTTTAATGCACCGAGGTTATGTAATTGGACAATAGTTTGCACAGCACGAATAGATTATATCGAAATCTGTTTTATGAGAAACCTGTTTTAACTGGTAACAAAATATCGTTGATAAGCTTAATCTTATGGAATATGTTTAACAGATGCACATCTTCTGTACGTGGAACTACCACAACACAGTAAAAAAAAACTGAAATAACTTATTTGTAATATGTTGGTAATTATGTGTATTTTTGAGCCGATTTTAAAACATCAAAAACATCTTTATGAAAATTGAGTAGAAATTTAGTTAAACATGCAAAGTTTCATGCTATGACTAGAAAAAAATTGTTTGGTTCGACTCATTGCAATTTCGGTTATTTGCATAACTATTTTTCCAAGTCAATAATACTAACTGGACAAATCTACGCAGATTGACTGATTTTTAGTTGCACCCAGCTGACCTGAATGGCTAGTCAAATGTAACTGGTTTCTAGTCAAATCTGACTACTGCTTTTTTTAGTAGTGTCGCACAAACCTTTTGTACTATGCTGTAAAAATTAGTGAGACAATCTATTTAGGGTGATATAAGTGGTACAATGGTGTTACAATTAGCTCTTGAATCTGTATTGCTGAATAAGTATTGTGTTGTGCATGCAGGGAGAAATAACGTACCATGCTGGTATATTAGACAAGCTGGTTTACCCGATCATAGATCGGGTAGGGGGTAGTGTTGGGGATGAAAATGTGGGGAGTTAAATGTAAATGGGGGATATAGTTGGGAAGACATGCAGAGAATAGCAATTTCTGTGGTGTGATCTGAGGCAATTTCTGATCACTAAAACCAATTTGAGCAAAAGATCATCTGTGAAAGTTTTGAGTTTTGAGTAATTGAATCAGCTACATGTATTCTGAGCAATAGAATCATTATTGTAGGCTACAATATTTTTATTCGGGGAAGAAAAAGTGTGGGGGGGGGGACCAAACAATGTCCCCCCTCAAAATGTGTGTGTGTGTCTGGGTGTTCCTGCATGGCATTACGCCTGAGGAGAGACAACAAAAGGAGCACAAAGGGGCCATTGATCCTCGAAGGAAGGTGCCTATTGTCCTCGAACGCAGGTTTGTGTGCTTAGTCTATGGGAGAGTGTTATATTACAGGGACAAAGGAAAACACAAAGCCAATCCTCGGAAGCATAGCAAAAAACGACGGTGTGTGTGTGGGTGTGTGTGTGTGGGGGGGGGGGGGGGGTTCCCCTGTCCCCGTCGATTTACGCACATGATAATTATGTACCATGGCAACTGTCTGTAAATGTTGCCGTTGGTCTGTTAAATTGGCTTTTTGTGAGGCAGTCGCATTTGGAAAACGTAGTGAAAAGGTTACTGTAGTACACAGGCGAAGGCTGGTTGTACAGTTTGACAATAAATCATAATGCAATAAAACGTGAAGGTGTCATTTAAAATGAAAATGTTGAGTGTTACCAAAAAATTACAAACGGTCTGAATCATGGAGGAAGGTCATAATTAAGTTTCAGTATTGGACTCTCCAACAAACGTAAACTTGAACTACTTACAATTTGCGAGACCGTCTGCGATTCAACTTTTATTCAAGTTGGTTCAACCATCTATATATAAGAGCAAGTTTTACTTGGCCTCCGAGAAATGTTTGCTTCTGAAAGGATCCGAGACCGCGGCTTCACGTCCGTGGAAAAATGAGGGTGTCTTCTTCCGGGTCGGACACTTTTTCGTCGATTTTTTTGTGACTTCGTTTTAAGATCGCGATATTTGAAGCAATTAATGCATCGATCCTTCGTTGACCCCAAACAGGCCCCCGAAATTATAACGCGACACTGAATTATACGTGGCGGGCAGCGAACTCACAACGCTCAGCCTTGGTGGTGGAAGCATGGAGCTGTAAACACATTATGGAAGCAACAGCACTCTACCACGCGACGTCACATGCTTGCGCTTCAAATAGCGAGCACCGTAGACCCAACCTCGTTTCCAGGGTGTGGAGCAGGCTGCAGTACGCGTTGCCATCGACAGTTTTGCATAGCCCGGAAATACTACGCAGTGTAGACTTTCGATTGGTCAGACCGCGCAAGGCATACTTAATGTGTAGTCCTTCTGAGTATTCGTTGCACACGGCGCAGGGGCGGCAAGCGAAGCGTATGAAAGAATAGGGGCACTTGGTGGCCACGCACCATGGAGAAAAAAATATTTTACCAAGGTCACCCCATAACACAATTTGGTGAACGCTTTTGCAGAACGGCTGAGTAGAACACGTAAACGGAACCCCTACGTTGACCTCGCTGACCTCGCACAGTCAAGACACGCAGAGAAGCCAGCACGGGGGGCGTCCAGGCAGTCAACGTGAAAGCGCACACGACGGCAAATTCCTGCGAAAAACGCAGTCACGAAAAATCGACGAAAAGGATCGCCGGTCCGTACGGGAAAATCAGGACGACCCGAAGTGTCCGACCCGGCGGAAGACACCCTCCGTATTTTTCCACGGACGTGGAGCGATTTTCGCGCAGCGGGAGCCCGCGGTCTGGGATCCTTTCATGAGCAAACATCGTCTCGGAGGCCGAGTTAAACTCTCTCTTATATATATAGATATATAGATTTATAATAGATTTTCGATGTCATTAGTCTTATAGTTGCTTGGGTTTGCAAGCTAGGTCTCAGCGGCGCCGTGGAACATTAACAGCTTTGAAAGGGGGACCAAAAAAGCAGTGCCGGCACCAACTGGCAGTTGCAAATTCGAAAAGCGGCGAGGGGGGGGGGGGGGGCCTGAACCTCAAACATCAATAAGGGCGCCCTTTTCTATGGTTGTCGTTTCGAGGAATGTAATTACATCCGGTCCCCAAAATCCCGCCATGCCATGCCAACTGCAGAGTATTATGTAGGCCTTCCCGATCGGACCGAAAACGATAATTCAATCCTGTTATTTCCAGAAACGGTGGAAAAAGTGGAAATATTGGGGGCCATGCATGGCCCCCTGCACCCGGTTCCGCCGCCAGTACTCAAGGGCGGATCCAGAACACAATTTTTTTTTGGGGGGGGCCTAAAAAAAATTTGGTCCCCCCAAAAAGTAGGTCAACAAAATTACGGCGTGGGGTTCGGGGCCCGCTTAAGGGCCCCGAAATTTTTTTGGATTCTAGATGCTCTGTGGTGCGATCTGAGGCAACTTCTGACCACTTTAACCAATGTTTTTTTGAGGAAAAGATGGTGGTGTACTCATTGCCTGCCTTTATTGCGATGTCACATAAAAAAAAAAATTGGTTTCGTTTTGGAGGGGGGCATGGCCCCCTTTGGCCCCCCCCCTGGATCCGCCCTTGCCAGTACTAGGGTTTCCCAAGGGCAAGGTGCTACCATACCATGTACGCGCCCTAAATGAATAATTCTCTGGCATTCCTTGCTATGACTATAAAAAGGTAATACGGAGCTCTTACCTTTCAAAATAATTACGATGTGTTGGTATTCTGTAATGTCTAGCTAGCGCGCAGAAGTCACGTATCGTGCCGTTCGTGCGACCCTTCAAGAGGCTTGGTTCAACCGCGGCTCTGAACACGTCAATATCTGATAGTGATACTCAGTCAAGCCAAATTGCCAATGTGACATTGGCTTATTACTACGCGCAGCGCCCCCAACTGGCCTAATACTCTGGTGAGAATACCGAATTGGCGAAACGCTGGTGTATAGGTAACTTGTCCAATTGAAGCTTTTGCCACATATACCACAAACATTATTGTTTATTTTTAGTGTGAACCATGTTGTGATATAAACACTTCAAGGCCGAGTACGGAGGACTAGTAAATAACAATGCAGTGTTGCCAACCCTCTTTGTAAAATTGTTGACAAACCTCAAATTCATGAAGTTAAATCTGGAACTTTTACCCTTATTGCTTGTCGTTGAATATGTTTGAACAATTATTTTAGTGTCATGAAATGTACATGTATAGGTCGTCGTTCGACATCATCAACCATAAACAATTCACTCTTAAAACAGCCCCAGAAACTGTCAAATATTTCACCTCAGATATCAGTAATGAACGAGAATGAATGAAAGTGAAATTTCAAGTTTAAACTAGCACTTCCAAGGCCGGATCCACAACACACTGATTCTTTGGGGGAGGGACCAAAACATTTGTTCCCGCCATGGGTTCAAACATTTTTCCACCCCAAATTTAATATGAAAAGCAAGGCGAAAGGGTATAACTAATGTAGTACTTTTGTTGAGTTTGGTGGTTGGTGTACGCAATAGCAGCCTGTTTTTTTGCGACGTTACTAAAAAACAAAAAACAATTGGGTTCGTTTGGGAAGGGGGGGGGGGCGTTGGCAACTTTGGCCTCCCTTCATATGTTTTGTGCAACCAATTAGCTGACGAGCGCCCTCCATGATCTGCGCACCAACTTTATGAATCAAGCACTACTACGTACATGTAGCATTAGCACTGCACTACTGCAGACCAAAACACGTTCGTTGTGTTCATCTTCCTAAAGTTCCTAGATGTAGTTCATGTGCTTCGTTTGATTCCTCGGGAAATGCGACAACAGCCTTTGCACCCTAGTCGAAGTGCACTCATGAAGAGGACATTTGTACCAATAACTTTTTTGCCGCTATAAAACATTAGATTTGCCTCATCTTTACAGAACTCGAGTCGAGACGATCGAACCGAACCCATCCCGTCTGAGTGACAATCTATGAATGAGCAACCGGAACTGAACGTTGTGCGGTATGCCACAGCCGAATGACTGAATTTCTTCCCTTCTGATGACTCAGTTAGTCAGGTAATATCGGAAACTAACCTCACATGTTCCTAGTAATCCTTTAAATCTGCTCCACTCCTGTAAAAAAAAAACCTCATTGTGTCCGTACTTTTGTGGCGACGACCCTTTGTAATCGAATGTATTGTGGTTTCGAAGCATTATTGGCCGAGACCCCCCCCCCCAGTAGAAATAAAATAATTAGTTTCTCGTGCGGCCTTTTGGAAAAAAATAACAAAGCCAGCGCTTTTTTTGTGTGTGTGTATTCTTCAATTTTGTCAAACCTGAAAAAAATGATAAATTTAATAATGATCTTTTTCGGGAAAAAAAGTCGTGCTTTTAGACTCAGTAAAACTAAAAGCTTGTATGTCATTTCCCGAGTCCAAGTGACGGCCATTTAAAATAATCTGGCAGCCATCTTGAAAAAGAGCGTGGCCAGTCTTTTTGGAAAAAGGGTCTCCTCCTTATCTTGTTTTTTAAAATAGGCAGGACGCTAAACTTTTTTTTTTCTATTTGGCCTAAGACAAAATATTGACAACATTGAAGATAGTATGTATGAAATAGTTTTAAACAAACAAAGCGACAGCCGGAAAAATGGTGAGAAACTAGTCTATTTTTTTACTTGGCCTTGGTATGATGGCAAAAAGATCTGATTGTCGGGGTCATGCTGCCATATTAAATATTGTGATTGGAAAGAGCGCATGCATAGCAGCTACCAAAGTCTGTCAACGGGACGGCATAACACTCTAAACATAGAACAAGGAATGCCGGCAAATTATAGTATTCCTCTGTGTCTATGACTAGTATGACTGCCTCAACCTCTGTATGAACTTACTGCTCTGCCTAGCCCGGGGGATCGAGGTAAGCTGATGGTGTAATTTAATGATGTCGTCCAAAGTTATTCAATCTGCTTCCTGATTTCCCAGCCGCTGGCACAATGGAGAAAAGTATTGCGATATGTCATTCACAGAAATACTGTATAGTCGTGTTCCCTAAGGGGCGCACTTCGAAGCCTACCCAACTTTCCTCGTGTAGTGTTGCCAAACCTCTTTGTTGACAAACCTCAAATTCATGCAATAAAATACTAGTACTTTTACCTTATTAATCCGTGCTATTTAACCTCTGTGAACAATTTCGGTTTCATAAAATTTAATCCGAAATTCAAAAATGGTGGCGTCCGGAAATTGGGCACTAATTCGCAGAGTGTTCCTAACGTGGCGCACTTAAATAAATCTCGAAAAATTCCAAATTAACATTTAAGAATTTCTGTTAACTTGATATATTCTGATAAATCATTATTATTTCTACTTACATACCCAGCCAGATGTTTGTCAGAAAATTATTTTCTTATGTTCGGGGCATTTTCAAAGGGTTCACTTTGCACTTGAAAATAAAATCGGAAAATCACGCCAAAATAAATGTTTTTTCTAACTTTGTAACGGGTAAATAAACTCGCGATTTATGAATGGGAGTGTTTAGAACTTGATGAAATAGCAGTCACTTTATGTGAAATTTCAGTTAAAACTTTTACTCTAGCTTGGCGCTACAGGCAAAAAATCAAAGTGCGCCACGTTGGGGGACGCGCCATGTTAGGGTACATCAACAATACATTGTGTATGCAGGCTTTCAAGAATTCCTACTTTTCCTGCTTTTTCCTAGTATTTTTTTACTGTGCTCCTATTTTTTTCCAACTTTTGTGTTCCACAACTGGAAAATGAAATCATTAAATAATTTTCATACACTGTCGTGTTTATGTTTGTCACACACTGTCATAAATCACACAATGATGAAGGATTAGGGCGCAGGAGTACTGCAACTGTATTCAGTGGCGCAGCCGGGGGGGGGGGGGGGGGGCCTTGAGCCCCACCCAAGAGGTTGTAAATTTCTTTTCTTTTTTTCTTTTTTTGTAAAGTTTTTTGGTAATCCCATGATTTGACCTTGGTGATATGTAAGTGGCCTATTTTCGAGGAGTATAGTAAGGGTGTACGTGACGCCACCAATGACATTCCCCCCCCCCCCCCCAATTTTTTTTTTTTTTTCCGCGGCCAAAAATTTTTGGGCAAAGTTTTGGGCAAAATTTTTTGAAAAAAAAATTTAACTGAGCTAGACCCCCCCCCCCTTGCGCCACTGACTGTGCTTCTATAATTAGCTTTGAACATAAACAATTTTTTGTAAAGATCTTGAAATTCTGAAAAATGTTGGTCTAATCAGATCATAGATCATTTCTTCAACCATGCACCCAAGGGATAAGGGGTTATAAGACCAATGAACAAGCCAACTCTGGCTTGTCATGTGTACATGTAGAACAGATGCATGAAAAGACTTCCTGTCAGTGTGAATACACCATTTTTAATGATTTCTGCGACCAGCCTTACTGACTTGTCTTGTTTTTAATTAGAGACATGACTTGATTGATTCCAGCCAGCTGTCGAAGGATGTGATTTAGACTTGAACACTTGAAGATGTGATAAATTGCGACTTTTTTTTTTACAAGACAGACAAGGTCTTTGGCAAGTTGAATTTTCACATGAAAATTAAATTCATTGATAAGCTTTTGCTGAAATGTGTGCAGTAATGACGGCCATCATTAAAAGAAGAGCTGGCAAGCCAAGTAATGCTGGTCCCAGAGTGCACAGACTTTTAGTCATCTGATTCAGAATGAATGTTTACTGGAAGTCTTTTCATGAACGTCACGGTGGCCGACATATCCGGCCGGACTTAGCCCATTCATTGGCATTCCAGGTAGTCCTATTATTGTGGCCGCGGTGAGTCAATGAGAAATGCAGTACAATTATAGAAACTAGGACTAGATGACGAGATACGTACTAGACACAAAGAGTCAAACACACGGGAATCAAAAACCAATTTCTTTATTGAATTTGAGAAAATTGTAGGACTTCGCACAGAAAGTAACACATTATCCGGACCGTTCATTCAATATGGTAGTCTGGTATTCCAACTGCATACTGATTCACAGAACAAGACTTGACAATTTTTACTTCAGAGAGTAAACATGACAGATGAAAAGGACAGGGTATTATTTGTACAAAGTTAGAGCATTTACAGAGAACACCTAATCCAAACTTTTTGAAAGTTTGTGCTGACTTCAGAACAAGACAGTTTACTCGCAAACTTATGTTTGCACGCATTCAGCGAATTGTTTATCCCAACAGGAAAATTGCCAGTTGAAATACCAAACTTGCTTATTTCCAGAACTTTTTGTTAATTGACAATCTTTTCCCTGCTACATGTGTATGTATGTAACCAACCATTTCTTCTGTTGCAGTATAGTAACACCTCCCCTTTTTTTGACCAGATTTCTTGTAGTGTTCAACTTGATACACCCATCTCCAGATAGAAAGATGTGCCCGTTCAGCTGGTTTGCGAGCGCTACAGTTTTCATCATTACATGTCTAACGGTCGTTCCCATGGTAAATGGCCAATTCAACATCACAGGTGTGTACAACTGCAATTAATTTCTTGATTAATTAATCTCCGATTTCAAAAAAATAAAAATATAAATGCAGCAAGCATAAGAATGAAAGTAATGATTATTGCAGAAGTTGGTGCAGTAAGGTCATTGCAGATATATCTGTGGATACAAATTGGAGTTTTCGAGGACTTTTCGAAAGGTATATTGCCCAGGTATATTCTGTGTGTGAATATTGCCATCTATGGTCAAAGGCCAAAATTCCTTCTTAAAGCTAGAGTCCATCATTTGCAGCTATCCGAAAAGTAACTGGCGTAATTATTGCTGAAAAACATTCTCGGTTGAAAGATAGTAAGGTGACTAAACTCCCTGTGAAATTATTCTCTCTGGCAAGCTGTCATTTTGAAGAAATCAACAAAAGAAGGCCTTTCCAACGGTGCTTCTTAAGACGCACCATAGGAAATTTTAATTAGTAGTTCTTTTTGTTAATCGGTGAAGCGCGCAAGCATTTGCCTGACGTACACGCGTGCGCGGTTGCTATAATTCGTCGGATCAGTGCGCGACATCGCGTAGCTGCAATCAGCTTAGTGAGAACGTGTATCGGACACTGAATTCAGCCCCAATTCAAAACATGATTCAGCAAATTTTAATTTGACATCGAGATCCTAGAATGCTGTTTTTCTTGGAATACACAGCTGAAGCTGAGCTGAAACATCGTCAGGTTAGTTGTTCAGTACCCTTCTTTAGATTTTGAGCATGTTTGTTGCTTCAAACGAACAAAATGCATAAATTACAAATGATGGACTATACCTTTAAGTGTGAGAGTCGTTCACATTATAACCTGTGCATGCCTTTCAACTGTCAAAACCTCTTAAAGGGAATATACAACATTTGCAAACATCGAAAAATAAAACTACCAAGTTTTTACGAAATACCTTACTAGGATGTTGGTAAATGACAGTCTAAAGCATCCTGTAAAATTATGGCACCTGGTGTGAAGTCATTTTCAAGAAAATGGAATTTTTGTATCTGTTTCCAGCGGTGGTCGGCTGACCACCGTTGGAAAAACCAAACTATTGTGCAACTACTGCTCAAAATGTACCATTATTTATTCAGTTCAAATTTTGTTTGCTATTGGTACTTATATATTCATGAACGGGTGCAGGCCAGCTAGACTTGTTCCATTACCTTACAATTTTCCGGCATCTGGAAATTGATCCATTTTATCTTTAGTGGAGTCAGGGAACCAGACTACTTGAACGTTTTTTGTTTTTCTTGGTTTTTCCAGCATTTTCGTAGAAAAAACTTCAAAAATGTCAGTGTAACAAAATTTGATCTATCATACTAACCCCTCAAATAGTTCATTTCTGAAAATTACAGCAAAAGCCAATGATGTACATTCCCTTTAACTTCATGTACAACATGGTTGTTGTGAAGTGTTCAAAGTCCTCATTTATGACTCCATTGAGACGATAGCAAAGGTCTACATTATCATAACCTTCTGTGCCCCATTGAACACACATACAGCAATCAAACAGTTCGGGGGGTGAATAATAAATTACCGTGATCATAATGGTATATCATGTATGACATGTACACGTATTCATTGTGCTCATATGGAAAAAGAGATTACATTACACACGCCAAAATCTTTATTGCAATACAATCTTACCTGTGAAGTTCATAATAATCGAAGTTTAGCAGTATTTATTTATATTTAATTCTTATTTAAACTGGGAAACACATTCAGTGGAATCCGCTGGGCTCTCATGGGGCCCATACAGTAAAGAGAAGACAATGTGAAGAATTTACAGTTTAAGATGTGGGAGAAAAACACCAGAAGAATATTCTAAAGAAAATTTACGGAATCAAGTAGGGACTGAAAGCCCAATCCACATACAATGTATTGGCCCCGGCGGGAATCGAACCCGGGTCACAGCGGTGGAAGGCTACGCCAACCTGACTACTCAATATGAATGCAGCATGGCATTGCAAAAGGCTATAGTAACACTTCAGATGTACATTGTACATACTTTGTAACAATATTTGAAAATTTGCCCCAAAAATGCAACCAATGGGTGTTCAAGAGATACCAGAAACTACTCTGGGTGAAACCAGTGGGATGGGGGGGGGGGTGCTGGGGCATTTGTAGGAATGGGGTTGCCAAATTTAGGACCAAACCAGTTCTTTAGGAGTTGGTTTTCATGATTGTCTGTGACTTTCCAGGCTTTGAAAATTTTGAAAGCAGCTATTTTATACAGCTTCACTTATTTACAGAGCCTGGCAGACGGACGCACATCTATGGACAGGATTTTGTGGCGGTGATACCCCTGACTACTGGTTTGCCAGAAAGCGGTTCATCTCTTCAGATTGCTTGTGTTTCATGTCAAAGGTACAAATGATTCCTCACTTTCGTAGATTAGAAAACCATTTTCGTGCATTTAACCCTCCTATGCAAACATGCATTCTGAGCTATGCTGTTACTTGGGTGAAAATTGGTCAAGTGACCATTGGTGTGTGAAAAGTATATGAGGGGAAGTGTAAGAAAATTTTGACTGTTTGTGACCATTTATACAGCAGGGGGGTTAAAAAGTGCTTTTCAGGAGATACAAGAAAGAGTAAAATGTATTTGCTGAAGGCAGTGATTTTAAAACCATTGGCCGACAATTTTTGACATCTTTGTTTCATATTTTAAAATTTTTGTTATCATTCTTACAGTTCATCTGCCACAGTTCGCATCACCTTTCTACAAGGAAACTTTTCTGAAAATGTTACCGTTCAGGCTACATCTCCACACTTTGTTCCTCTAAGCATTTTCGAACTTGAACCCTTGGCAACTACAACACCACCAACGCCGGCTATGTTTAACATCACAGCCGATGAAAACATAACCGTGACAGTCCTTGTCAAGATTGCTGGTACCCTGAATGCGTACACCGCTTTCCCCGTAGACTCCCTGGATGGATATTACATCGTAGCTTCTTATGGAATGCACGATGAAGATGTGTCAGAACTCACCGTCATCGCTACTGAACCAGAAACACATTTTAATTTGCACCCATACAGTGATGTCACCATTCTCGGTCATGAGGATTTGCCAGCAACGGCACAAATTCAGCGAGGAATTGGGGGATGGGTGACGTATCAGACAAATGACAGCTTCATGGGGGGTCATCTGCAAGAAGTGACAAACAAACCACTCATTGGCATTGTAGGAACACACCGTGCATCCGCGGAGTATGGTTGGGCTCAATCACTAGATCAGCTGCACCTGCTAGTATCCTTAGGGACAATGTACGCTGTAATGCCAGTTGCTGGAAATCATCTCCGAAACATCTTCCGCATTGTACCCGTCTGGGAAAATACCAACATCACTTGGATTTCATGGCATCAGTCAAGCGGGAAGTATCGTCACGAAAGCTATATACTCAACAGTGGCCATGTTTTGGATCTTACCTTTGATTCCAATAAAATCGGGCAAATTCAAGGCTCCAAACCATTCCTGTTGCTCCACCATATTCAATTAGGGACACCCGTTGTGGACACCGCACTGGTAACCGTACCACCAGCAGAACAGTTCACGCGTCAATCTTTCACATTCGCAACGTATGAACTGCCGGACATAGAAGTAGACACCTACATCACCACATTGGCGCCTTGCAAGTATTTTGAACAGATTTCTCTCAAGAACATGGCTGGTTCTGCCTCTGTTTTGGATTTTGAGAAGACCTCAGGCACTGAAGATGGGTTGGAGTACTGCGGGTCAATCAGACAGCTGGAGTCTGGTGTATACACGATAGGTCTATATCCACACAGTCCATCAGAAGCTGTGTACTCCGCCATACTCTACGGCAAGACAGCATCTGGCGTCTTTTCTTACATCCTTGCCTCTGAACTCAACCAAGTCACTTGTAGTGTAAAGGACACAGAACCTACTCTTTGCCATCCTCCAACAGTGCCCATCCAGCCTGCATCAACTGTCCAAACTCAAACTGTAACTGACATGACTGATGCAACTGATGTAACGATTGAGACTTCAACGACCCCTAACAAAGATAAGAGCACTGGCAATGGCACAGGTAAGCTTAAGAATTGTTCTCAAAATAGATTTGGGAAGAATCAATGAACCTACGTACCCCTTAGTAGTAAAAACAAAACAAATAAAACAAGAGCTATGTCTGTTCGATGAACAGAACATAGGGCTTTTCCGTATTTTTTCTTTTCTTTTTGTGTCCATATGCAAGAACATACCATAGTTACAGGACTAACTTCTCCACATATAGGACTTTAAAATTTACACCTTTTAACATGATCCACGTCACATGTACCGCGATGACATCATCGTAACAACACTTGTCAATGCACATGTTTTCATTGTGGTCTTGATGTGCACCAAGTGTGACGTCAATCCCATGAAAGAAAGTGTAAAATTTTGTAAGCGGAATAAAATCTTAAATATTAAGAAAATCATAGAAGTAACTTCCGGTCTGATTACGCCATGAATTTGAAACCTTGCCAAGTTACAAAATGTATCTGTGGTTAATCAAAGATCAAGGGGCGATTTGGTAAAATTTGAACGGATGGTTTTCAAATTAAAGAAAGCAAACACTAGGCCTATTTTATGTGCTGCTAGGGGGCGCCCTTTCGAAAGATGACCACACTGTTTTTGTGTCTGGCATTCCTCACTTAACACTTTCATAATTTATATGTGTGACAAAATGCTTCCGGTTTCGGTTTCTATTGCACTTCCAGTAACACCTGAAGTAAAGGTCAAGCGGTTTTGTGTCCGGGGACAAGAAATGTTTCTCACGGCATAGTCTACAAGCTCATGAAAAAACAAGCATGATTCTCTTTTTAGTTCAAAGGATAGGCCTATAGCGCAAACTATTTTGTGAAAATTTGCCCTTAAATGGCTTGTAATTTGATACCTGATGACATCATAATGACGTAACGAAATTTACGTCACATGGTACAAGTTCACACTATGTTTTATGATCATACCGTAAACTGTTTCGAAGAAATTTTGCTTTGTTTGATTTCAGGCTAAAGTATTCACTTTGACCTTCCGGTTGACCCCGAAACTTGCCAAGCTATAGACCATGTACGCGACCAAAAATGGTCTTTCTGATTACAGAATACAAACATCATCGATTACTTTGTTCAAGAGTTATAGGTGAAAGTAATTGGTCACTATTTCAGAAAACATTGCTTGTAATTTGACACCTGATGACGTCATCCTGACGTCAGAGTAATATGCAACACTCGGGATGAGGGTCCACATACGTTGAAAGTTACAAGTTCATATCATAAACCGTTTGGGAGAAAACCCGCGGAGAAGTGCTGTACAGGAAAAAAAGAAAGATTAATCAGAACAATAATAGACAGTGGTTGGGTTGTGCCCGACCACTCAAAACCGAACATTACTGACGGGCATGATGGACAATATAAAACACCAATTTACCTACATGTACATTGTACGTGTATGTGCTTATCCCATTTCTCTCATTGGGGACGATTGGGACACATCCTCACCCCTGCTCCAGGCCTGTGCCTTTGACAACCCCCAGCCCCCCCCCCCCCCCCTGCCATTCCACCCTGTACTTTTTATACCCCAGTTAAGCCATCGTCGGAGTGCAGGGAGAGTCGGAATGATCTGGACCCAAGTTCACCATTTTTTTGTGAAAAAAAGAGTGTTTCGTATGATTGGTTATTACCGGTACCTTGTCTTCAACAGGAATGTTGAATTTTTCAAATTAGCGGCTGTGGTGTGGCGACAGAAACCTTGTCGCCCCCCACTGAGATTTTGAGTTTCTAAAAAAATTATCATTGATCTACATGACGCCCCCCCCCCCCTGAAATGTTCCAGCGCCCCCCTCATGAAATGTTCCAGCCCCCCTCAGCGCCCCACTGAAAAATTCCTGGCTACGCCACTGCTTGCTGTGTACAAAAGTATAGGAGATTTCCAAAGTTCAGCTTTTTTACACCTTTTTCAGCTGTTTTCAGCTATTTTTCTCAGTGGTCACTCACACCCCTGTGATATACATGTACACACATACATGTGCCGGTACTCTGACTGTGTGCCAAATGCCATGCTTATATCATCAAAGGCACAATTCCCCCAAACATTTCTATTATCTAAGCTTTAGGCCTACTGCTATTAATCCTTGATGAAGCCACAAAAACCAAAACAGAGCACAGGGGCAGTTTGAGGCGGTATAAGGACTAACAGGCAGGGGCCAATTTCATAGAGCTGCTTAAGCACAAAATTTGCTTAAGCACAAAAAAAAATGCTTAGTAAAATCAGGATACCGGCCAAAACTCCATGCGATTGTTATGCCAAGTAAACAACAGCTAAATACCAGTCACAAGCAATGTACATCGCATGGAGTTTGGGCTGGTAACCTGATTGTATTAAGCAAGGTTTTTTTGGTGCTGAAGCAAATTTTGTGCTTAAGCAGCTCTATGAAATTGGCCCCAGGCAGGGCACTTGGGGGGTAAAGGGGCAAATGGGTTATGTAGGCTGATTGTTGACCATCTGTTTTAATGTTTGTCTCATCCTGCAGTTATTGGAGTGGTCATTGCAGTCGTCAGCATCGTTGTAGGATTGATCATTTTTGGTTGCTGTCTATTTAAACACAGATTGTAAGTGATTTCCTGTTGGCAAGTATCCAACTGACCTTTTCTTGTAGCGGCCATCTTAGAGGGCATCTTTTGATATTTTTTTAATTCAGTAACAATGAATACACAAAAGGTTCACTCATGCATATCCCAGCAAAACAAAACAAAGGCATTGCCCTCTAAGATGGCTGCTACGCATAAAGTCAATACATTTTGATGTAACCATATGTAAAGAAGTTTTCATTTTTTTCTCATCACAATTGTCAAATTTGTTCACTGTTTCTACTTTTGACATGAGCTTAAACAGACCAGAATATCGGAAGGTCTCTTCCAAAATAAAATACAGCCTAGCTGCCTCAAAAAAAATGATACAATCGAAAACGATTTTTTTTTTTTTCAGTATTAAATCTCAACATAAGTAAGTCATTTTGAGCATCACATTAAAGAAAAAAGACCAGGCTTTCCAATACTTTTTGTTTCATCTCATTTGCTTTTGTCAATCCAGAGATAACTCCAGTTTACAGAACACAAAAATCGAGTTTGTGCCACAGTACTCGAAACAACTCTGCCCATGGATGCATAAAAGTGGCACAAAATCGATTTTGGTGTATCGCACTAAATTGATTATATCTCTGAATTGACAAAAGCAAATAAGATCACACAAACACTATTGGAAAGCCCATTCTTTGTTCTTTAATATTATGCCAAGTAAGAATGACTTATTTTGAAATTTCATATTTAACAATTTTTATGCCCCGCGGCGAAGCCGAAGGGGCATACTGTTTCCGCCTTGTCCTTCCGTGGGTGGGTGGGTGGGTGGGTGGGTGTGTGGGTGTGTGTGTGGGTGGGTGAGCTTGTCTTACATACGCAGTGTGGACTTCCGAACAAAAGACGTCTACATAATGTAGGTAGCAGCGACGAAGTGTGGACTTGCCCACGTCCACACAGTGTTTCCCCATTTCTGGAAAACAGGTTTAGAGGCATTTTTTGGGTTAGGTTTATCTGTAGCAGAATGAAGAGAAACACTAAAGGGAATCATTGAAAAAAAATTGGGTTGTAAGAGTTTTCACAGTTTGAGAAAAATGAGTTTTTCCACTGGTGTTCCTTAACTACACGAAAAGAAAGGAAAGTCCACACTAGGTATGTGAAACAAGTCTGGGTGGGTGTGTGGGTTTGTGTGTCCGGACAAATCTTGTCAGCACGATAACTTGAGAAATACTTAACATATGAACTTCAAATTTGGTCTGTGTATTGTTCTTGGTAATCCTAAGAGGCCTATTGCATTTGGGGCCGAAAGGTCAAGGGTCAAGGTCACAGTGGCTGAAACAATAGAAATTTTGTCAGCGCGATAACTTGAGATATACTTTACATATGAACTTCAAATTTGGTTTGTGGATTGTCCTTGGCAATCCTAAGAGGCCTATTGCATTTGGGGCCGAAAGGTCAAGGGTCAAGGTCACAGTGGCTGAAACAATAGAAATTTTGTCAACGCGATAACTTGAGAAATACTTTACATATGAACTTCAAATTTGGTTTGTTGATTGTCCTTGGCAATCCTAAGAGGCCTATTGCATTTGGGGCCGAAAGGTCAAGGGTCAAGGTCACAGTGGCTGAAACAATAGAAATTTTGTCAGCGTGATAACTTGAGATATACTTTACTTATGAACTTCAAATTTGGTTTGTGGATTGTCCTTGGCAATCCTAAGAAGCCTATTGCATTTGGGGCCGAAAGGTCAAGGGTCAAGGTCACAGTGGCTAAAACAAAAGAAATTTTGTCAGCGCGATAACTTGAGAAATACTTTACATATGAATTTCAAATTTGGTTTGTGTATTGTTCTTGGTAATCCTAAGAAGCCTATCGCATTTGGGGCCGAAAGGTCAAGGGTCAAGGTCACAGTGGCTGAAACAATAGAAATTTTGTCAGCGCGATAACTTGAGAAATACTTTACATATGAACTTCAAATTTGGTTTGTGGATTGTCCTTGGTAATCCTAAGAAGCCTTTTGCATTTGGGGCCAAAAGGTCAAGGGTCAAGGTCACAGTGGCTAAAACAATCGAAATCTTGTATTTATTCTGAGATCATAGGGATTAGGGATTAATTCATATAAAACCTACAGAAGACACTAATGCTGTCAATGAACATTCCATGTGACCAAGGTACATGTAAGTTGATGTTAAAAGAGTGGTGTTATGTCATGGGAACAGTCACGGTTGCGGGGCATTTGTGTTTGTAAACACACCTGACTTGTTTTTTTCTGATTGTACCATTTTTGAGACAGGCTGTACAGTAAACTCCGGCTAAGTCGGCACTCTCAGGACCTGAGAATTTGTGATGACTTAAGCGAATCCAGACATCTGCTATAAGTCGTCATTTTGCTGACTTACATGAATGGCCTTTTTGCACACATGATTCATTGCACTAATTGGCTTTGATTTAACCTGGCTTATCTCCTTAATGCTTGAGTTGAATCCAGCAAATTAATCCTCGAATTTTATCATCACGTTTGGGGTATTGATAGTGGAGACCACGTGTACAAAATAGTAATACATACATGTACGTGCACAGTTACGAATTAAATGCGTGCGTGGTGTACCACGCACACATTGACGGCAGCAGTGGTATTGACTGCATCATTCAATAAGACGACCCCCAAAATGGACAGAGCGCATGCGTACAGACTAGAGGGGGTACTGGTATTGATATGCTCATGATGCATATGAGATGTATGCGGTAGGAAACCCTTTTGCGACACCGATGCATGCAGCGATCATGGGCCGTGCCAAAACACATTACACTCGACACTTCATGCCAACCGCAGTAGGAAGTCGATGCCAATGCGTGATTTTTTGAAAGCCGAGTTACACAAAGGATTTTGTGTAACACGACGACTTGAGCGAAATAGCGACTTATAAAAGCCGACTTAGAAATAAAAAATTCAATGGAAGTGCATCACAGACAATTGGGACTTTAGTCAGACAGCCGACTTGAGTGATTTGACGAGTTGTCATGATGTCGGCTTGGCCGGAGATTACTGTTATAAAAACACCATGGGTTCAGGCTTAATGCATGGGTCTATTTGTGACCAGCTTCAAGTTTAGCAATTATTTTTTTTTTGCAAAACATTACTGCACTGTTGCCAACATATCAAAAGGTTGCCACGTCATCTGGTCATAGCTGGATGGAATATCATTATGTCCGAAATCTTATTATGTTTCATTTCAGTGGGCGCTGGAAGCGCTTAGACGAGTCGGAGTATTTGGAGGATAATCCCCTCAGACAAAATGTCAGAATGCACACCATAACCGATGCAGTGTCTGATGGATTGTGAATTGGTATCAACTTAGAATCTAAGCTTTTTACATATGTACAACTGAAAGTAAAACACTTTATTTCAGTTTGAGAAGGTTCATTTGACACTTGCTTTTTGTTTTAAGGATGCTAATCGTTCCTTATGTTTGTTTTTTTGTTTGTTTGTTTGTTTGTTTGTGGGGTTTTTTGGGGGGGGGTGGTATCAGCACCTACTTGTTAGATGTTTGTCTTATGGAACTACTACATAATCCAAACATAGAATTAAAAAGGCAGTGAGATAAAAAGGTGATTTGTTTATTAACGTAAATTATTAAAAAAAAAAAAAAAAGGGGTGTTTTTTTTCATCAATTATTTCGCAATCTCTTCATCAGTTTCTAAGAACTACAGAACCATCCGCAGAGGACCCTATCAGGAGTTATTTACTTCCAATATGCATTTTGGACTCTTGGATGCTGTCATGTTATTGGTCTAGAACGTTATCTGTAAACCATATACATTGTACACTGTGCTGCCTGTAAAAAATAATTCCAATCATATGTTGCGTGCACTTGAGGGGTGGGTGTGTGTATAGCACGTGTGCCTCACAACAGAGAACTGCAATCTATAAAATCTCATGTCTTTCAGGAAAGCTCAAAGAAATCCAAAGGTTATTTAATTTTAATGTCTTGAATTGCGAGCTAAAAACCTTTAACTTTTTGACACAATAAAACAATTGTTGACTGTTTTGACGTGGGATATGGGGTTTTTAACACCAGAGAGGTGCACACATGTAGCATCCGAGGCGTGCCACAACCTCATTAAAATGACTGTCCCCAAACGTAATTGTCACACTGTATATTAACCCTAACCACCCCAACTCCATCAAAATCCATCCCCCATTTTGGTGTATTTTGGGGACTTAATTGGTCCAGAAAGCCTGGCTTGACTAAATAAAGATGGAGTATAATGGACTTGGGCCTAATGGCCTGAAGCAGTGCTTGGGGTATCCGATTGATTTTGCCTAGCTTCCTGTACTGCTATTGTAATAAAAGCCATATTTAGCAAGTCCATGAATGTCAACCAGTTCGTCAGTGGTGGATTCCATTATGTCATGTTCAGCTTTGTATTGGACGCACAGTGATTGATGGATTTTGATGGACTTGGTCCAGTTCCTAGTAAAAGCCAATACATGTAGGGAGTTAGGGTTAATACATTGCCACAGTCATAATGTACATTAACTGTTTCATGTCTTTTGAACGCGTTTCATAAAATGTTTTGAAAATATGTTTCTTATCGCTGTGCATATACATGTATTAGTTCTGCTTTAACTGTTTCCCTTTTTTGCTTTGATCTTTGTGCAATATTTTCAGACTTTGTTAGATTTGTTGAATAATTTGAGACATCAAGCTTTGGTTTTTTTTGCCTTTTGGCATTGTGGTTTTCTTATCAATCAATCGATAGAACTTGGATTTTATGTACATAATTCGTCTGAAATTGTACTTATTGTTACTTGTAAATTAGCTTATAAAAATCATAGAAAAAAATAGTGATTTTTAAAAAATATTTCATATTTTCCTAACAAAAATTTTACCAATATTGCAATAGTAAAAGCAACTCTTATTTGTTAATCCTTTTATTGTGAAGTGCCCTTGACCTTTTTTCAAAAGAAATTGTAGTAATATGTTACCTTTTATGTAAATGTTTCACACTTATTTACATGTAGTATTTTACATGTACATGTACTGGTAAGTCTATATGCAAAATGTATATAATGACTTCTGATAAAATTAAGAATTTGTAACAGGTGTACAGTATTATATATTAACAAAAGTTACAATAATCAGCACTATTTTGGTGGATTCTTCTCAATCATGTCAATTTCTTTCAAGAATCATGATCTTTTTGTTTTTAAAGAATGATGGCCTATTTCAGTGGATAACTTTTCTAATCGTTAAGTTCAAACATTGTACATAATGTAATTACAATGCTATACCATGTATACAGACCTATGGGTCATTTTATATATTTTTTAGGGTCCAAAGCGTGACTTTTTTCTGTCCCCGTTACCTTAATACTTTGTAATTTGCCATCAAGTGAAGAACGACTTCAAATGATTTTTGTTATTTGTTGGGTAGGTAATTTGCTACATTAACACTGCACTAAAGGATTGTATCAGAATTGTAAAATTACAGGTGTCGGATGTAACAAAGACAGGAAATACGTGGACCCACATTTATGGAATGACCCATATGGGCGTCCCTTTGTATTTCTTTGGTTCTCATTTCCGACCGACCCTATTTGGGCCCCGACCAAAGAAAAAGTTACCTTTTTTTTTAATGCCACCGACCCTGTCTGAAACACCATTTAACAAGAAAATAACTAACATATGAAAAAAAAGTAATGAATGAGACAATCAGGCTCTGTGATCTGAAAACTTTTTGAAAAAAAACGAATTCCAGATTTTTTTCTGCGATGTAAAGCTTATTGCAGCCGTTGGAATCCCAGAAAATGTGAGGATGTTGCCTCTCATCACTGAACGGTGTATCTACAGTATAACGATACTGATGTATGTTATGGCTGCCATTTGAGTGGCTCAGAGTGGAATGGGAGGAATTACTTTAGCAAGGTACAAATGTTTATCTGGAATTAGCCGAGTGAAATGGAAAAGTCCAGATTTTATCGAGGTGTAATATTCCTCCCATTTCACAATTTAAAGCCACTCAATATTTGGTTAAATACAACTGACATATAGATCCTTGTCATTTGATTTACAGTTAAAATGAACTTCTGTTTTAATTACAAAATTGGTGGGAAATGTATTTCTCTCTTGCAAACCACCCTTCACGAAATGTTTGAATTCAACTCTGTAGCTACTGGCTCTTGGGTACAATATGCACAACGCGCACACCAGCATGCATTTGCACACAGATACCGCGCCATGGAACAAGAACGATCCTAACTGTTCAATAGTATTCCCCATTTCCCATGGGCGAATGGGACTTTTTGAGCCCCGGTGTGAATGGGAGTAATAACGAATGTCATGCGATGTGAGTTCCACCAATCAAATGACAAGGATGTTTGTCAGTTATATAATATGAACTCATTGGTGCAAAGTCAACTACATCTTGCGAAATAGGGCCTATGGTTTTATTATTTTATTCAGTGATCAACTCATGATAAACTCTTTTTCCAAAAAAAAAAAAAAAATAGAGACAATACACACTTGGCATCATTTACTGTAGCCAGCCACCCATATGGTTGCAACCGCATTTTTTTCTTCTTCGATTCTTTTTTGATTCTTAGTTTTTTTTTCCTTCAGATAATTGTTTTATTTTTCCCCGACCGACCGACTCTAATTCAGAGGTAAAAAAAAAGAAAAGAGAACCATAGAAATAAAAAGGGATGCCCTATTCATAAAAGCCTTAATGCGTATTTTGGTTTAATCTCCTATTCAACGGAGTGAAACCGTTTTTCAATTTTGTGACTGCATCCACTCTCCAGTGTTACTGTTAGTCAAGCCACAGCTCATGCATCACTTCATTTCTGGATGACAGTAATAAGATGGTATTTCCTGTGACCTCCCTGCCTAGTAAAGCAAATCCATTTCCTTGTCAACGAAGGCTTAATATCCTGGGACATTAATCACATTAGTCAATGGTAAACAGCCTTCACTAGAACTCAATTACTGACACTAAGCAGGTATACGCTCAATATATGTACTGTGATTTTTAATGAGATTTTCACTTCGGTCACAGAACAACTCTGAATATTGGTTAAATATGCGAGTTTGCATTAAAGGTTCAATTTTGTATTTTTTAAATATTAATCTTTATTATGCAAGTAAATAGACCTGTTTTAAATTTATGCTTAAATTACACTCAGTTCAATATGTACTGGCAGATATCTGAAATAATTTTAAATTCAGGCAAGAGATTTTTCAGATTTAAGTCTGAAATTCAACCTTTTGAATCTAAGAGAAAGACATAATTATAGAAAGAAATTCATCTTTCAGACCTTTAATTTCATCAATTTTTTAGACTTTCTTTTTAAATTGACAATATCTCCTTGAGATATGACATCTAATCACATTTTCTATTTTTTTTTATCGCTCCCTGCTGAAGGCTTACAATGTCAAGAAATTATTCACATTTTTTTTGAAATTTCAAATAAAGAGAAATCCAGAAAAACACATTGGGATGTATTTCACATCTAGATGAAAAGGAGGAAGTCCTATTAAACATATGTCATGAATTGATCTCGCAGCCTTGAACCAGGAAATAACTAGACAAAGGGAATTTCCAAAACATTTACAAACATGCAACATTAAATTAGGTCAGACTTCCTGAAAACAATATGCAGTTTTTTTTCACGAAGGAACATGATTCAAGTTTATACTTGTATTATTTCTTTATGCTTTGCTCAAGCAAAAACAAAAATAAAACGTTTTTTAAAAATTCATAAATAGAATGCCTTTCAAATGAAGCAGACCCCAAAATGAAGCAGACCCTACTTTGCTTAAACTCGAGGGATTGTTTAAATTCTGAGTACAATTTACCCCTTTTAAATTCTGTAGCAAAACTGTGACAAAAAAAAAACCCATATAAAAACTGACAACTTCTTTTATACTGTCTTACATTTAACAGTTCAGTTATGCAAAAAAAAAAAAATATTCCGTCTCTGGTTAGACCAAAGTTCTGGAATTGACGCTGCCACGCAGCTATTTTTTTTTTTTTTTTGCTTTTTTTTTTCTTCTTCAAGCTTGGATTGTACAGACAAGGTGGGGTACTATTTTGCTTTTTTGGTGTCCTCATGTACATTGGTGTCCTCCATAATTTGCCTTGGTGCAATTTCCCATTCCTTGGTGCTGTTTGGTAAAAAAAAATTGAGGTGCGGAAATAGAGGGCGCTATTGGAGCTACCGTGGAACATTTTGGAAAAAAAAAGATCGACGCGCAGGATTAAAATCGATGCGCGCGCTGACCAGAGACCGACTTATTTTTTGGGGGGGCCTAATGTTGACTAATATAGGTTCACAGAGAGAATTTTTTGCAGGCAAATTGCAAGCAACCAATTCTGTCAGTGCTATTGAGTTTTTTCCCAATTGACAATTTAATTTTTACAGAACAGTATTTGTACAATACATTTTTTGTTTGCATGATGTGATTAAAACATTACATATTTTGCATCAGGTGGTGTTGCTGTCATACTAGACACAGTTGTACACAGAATTATGTTAAACCTATGGATTCTATGCAAGACCTCTTTTGAGAGTTTTGTGTGCAGATCACACTGCATGTGCACATTGGTTGGCTCGTGTTCGGCCTGACGTATGCATGACTGATTTTCATCTGGTTATGTGCACAAAATGTAGCATCTACATGTATGCACAGTGTAAGGCACATGGCAGCAATACATTAAAAATGCTGATGAAAGGCAGGTTGATTCGGCAAAGAAGCGAAAGCAAATGGGAATGCGAATTTATGACTCCACAGTAAAGTATTCGCGTTGCAAATTCGCAAAAGTGAACACACTTCAAATCCGGCCAATTTGCAGTGAATGTTTCGTAACATCAAATTTCTATCACATTCGCTTAAGGTTTCTTGCCAGTATGCATTGATAAAAGTCTCTGAAGTTTCTTGCCAGAATTTAATGAAGTACGGTACTCTATAAAACACCAATGACATTTTACAAATTGGAACTTTGATGTTATGGAAATGTCTTGCTTTTGTTGTTACAGAGGTTACATTGTAACGTTAGGGACGCAAAAAAAATATAATATAACCCTTTCTCTATGCTTCAAAAACAAAAACTCACAAAACCACTTGCATTGTGCATGTGCAAACAAGATGGCAAAATGACTACATGTACCTAAAACTTATAAATTTACCCCAAAAAAGCCAGGGTTTTTTTTACCAAAAACATAAATAACCACATTTTATCTCACTGGCACCCCATTCAAATAAAAGGCCTTGTTGTCCCCTTTCATTTGATACCACAATTGAGGTTGTGATGCTTGTAGTTCTGAAGATTTCATAAATTTTCAACTTTTCAGCCAAGTCCCACCTTGCATTGAATTGCCCAAATGTTATCGTTTCTAGTTCACAGGGTTTCTACAGTGAAACTTCCTGCAATTCATTTTGTGCATGCAACTGTGAATAACAATGGAGAGCTACACAATGTTCACTGCCTTCACAGAGCACATGTACATGTACTAAGTTCCTGAAAACAGCCATAAATTTTGGCTTGAACATGAGCATGTCAAGGTTATATGACAACAGTGTCTCGGTTAAGTAAACACATGTGTACTTCAATGATTTATATTGCCTTATGAATCTGTATTGCAACAAAACAAGGATCGCGCAATAAAAACTGAAATGTTGAAGTAATAAACAAGATCCCAGAGTTTCAGATTTTGTCTCTGTTGTTGAACATAATTTTGCCACTTCTACTAAAATTGTTACATGGTGTGATACATTGTTAAATAATGTGATTCACTGTCTCATACAATGTATTACCCTTGGTGAAAATGGATGTACTTACAATTTACATGTACATGCAATTCATACAATGTAATACATGTACTACAGGTTGTCCTTATGTTGAGATTGGAACTATGTGCTGCATAAAATATCCCGAATAGTGGAAATCATACAAATATTTTTTCCCTCAATAATTTTGTCCTTGATCATAATGAGATCGCATTTATATTCATGTTGCATGGCAATAGCACAGTAGACTGTATGTGGTATTGTTTTTTTTCTTATAATTTTGAAGTAATATTATTTCATAAAAAGCAATTTTCTTGAAATAAAAATGCTAAATGCTGGCACTGCCTGCAAGATTGGATAAACTTGATACTTTTGTGTGCTTACAGTTCCAGGCGGGCCATTGGGTGATTTTAAGATTACTTACGACAAACAATCTGTGGATTATGAGAAATGACCTTTATCACTAATGACCTGGGTTTACTGACCAGGATAAAATGTTACTGATGTCCTCACTATGTTCCTCTAGCCCGGCTGTGTCGTCCCTACTGACCTCTTAACCTGGGGTTGGCTAATCTTGTGACCTCGTTCCTGACCTGGGTCAAATGTTTGGAGGGTATACTGATGATGTCACTGTGTTCTTCCAGCCATGACAAGGAAACTTTGCGGTCAGCTGCATTGACTTTTTTCCCTTATCACAGACCTGGTCCAATGGACCTGTTGACCTTATGACTTTTTCAACCAAACTCTTGACCACGTAACTCCAGGGTAGACCTATTGACTCAATGATCTGAGTCAACTGACCTCATTACCATGTCAATGACCTGGTTGAACTGACCTCGTCGACCTGTCCACTAACCTGCGTCAACTGAATTCTTGACCTAGTCACTAACCTGGGTCAACTGAATTCTTTAACTAGTCACTAACCTGGGTCAACTGAATTCTTTAACTAGTCACTAACCTGGGTCAACTGCATGAATTCTTTACCTATAGTCACTAACCTGGGTCAACTAAAATCTTGACCTAACCACTAACATGGGAACACTGAATTCTTGACCTAGTCACTAACCTGGGACCACTGAATTCTTGATCACGTAACTCCAGGGTCAACTGACCTATTGACTCAATGATCTGAGTCAACTGACCTCATTACCATGTCACTGGCGTGGGTGAACTGACCTCTTGACCTGTCCACTAACATGGGTTCACTGAATTCTTGACCTAGTCACTAACCTGGGTTAACTGCATGAATTCTTGACCTAGTCACTTACCTTGGTCCACTGAATTCTTGACCTAGTCACTAACCCGGGTCCACTGAATTCTTGACTTAGTCACTGACCTGGGTCAACTGAATTCTTGACCTTTAGTCACTGACCAGGGACAACTGACATCAGACTGGGCTGAAGTGTTTGAAGTAGCACAGCTGACTTCAGTCATCCATGATCAGGCCACCAGCATTCGGTTTGCTGGTCTGACCTCTTGAACATGTCACTGACCTGGGTCGATCATCAGTCCTCATCTCTGACCTGGGTCATCTGACTGGGATGAAGTGTTAAGGTGTTGCCTTGATGACTTCGCTATGCTCCTCCAGCCGTGACACGACCAAACCTTTCTGTGTCGGCTCCACGGACCTCTTCACCTTGTTGCTGACCTGGGCCAAGTGGCTTCACGACCTCGTTTTTGGCCTGGGTCATCTGACCGGGATGAAGTGTTTAGATGTGGCACTGATGACTTCGCTACATTCCTCCAGCCGTGACAAGGCCAACCTCACCGTATCAGCTGAGACGTTCTGGAAGTCTCGGTCTCCATGCAGTCGGTCCATGACATGCATGTAATGACAGCCTCCCTCATCTGGGAATTAAAACAAAAGACACTAAGCATGAAAAAATGGTTATTTTCATCAGCAAACCCCCCTCCCCCCTCCAAAAAACAAACCCCTAAAACTGAGAGTTGCACCTTATAAGTAACAGACCCCTTGCACGGCATGCTCTCACCGAGGGCACTTTTCATTCTTTAAATTCAGAAATTAAGAACAAAGTCTCTAATCATGTTTATCAAAGAGGAACAAGACATGTCCACGCCAGATGCAGCGAAGGCCGGGTCTTTTGATTTTGAGAGGAAATCCTCTGGCTTAAAGTTTTTGCCTTTTCTTTTTACTAGGCGAAAATGCCACTACATGGACACAAGGCAATCGTGTGATTCCAACCAACTCACATTTTATGAGCTGGCAGTCATATCTCAGTATCTCCAGAATGGTTTGATCCAAACTTGAAGTTGAGCTGTGCACTACCTGGTGAAAGTAAACAGCAGAATACGGGAAAGTTAAATTTAAAACTTGGGAGTGTTTTATACATCCTATGAAGAAGGGGTGTGCAACGGTCCCTCCTCTCCCCCCCCCCCCCCACACACACACACACACACATAATGGGGGCCAAAAACACTATGGGGACAGCAGAAAGTCCCCATAACTTGGTCCTAATTTCACGCACAAGTAGGCCATCAGCCTGGGTGTTTGGTCAGTATCAAATGAGGCGAATAATGGTCATTGTGATTTTTGGCAAGGTGTGCACCCCTGTAGTTGGAAAATATGTGATAGCATTGCAGCGGTGGCAGCTTTTTAGATGCTTGTTACCACATATAATGAATCTGGTTCAAGCATATTTGCGGCCATTTTGAAAAAAAAAAATTTGAAAGTGATAACACCCAAAAGACTGCCACCGCTTACACTACAAAGCTATCACACATTTTCCAATTCTAGATGTATACCTTGCCAAAGATCGCTATGAAGACCTGGTAATTAGTGTCTGTAGATCGCTATGAACATTGCTTTTTTCGATCATTTGATACCGGTGGCCCAATTTTTGGACCAAAGCTGATAACCTAAAGAGAAAACTCCGTAACGCGGTGTCGGCTAGGGCAATATTTTTTATGATAGTTCCTGGAAGACAGTACCTGATCCACTTAAAATTTGGTGACTTTCCTTACTGTTGTCAGACGTCAGTTTGGTATCAAAATCTGGTGACTAGTGTCTGTAGTTGCCATAGCAACTGATTAAAAAAACTTGTTTGGTGTATACGTGGCAAAATGAGGAGATTTTTGCATTGACAAAATCCAAACTTAACCAGTAATAATGTTATGGATGTTTATACATTGTGACCATTCCCAAGGTTTGTCTGGTAGAAAAGAAAATCAACCGCAGAGCCTATTTGTTTCACACATACATTTATTGGGAAATTATCAAGGATTAGACTCATAAGATGGAATGTTTGCGTCGGGGTGATGTAAATCAAATTAGGTTTTGCCCTTCACCGACGTATAAACACTGTATACCCAGTGTGTTACCTCCCGAGTGAAAATTGGAAAAAAATCACTCGGGTGGGACTCGAACCCACGACCTCCTGCTTTCTAGTGCAGATGTCTTACCACTCAACCTAATTTGATTTACATCACCCCAATGCAAAATTCAATCTTATGAATAGTTAATAATGCGGTACCCGCTGCTATGTACATCAGATACAAATCAGCCAACCGATCTTGTTAGCTCAGTGGTCGAGTCGTAAGACATCTGCACCAGAAAGCAGGTGGTCATGGGTTCGAATCACACCCGAGTGATTTTTGCCAACTTTCACTTGGGAGGTAACACACTAAGTATACAGTGTTGATACGTCGGTGAAGGGCAAAAGCTAATTTGAAGGATTAGACTGTTGGTTCACTACACCAGATCACACATAAACAGATACAATCGGTAGCAGTGAACCACGCAGTTGCCTAATCAGTGATCACAATTTGCATCTGTGCAAGCTAACAGGCCCACATCAGTGTTGTAGTCAAGTCCGTCACAAGTCTGCTGAAACATAAATCAAAAGTCCTCCGACAAGTCCATTCACACCCAACAGCGAATCAACAATAACAAAGGAATTCCTTTGTTACAATTCACTTGAATAGCTTAATTGTGACCTGACTTGGGAACTGATGACTTGTGATGGACTTCACCCCAACTGACCTATCGCGGTAGAATCGCGTCAACGCAGCTTGTGAAATATTGTCCAATTACACGATACACAAATGGACGCAGAATGCACAACATCGGCGTGAAGTCAAACTGGATGATGATGCCTAGCGGCCATATCCAGTCAACTTTCTGAGATTCTGAGATCTGAGACAAACAAACTTCCCCATAGGGTTGTCTAAGGGGCGTGGCTAACTCGCAAACGGCGATAGGTCAACTCTGACCCATATTCTTTGTGTCGTTGGTCATTTGCCTGTGTTGGTTCATACCTCATACATGTCTTGACTCATACCACTGCGATACACACATCCGTCTTTCTCCAACCTCTGAACTGCTTGCTTGATGATGCTCCGGATTTGCTTGGACGGGGCAGAGCCAATCCCTCTTTCCTGGGGAGGTGCAAATATATGAGAAGTCGTCGTCAATTAAAGAGTCATCAATGCACATCACAAGCAACGACATCCCAAGATCTGATGAAACAGATCTTGGGATGTCTTTGTTTCATGAGATCTTTTGGATGACTTTGTTCACATCAGGATATAACAAAGTTTGATCGAGGACCATTGGTCCTAGTGGCTGATTTGTGATGCAACTTGGCGATGCACCCATGTTAACGTTACATACCTAGTGTCGGCATTCCTTTGTTTTCGTGAAGTTAAGAAAGACTAGAGAAAAAAACTCATTTTACTCACACCGTGAACACCCTTTCAACCCGAAATTTTTATCATGAATCCCTTGAGTGTTCCTCTTTATTTTGCGACAGTAACCCCAACCCAAAAATTCCTCCAAAACTGATTTTCAGAGAGGGAAATGTGTAGATGTGGGAAAGTCAACACGTCTTCACTACCTGCACTATGTGGACATCTTTTTGTTCAGAGGTTCACACAGTGACTGCAATGCCTGTTCACACTAGCTAGTCAAATAATGGTCAAAATCTTATCACAAAACTTTGCAGTCATGACTCTCTGCTGTACATGATATATTCAGCTCCTGGTAACCAACAATGGGCTCGATCAGTGAGTGTAACTATGGTTGACCCAAAGAGCTATATTTAATTTAGTAGAGAGCTAACTCCTCATTTTTACACACGGAGATACTATGAATTCATGTGTGTGTTTGTAGAACATATAATGAAATTAGATGGAGTGAATGTTGAAAGTGTAATCGAAATGTAACAGTACAACATACGCAAACAACTTAAGCGCATCACGATGATTAAAAAACGTCACGGCAAAAATCATCAACGCGTTTGCATTGTTTGCGCAGAGCAAAATGAAACACTCATTTACTGAATGTGTGTTTTGGTTTTGGGCGTATCGACCTCGATAACGCACAAACGCAGATATGCAAATAGCCGTACAAAAGCCGTACAAAATTTTAAGTTTTCCATAGGTTTGTGCACAAATATGGATGCGCCCAGCAGGCATTACGTTGTACATCGAGTCAGCACTCTAGTAATTTAATATAGCTCTATGGGTTGACCACCCAACCATACTGTGGAAGCCCACCCAGGGCACTGCCTTAAGAGGGAGAAGAAGTCTGACCTTTGTGGACCAGCTCAAGAGCGCCACTGATCTCACATCTGCAGAGGAGCTGCGCACCTGCATGGTAGATCGAGACAGCTGGAGGAAGAGGACTCAGGGACTGGCTCGTGATGTCGTCACAACCCAGGCGACCCCGACATGATGATGATGATGATGATGGATTGACCATGGTTCTTATTTGAATTTCCTCAAGGCTGTCCACAAAATAGGCCATGCATACACTGGGCCCTGTTGTCTACAGCTATGATTATTCTCTTTAGCATGTCGAAGGCAAATAAAAACCAAAGCCACAGCCATAAAACACCCCTTTTACACAGTGCCATATACTCACATTTCTGTACTCCAGACATGGGGATGAAGCAATTGTCATGACTGCATCAATGGTCTCCAGTTCATTCAAGTGGAAATTCCTGATTCCTGTGTGTCTATCAGCAAGGTGACTTTGAAGATAATTAAAGAGTTGATCAATCAGATGAGCCTAGGAGACAAACCAGAGAATACAATGTGGAAACTGCATCAGATAAAGGATAATAGAAAAGGGGCGCGCTTTTTTCGTGAGACCATTCATCACCCACTAAAAACGGTGCGCTGCTTAGTGTATTAACCTAGTGGCTAACCAGATAAGGCCACACAAAAAAGTCTCCGGTTTCTGGTATGGAGCTTTCCCAAAAAGTGGTGCGGCGACGCGGCTTTTTTTTTTTTACCTGATTTTTTTGCTTCAAATGTCGGCTGATGACTGCAAATGGTGCCCGACTAAACTTAGTGCAAATATATGGGAGTCCAGAGAGGCCACATAAAGCTTATTCTCGACCATAACCCAACTAAAAACACGTTAAAATTGTGCAGCAGCAGGATTCCAGTCAAACCAGTGAGTTTGGCGGTTTTGAGACATCATCTTTCATTGAAAAAAAAACTTTTTCATTTTGCCGACGCGCATGGCTATGCGCGTCAATCTAAGTGTCTTGTTTAGGTTTTGGGTGCTACAGTGACTTAAGGGCCTGTCACATTATATGCGCTCTCATAGGAGACCTTACGGCGACCAATTTTTTTTCATAAATTTAACAATTGCAGCGAGGACGCAAGAAAATGGCAATTTTCTGTCTCAAAGAAGCTCAAGCTATGCTGATACTGTGCTCTTCCCGCGCTTACGATGCACTCAACTTGCTCTCTATGCGCCCCTGTCAATCTCAATTACTCGATCTAGTCGCTGCCCTGTCACCGCGCCTGCACTACGCTCTGCTCGCTGTTGATACGTCCTAGTAGCTCGCGTCGCGCTCTCTGTTCGACCAAAATACGCTCGTGTGACGTCACTTGCGTTGTATAAATACCACGACAAAACGGTCAATACACAGTCCAGTTTCAGAATTATTCAACAAGTTCATCGCAGTCGAGTTACTTTCTCATGGGGGGAGACTACATCGACTGCCTTGCGCCTAAGCTGCCTCAATGCCACTTCAATGTCGCACGATTCACGCTCGCACAGCGCCCGAGTTGCGTCATTAGGGCGCCCAGCCCAGAGCGCAGAGGTGTTGCGATTGTTTTGAGCATGTTCAAAGACCTTGGCGCTCATCGAAGACCATTAAGACTATCTGGCGCCCATCTGGCGACCTATGTAGTTGTCGCTGCGATGTAGTAGTTGTTGTTGCGCCCCAGCTATTTTTCAAGGACGCAGTGAGAGCGCATATACGATCGCAAACAGTGTGACAGGGCCTTAAAGGGTTCACTATATTGATTAAACTGGATTCAAATCCCAATAGTTGTATTTGCTTGTCAACTTAGAACCATCACAGTCACTTACCTCCCTCGTCAGTCCTGTCCTTTTTGCCTCTTTCTCAACTTTCAACTCCTTTACCATGTGGCTCGGAAGAACAAATGGACGGTCATAAACATTCTCATAGAGGTTTGGTAATGCCTCCATTCGGTAGATTTCAGTCCTGCAGCATGGATCTTCAAGCTTTCCTACCAAGAACAAAAATCAACAGATTTTCTGAAACCAATGTCGTTTATTGACATTGAGGTTTCACTTGATTATGTAGGAAAAACCGATTATGAGAAAAAATCTGTGTGTTTTCAAAGCTCAATACTAAAATTACGCAAAAAAACCCCAAATTTGGAAAGACTCTACTTTAAAAAGTTTCTTTTTGTACAAAAAAATCTTTTGAAAATGCACCTCTGTGTCCCATTTAACCTCATTTTCAATTTTTGTTTTGCCATTTTCAAAGCCATTTTGGTGCCTTTTTGGTTTTCATGCTAATGCGAAATTCCACATTCACAAGCAAAAGTGTGATGTCATTTCAGGCAGAAACCTCAATGTTACAGCTATTTCAGCATCAAAAGTTGCCAGAATTTTGGATGTTTAGCTGTCGTAAATTTTCTCTTCTTTGACAATTCATTTTGTCAGTGCATGGCAGTAAGCCAATGAGCAAACTTTTCTGACAAATGTTTTCAATGAGCAGATTTTTGGGTTCACAATTTGAACAGAAAATCCCTAAACTGAACAGTGTCTTCCTAAAATGACATCACAGCAACAGCGCCCTCAGTTATCCGGAAACCATGGAAAGTTTAAAATGTTTAAAGAAGTGTATTTTTCAGTAAACTTAACCAAAAAGGGATGTCAAATAGTTTTCAAACATTTAAGAAGAGTAGAAAGTTGCATAAAATGTGGTCCAAGAAAAATTCATCTGATGGACCCTCTTAACAACAGCTAAGAACTAAATAATTGTAAATAGTTGAACAAAGAAATTGACTGGAGCGGTGTCCGATATCTGTGAGCTCTGAACATCCTACCAGTGCTGTACAAACATCGGGCTGGATGGTTCAGTTGGTAGACCACTGGAGCTGTAGTCTGCAGGTTGCAGGTTCAAACCCCGCTCCAGTCATTTTCTTTGTTCAAGTTTATTTGAAGCCCACAACTTACTGTAATACGAAGCAGACACCTCCAGTCTGTTGCGATAATGCTTCAGACGACCTCTGACGTGAATCACATCTCCAAGTTCAAAACACAGAGATTGCCGCATTTCATGATTGGCCACTTTACCCAGGACGATATCACTAAATGCTGCGCCATCGCCTATACCTGTAGTTATAAAATAATGAAATCAAATATGATGATAAAATGTAATAATTTGGTTTTTTTTATTTCTTCTCCTCTCCAAAAGATTTCCAAACGTGAAGTTTTGGCTGGCTTGCTTGCTTGCCAATTAAAAAAACAATAGTTTCTCGTATTCTTCGATTTTTCTTGACTGTTTTACTGATACAAAATTGTGTCCAAAGGAGCCATATAATGACAATTTTGTTGGGAACGAATAAAAACAAAAAATATGTTGACAAAACAGTGCAAAATATATTGCAAACATATGAAAAAAAGGAAAAAAAGAGGCGGCCAGGAAAAAGGAAGCGGGAGCAGGCTGGGACAAGCAACTGGTTAATTTTTGACTTGGCCTGAAGGACTTTGCACAATCTCACTGAAATTACAACTGTACAATTTTGTCTTGCATCAGTGCATACATTCCCATTTTCACAGAATGTTTAATGTCGGCCATTTTATGGGCTCAAGAATGTTTAACAGTCAGTGGGTTCAACTGCTTTTTACCAAAATCTGCAACTTACCAAATTGTTCATCCACTTTCTTTGATTTCCAACAGCAACAGTTGATCACCCCCGTGCCATCATCAACTGAGGACACAAAAAAAGATGTTATACATGTAGTCATATTCATATTATTTTATATCAAATATTATTATAATTGAATTTCAAAAGAAATTCATGGGGAATCAATCGCTTACAGTTCCTTTTGCAGCAACTCCTTGTTTAGGACAAATTTAGGGAATTTGTTTTGAGACTGTATAGGTCTTTTTAAAATTCTCTTCAAAATGTAAGATAAGTTTTGTGGTCTTGAGAAATTGGCACGATGGTCTCCGAGAATATCCCCGCACCAAGAACTTTGGATCATTCGAAATCCACAGTGGACATGGTGGATGGACCGGGAACCGGTCTAGGTCTAACCCAACTCTCCTGTTCTGGCCGTTGAAGGGGTACTTGTGCACGGAGCTCATAGTTTTTGTTAACTAGAACGGCGAAGCCGCCATGGCTCGCTGTCCAAGGCAGGAAGGGAGGCTGAAGGTAGGGTTGAGGATGGGCATGATGAAAGGGGATCAGGATTCTTGTTGATGTGCCTAGGTGTAGGGGTCAGTTTTTAAATGTCAACATAAAAAGTTAACAGATTACCTAATAAATACATATGTATAGGTTAGCCGTCACTGTATTATGGGGGAGTTTTCCATTGTTAGGGTAATTAGGACCCACTTGTGGATTTTTGCAGCCCCAACAGTGTCTTCTGGTCCCCATACTTGTAGTACCATGGGAAAACTCTTGTGTAGTCGCCACAAATGCAGAACAAGAATGGGTATACATGTACATGTAGACACAGCACCATCACCACCTCCCACGAACCTTACCCCATCCCAAAACCTTACCCCATCCCCAACCCGCCCCCTCCCCCACCCAACCCCCTACCCACACCCATTTCATCCTCCCCTAACCATCCCCACCCTATCACCTACACATTCCAACCCCACCCAAACTCCAATCCGTATCTCCTGACCCGTACCCTCCCCTACCCCAACCCCCTACACCCACCTACCCTATCTTCCCTTATCTGTCCTTACCCACCCTACACATCCCCATCCTAACCCTTACTCGAATTCCCAATATCCCGCCCACCCCATTCCCCCACCCATACATCCCCACCTGACCCCATGCAACCCCTACTCTGATCCCTATATACTGCCCCCTCCCCTTATCCAACCCCTACAACCCATCCCTACCTATCCCTACACATCCCCAACCCAACCCCTACTCCGATCCTATATCCCGCCCCCTGCCCAACCCCCTCCTAACCCAACCCCTATATCCATGCCCATCCTCTCCCTACCTGTCTCTCTCTACCTGTTCTCACCCCACCCCTACAAATCCCCACCCCACCCAAACCCAGTATTCCAACCCCTCTCCCCACCCCAACCCACCCCGCCCCACCCATCCTAGCTCCCCTACTCATCCTACTCACACAAACCCTAACTCCAACCCTATACCCCACCCCACCCCACCCCACCCCACCCCACCCCACCCCCCCCCACCCCACCCCACCCCACCCCCACCCCCACCCCCACCCCCACCCCCACCCCCACCCCCACCCCCACCCCCACCCCCACCCCCACCCCCACCCCCACCCCTACCCCACCCCACCCCACCCCACCCCACCCCACCCCTCCCCTACCCCATCCCTACTCCAACCCCATAAACTAAAAGATCAAACCAGAAGCTCATGCACATCCCCAAAATGCATAGTGTACATGTACATGTTATACCGGTATACACACACGTACATGTTATACCAGTATACATGTACATGTACATGTAACAATTAAAAACTTTAACATTTCCTTGAATTAAAATTCCTCAATAAAATCATAAAATTTACTGCAATGATATGAACCTAACTGAAGTTATAAAGATGATACATGACAACTGCATTTAATTTTTTTCCCCAAGTTAACTAGAACCAAAAACTTCAACATTTTTATCTGAACGCGGACGGCCGGACAGACGGCCCGACGGACGGACGGACGGACGGACGGCCCGACGGGCGCCCGGACAGACGGACGGAAATTGGTATTACATAGGCTCGCATCTGCTTCGCAGCTCGCCAAAAACTCACCTCCATATTGAAACATACTGGTTCGTTCCTCTACTCTAACCAGCCATCCAATGATGTCCACTCTGTAGATGGGATGATTCTTGTATGCAAAGGCACCTACCAGAGGCAATCATTATTTTGGATTAACTATTAAATAAAATAACATATTGAGGAAATAACATATTGAGGAATGTTACATGTAAAATGTACTTGTTAACCCTAACTCCCTAGGGGGTGTGCAAAATCGTATTGGAGGATTCAGGGCTGTTGGGGCTATTGACTTCTGATAATGAGTGTTATTATGTTACGTCCCAACTATGGCATCATTGTCCCAAATACAGAATTGCCCAACTACTGGTGGGACTAGTCGACTGTGTCCCCCATTTATAGTTGGGACCACTGTCGTAGTTGGAACGTAACATTAACACAGTGACCAGTGTATCATCAGTAGAAGTTCCCTTGTTGGTCAATGGTAGGCCTACTTCTAGAACTAGAAATTCTAGTAGAAGGCACGGCGATCGTGTAGTGTTGGGCCCTGTTCCTATAAAAGAACGGAAAGATTTCCATATTCGAAGTTCACTCAACACTCTGTGTACAAACCCTATGAGAGTGGACTGAAAAATTCTTAGTGTTTTCTAAGAAAATGCTTGTATTTTCTCACTGCTCAAATTGACTTTGATGACATGAAATTGCTATCTGGGGGCTTGTTAGTCAATACAGAGGAAAATTAGTGAACTTCGCATATGGTAATCTTGCCAAAAGAACAAAATCCACTTCTAATTTATTTGATCTACCAAACTAGTTGGCAACATTAAGAATAAACAAGTATGTCATAGATAGAGGGCAGGGTTTTGAATTTTTGACTTTTCGAGGGAAATTTGGGGGTAAAATTACGAAGACGACGACAAAACGCAATACAAAAATAAAGATGACGATTACCGCAATGTACCATGAAGGTGCTATTTCTACCCCAAGAAACTGTTCAAAATTACACAAAGAGAAGTCTGCTTTAGGTTGAAAAAGTCATTTTTGAATGACAAAAAGATCAGCCTTGACTCTAATTTGATCAAAACTATATAGAGGAGCCCTACACTACATGATCACCGAAGGCACACGGGTGCCGCCGCCCCCCCCCCCCCCCCCCCCCCCCCCCAGCAGTTCTAGAAGTAGGCCAATGAAATTACTTACAAAACCATCAATGCTTTAAAAAAAAAAAACAAGAAACAACAGAAAACGAAATTGTGGTTTGTTTTCCTCAACTTAAACACTGTTAAAGTTGTAAACTGTTAACAAAAGTTAAGTATGTTAAAAAGGGCGAAAGGGGGGTGGACAAACAAGAAAAAATGTTGCAACCTGACGCCACTTTTTTCTTCATATATCATCTCAATGAAAGTCATTCATTGCAAAAATGATGATAAGACATGAATCTGGGACTGAGAAACATTTCCAATTTTGTTAGGAAATACTTTTAGGAAAATTTTCTTGACTCTACATAGACTTTGTACACAATCGCAGAAGTGGCGTCAGGTTGCAACAATTTGTTTTCCTGACAAACAAATTTTAAAACAATCTAATTTTTATAAAATAAAATTTTGGGCATGAACTGAAGACAAGTTATCAGAGTTTAAATAAAGTTTAATTAGACATAAGACAAATATGCCCAATAATATAAACGAACCTTCGCCAGTCGGGTACCGCTCCAACTGCAGAATATCAGCAATGTACATTTTTGCATACGATCTGTTCACGGGATCCAAATGCCAAAACTGCTTTGGAATTGGAAGGAACTCGGTGTCGGAAATTCCACTTTTCTCTGGACCCATCTCATCAGAGATATTTATATTTAAACAAAACAAGGTAAACTTTGCACACATTCCCCATAGACAACAATTCAGTCCGTATATCAATCAGCTTCGCAGCTATTGAGTTATTTTTTGCCCGAAACTTTGCTTCATGCAGAAGACAGCAAGATCCTGAACTTGTTTTGATTTTCCCGCAAAGGTTATCCTCGATCGCAAAATATAAACAAAAGAAGAAATAAATATCAGTTAAAAATAATTTTTAGGAACTTAAACCTCACTTTTATTTTTAATTGCACTTATAATTTTTATTATATTGTGATTTGTTTCGTAATAAAATTAATTTTGATTAAAAACATTGATATTTTTATTATTTCCTTTGGCTTTTCAGTAGTTTGGCTGCTGTACTCTTCTTAACGCTGAAGGCCTCTATTTAATCGCGATAGCAAATAGAACCAGACTAATTCCTGGAACTAGTGTAGTGGAATGGCGCTATCGCTGTAGTTTTCAAAACGGACGCTCCAAGTCCAAGTTTAACTACATATACCTCAAAATTAGCCTTCTGGTCATATCTTAGCATGATTGTGGTAAAGAAATCAATGTATAACGTTCTTTATAACCGCATGTATATTTCTCGTAAAACTTCAGAGAAAAATGAATATGGGCGAAGCTTTGTAATCACGCCCACCAATGCCCACTTTCCGGACAGTGCATTACCTGCAGTATATTGCCATAGCAACCGACAGGGGCAGGACATTGAATTTTTGATTGATGAAAGTATTTGTATCTAAATGTGCACATTGAAAAATTTCACATTGTTAAAATGGAAATAAATTCATTTCTGACTAGTGATATAAATCTGAGATAGGCTACTTTTTAATTAAAGAATAAAGTCAAGAAAGTGCATGGATCATTTTTTCATTCATTGGAATTTGGATGTTTATTCATTAATGTGAAATTTTAAATGGGGAAATAGTTCCATATTACCTGGGGCCCAATTTCACAGTGCTGCTTAACAGTTAGCAGAGAAGTTGTGTTTAGCATAGCAGAACAATTTGCTAACCTTAAGCACTATTTCACGGCGTGGACTAGCCCCACTAGTGTGGCCGTCGGTATGCTGCGCTGAACCTTCAGCGCAGCATACCGACGGCCACACTAGTGGGGCTAGGCGTGGACGTGCTAACGGTCGCGCGTGCATGGAGATTTCTATTGTTACGTCACTGAGTTAAGGAAATTTTTCCTCCGAAGTAAGCATGCCTTTTGCTGTGCTTATGCTTATGGTCTCCATGAAATAGACGGAGGCTCTGTAAACAGAAAATCGTGTGCTTAGCAGCACCGTGAAATTGGGCCCAGGACATCACTTGACACCCTGTGCACAAACTGTATGAGACTGGTCTGAAAACTCTGTGTTTTCTCAGTAAATACTTCAATATTTTCCCTACTAAAATTTGACTTTTTAAGACATGTTATCACTTTCTGATGGCTGATACTGAGGTCACTGCAGGGAAAAATTTGTGATGTCCATGTATGGAATTCTTTCCTGAAAAGGCAGTGTAATGCGTTAACTGTTTGTTTTAGGCTCCGATTTTTCGCCCTTGTTATGTACCAGCCATCTTAAAAAAAACCTTCCTGATGTTTATAATTTTCTTACTTTTTTGGTTTAAATAAAATCGTACTTTTTACTTTGCCCCATAATTGTGGCTCAAATACTGGACTTTCTCCATATTGAGCCACATTATGGGGCTACTGACGCATGCGCTTGCACCACGCAGCACGCGTTCTATTTAAAGAAATTTGCCAGTCTTGCCAGTGTACAATCATGATAATAATATGGTTTAAAAACTCAAACAAACAAAACTGCCACAAGCTGTACCTTGTGCTTGATTGGAAACTGTTAACTGAAACTGTTTAATTTCTAATATTTGTATCACCTTTGTGCATAGAAGGCCTATGGGTTTTTCCCCAAAGGCTGAATACTGCTTCAAAAGGTGAATTCCGTTAATTATGTCTGGTTTTTGAACAAATTAAAAAAATAAGTAGCCCTACACCAGAATGTGGACTAATGTAAACTATGGTTGTACACTACTATCTCACCATTTGATATCGCAAAATTCCCTGTCTCAATTTGTGATTAACCTTACTTAATTATTTTTTTTTCCCAGGACAATTTTCTTCAAGTTCAAGTCAGGGAATAGACAACATCACAAGCTTGAGTCTTGTCTGAGACCAGAGCCCATATGTAGCCTCTTCAAGTTTGACATCTCATTAAATTCATAGCAAAAGCCAGTTTCAAGACTTCAAGAATTTTGACCCTTCCTTGGGTCTGAGAGCCTGTCAGGATGGACAACTACCATGTACTTGAGATGATTGGAGAGGGCTCCTTCGGCAAAGTGTACAAAGGAAGAAAGAAATACACAGGCAAGGTATGCAGTTGTGCTGTGATATTGACTCTGTCTTGATCCAGTTCAAATTAACTGAACATTTGTTTTCACATTGAAATCTTGAATGGCAGTATAAGAAGCAGATTTACAGAAGTATTGAACAAACAAAAAATAGTAGATTACAATATCCAGTAGTTCTTGAAAGTATTGGATTCTGAAACTTGTAAACTTTTTGTTTTTGGTGGCAAATGAATTACATTGTAACTGGACTCCAATGATTTCAAATTAAGTTGTTCAACACGTAAAGTTAAAAAAAAGCATTTTTCAAAAACGAATGTTAATAAAAATATGTGTAAACCAATTAATCTAATAAATATAAATTTATAAAGGTGTCAAGCGATCTACATGAATGAAGGTTGCAAAAAATGTTTTTTCAGCAAAAAAGCCAGAAATAAGCATGAGTTTTATTTTTCGGATGTGTAGCACACACCTCACTACACATTTTGTTGATCGAGCAAATGTTGCCAATTCTTCATTCTTACCAGGTGGTGGCGCTGAAGTTCATCCCTAAACTGGGACGCAGTGAGAAAGATATTGAGAATCTCCGGCGAGAGATTGAAATAATGCGAGAGCTGCACAATGAGAACATCATTGAGATGTTGGACAGCTTTGAGACGGCGAAAGAAGTAAGTTGGTGCTAGTAGTTTGATAGTGACATCACGCAAAATTGTTTCATCATATTACATTTGTTTGGAACGTAAATAGAACAATCCATTAACCGTAACTCCTTAGACATTTTTGCTAGGATGCAACCTCAATCCTTCAAAATCCTCCAACTGCCTTCGTGTAAAAATTGCATACAGCCTCAATCCTCCAAAATCATCTGTTATTTCTTGAATGTCGTCCTTGGAGGGGTGACCACTGCCTCAATCCTGCAAAATTCTCCAGCATATCACTGCCAATATGTTGAGGCAGAGCCAGTGACATTCTGGAGCAGTGCGTAGGATTTCAAGTTATAGTCTAGACCTACATTTATGCATGACTGGGCCTAAACAACACAAGGTCTGGCCCAAGACAATGACACCGTGCATCCTCCAAAATCAGCCACATTTGTTTGCCATATAGCCTTAATCCTGCAACATTCTCCATTTTGCAAAGAGCATTTTGGAGGATTTGGGAAGGTTAGAGTTAAGCCTCCCCCACGATTGATCTATTGGAGAAGTTTGGCAGTGGTATTTTTTTCCTAAATTTGGGCTCAAATTACTTGAGCACAGAGAGCAAAGGTTTCAATTTAAAATAAATTGGATTACCTTCCGTAATGCTATGTGATGTACATTTCTTGTGACAACATGGAAAAGGTTTAAACTAAACACCGAAGTTCACCAAGAAAATTTAAGTCTGATGCTAGGTTCACGCATTCCCGATTTTTAAGCCAAATTACCGCAAATACCAATTCTTGAGTAAATCAGGGATGGTTCTTGGCAGTTTGTGATGATTCTGTTCGGTTAAAGATCAGGAAGCGCCCCGACAAATTTGAACGTGTTCAAAATTGTTGGGGTGATTTGGGAACCAATCTCAATTCTTGGTTTATTCTTGTTGTGTTCATAACTAATTCGGGAATGTGTGAACCTAGCATTACCAGCTCTGTCGAACCTGCCTGAGCCCTTTGTAATATCTTGGTCACCAGCTCTGTCGAACCTGCCTGAGCCCTTTGTAATATCTTGGTCACCAGCTCTGTCAAACCTGCCTGAGCCCTTTGTAATATCTTGGTCAAGATGCATTTCTTATTTAAACTAGGTGGACTATTCAGTGGAATCCACTTGTCTCCCAAGGGGCCCAGTAAAGAGAAGACAATGAGAAGAAATCACAGTTTTAGATGTGGGATGAAAAGCCCAGAAGACCTTTCTAAAAAAAAAACATGGAATCAAGTAAGGACTGAAAAGCCAATCCACATATTGGCCCAGGCAGAAATCCAACCTGGGTCACAGCGGTGAAAAGCGAGGAAAGCACGGCTACGCCAACCTGACTCTTGCGTAAAGTTAAACCCAGACCATGCAATTTTCAGCTTGTTCAGCAAAATTTGGGTAGGTGCCTACTTTGGGAAATAGAAATGTTGCCGTAAAAGCAACAGAGTGCTAGCTACAAGAATTGGCAAGATGTATCAAGGTTGATTTTCAAACCTATTTTCAGTCGTGTTGATATTTCTGCGGAACATCTGACTTCTGTCCTTTGTTTTTTTTCGTTAGGTGGTTGCAGTTACTGATTATGCAGAAGGAGAACTTTTCCAGATTTTAGAAGATGACGGTAGCTTGCCAGAACATCAGGTAAGTGCTCCAACCCTGCTACATCAGATTCGAACTTGCCAGCCGACTCCGGCGAGCTGGGTAGTCGAGTGGTAAGATGTCTGCACTAGTAAGCAGGAGGTCATGGGTTTTAGTCCCTCCCAATAAAGCTTGTAAAATAATTTTCTCGCAAGCCCGTGGACAACACTGATTGTATAGTGTTTACAAAATACATCGTTGAAGGAAAAAGCTCAATCAACAAACACACTAGCGTGTGAAATTTTGTTGCAAGTGAATAATCTCAAAAGTTTAATGGTGACATGGTTTGAAAAGAAGTGCCAAAAGATGCAAATTTTAAGTTTTGATTTTATAATTGTCAAATAATACAAAAACAGAGATTTCTAATGGCCCGTGAGACTTAAGCCTTAGATGTTGTGAGACTTTTCTAACTTAAGATTTGAAAGAAACCTGGCAAAATGTTAAAGCACTTGTTAAAGAAAATTCTCAAAAATTGGAACTTCCTTTATTTCATTTGTAGTTAATAGTTCATTGCAATTTTAAGTTATTCATCCTGAACTCTTGAATTATTGAAAAAAAAATGGAGAAAAGTTTCTGTGAAATGATACAACTGAAAATGACATTTTCTCATGATGAGGTGTGTCTCATTTTGTTGTTGCATGTAACAAGCTTAAATCAAAGCACAAAAGAGTGCTTTGAATAAACATTGATACTCAGTGACCATTTTGTTCCCGTCATCTTCTATTGATCAGGTTCAAGTCATTGCTGCCCAGCTTGTGTCCGCCTTACACTACCTGCATTCTCATCGAATCCTGCACAGAGACATGAAACCACAGAACATCCTGCTTGGGAAGGGAGGCGTGGCTAAACTCTGTGACTTTGGCTTCGCTAGAGCCATGAGCATCAACACACTGGTGCTCACATCCATCAAGGTATGTCAGGGCATTTTACTTTAATACCTTTTACTTTCAGTTTGATTCAGTTTAGATTTTTACTTTCTTTACACTAACCCCAAAAAGAATAAAGATGACTTTTTGTTGGTAAAACTTACAGAGAATCTTGTCAACCTAACTAAATGAAGTCCAATGTGGACAGCTTGTAAACTTCCTGAATCGTACTTTTTCAGGGCCAACTGGTTCGCAGAAGAATTGTATTGTTAGTTTTAAGGCCCTAAAAAGTCCTATGCGGACAGCCCTGCTATTGTGATCAGGTGACTTCTGTGTGGGTAATCCACTCGTGCACTGTTCAATATAGGCCTACGTACTGTATGTGAGATTCTACCAAATTTCTGATGAGGGAATAACAGATTGATCGACGGTATAGTTGGCACGTTTTTCCACAACCAAATCCCGTGAAGGTGAAAAGTTCATTCACAGGGTAGAGGGCACCCTCATAAGATTCAGAGAGAGCACGGTAAGGTAAAGTTTACGTAACGAATGACTGTCAGCGGGCCGAATTAATACAAGTGCAGTTGCACGGAAGAATAAAGGAATGTTTAAGAATCACTTTGTACAAAGTTAAATGCGAACACGGCTCAAGACCATGAAGTACTTTGAAGTACTTGGCTTTGGCCTGCAGAAACAGATGGGAAGTAACTTACATGTAAGGCCGATTCAAACTTTGTGCGTAATTTAAGCGCTAGGTGAGTTCATAAGGGTGATGGCATACGTCACAATTAAACTTCAATTGTTGACGTTATGAAATGACAAGATTCCACTCCAGGTTCGCGCATCATACACACGTGAACACACCCATACTTGTTTCACATGACTAGTGTGGACTTTCCATTGCTTTCGTGTAGTTAAGAAAAACCAGTGAAAAAACTCATTTTTCTCAAACTGTGAAAACTCTTTCAACCCAATTTTTTTTCTATGATTCCCTTTAGTGTTTCTCTTCATTCTGCTACAGATAAACCTAACCCAAAAATGCCTCTAAACCTGTTTTCCAGAAATGGGGAAACACTGTGTGGACGTGGGGTAAGTCCACACAACGTCGGTGCTACCTACATTATGTGGACGTCTTTTGTTCGGAAGTCCACACTGCGTATGTAAGACAAACTCACGCATATGTGTGTTCACCGTCGATCGTGGACGTCCTATTGTCCCTCTTTTGTTTGTACCCTAACTTTTTAGGCAGACTCCAATAGGTTGTGTACACGACCCCAATCGCGGACGTATGCTGGGAATCGTTGACGATATTGTTCTCTTTTCTTCCCTGGTATTTTTCGTCCACGGTTTGAAAAGATGAACACGTACACACAAGCGTGTGTTCACCGTCGATCGTGGACGTCCTATTGTCCCTCTTTTGTTTGTACTCTAACTTTTTAGGCAGACTCCCATTGGTGTTGTACACAACCCCAATCACAGACGTATGCTGGGAATCGTGGAAGATATTGTTCTCTTTTGTTCTCTGGTATTTTTCGTCCACGGTTTGAAAAGATGAACACGTACACCCAGACTTTGGTGCACACGTGTTAGTTTTGTGCATGTGAGACATTAATCAAGATTGTGATTGGTCAAGACATTTGCAAGTGGGGCTTAGTGAATCGGTCTATAGTAGAGTTAACTTCTGAAGGCTTTTCTATTTTATACTGACTAATCTCTCATAGAAGTTATAGTAGAATACTAAAAGGTGTATACCAGTACAATTTTTAATAAAACTGAAATACTTCTGTAGATGGTTTCATAAATATCTGTATAATGAATTCTCATCATGTTTGATACATTCTAATGTATGAATCTGTTGACTTCTAATGACTTGCAACTGTCCATTATTTCACAGGGGACGCCATTGTACATGGCACCAGAGTTGGTGGAGGAGAAACCATACGACCACACAGCCGACCTCTGGTCCCTCGGCTGCATCCTGTATGAGTTGTTTGTGGGAACACCCCCGTTCTACACTAATAGTATCTTCCAGCTAGTCAGCCTGATCATCAAAGTAAGTTTGATGTTAGTGAGGCGGATCTCTTCAAAATCTGTTTTAGAAAATGTTCTGGGGAAAAAGGAAATACTGAAAAAGATGGGCATTGGTAGGGGATAAGTAGATGCATATGTTAAATTTGCCAAGTGCAGTTCACTTCAGAATTAAGTTTAGGAAGGGTTTTCCAATTTCCAGCCAGGTTTTCCTGGAAATCAGGGGAAACCTTGAAAATGAGTTTCCATTTTGCCAGTCAGGAAATTTCAGGGAATTTGGGGGGAAAAACACCAAAAATCATGGAAAATTCAGGAAATTTAACACTGACTCAGTAGGGTAACATTTTTGCCAGTTGGGCCTATGTGCGTCTTGTGCCATGTGTCCAAGCTATGTCTATTGACTGACTGGAAGGATGGCTATAAGGGGAGAAGGGAGGCCCTCGCTTGTCAACAAGTTGCCTGTGTGTTATCAGTATCTTAGTTGCTTTGCTGCAACCACCTCTTGACTTCCCAGCAACCTCGTTAAACATGTTAAAGTGAGACGATTTCTCATGGAATTCTGAAAAATTCTCAGTGAAACATCAGGAGAAAATGAGGGAATTTTGTTTTCAAAATGTGATGGGAACCCATTTACAAAACAAAGAAACAACATATTTTAAAAAAAATTTCATATAAGGCCAAAAAAAAAAAATAGTCGGTCTCTGGTCAGCGCGCGCGTCGATTTTAATCATGCGCGTCAATCTTTTTTTTTCCAAAATGTTCCGCGGTAGCTCCAACAGCGCCCTCTATTGCCGCACCTCCTCAAATTTGTTTACCAAAGAGCACCAAGGAATGGGAAATTGCACCAAGGCAAATGATCGAGGGCACCAAGGCAAATTATGGAGGACACCAATGTACATGAGGACACCAAAAAAAGCAAAATAGTACCCCACCTTGTCTGTACAATCCAAGCTTGAAAAAAAAAAAAAGTCGCGTCACCGCATCAATTCCGGAACTTTGGTCTGACCAGAGACCGAGTATTTTATTTTTTTTGGTTTGGCCTAATATGCAATTCCAAACATGGTATATAATTAGTTGGGTTTAAAGAATATAACTAAAGCATGACAATAAAAACAAAAGCAAGGTTATAAGATTTCAATCATTTTTGTGTATTTTTTAGGATCCAGTTAAGTGGCCAAAGAACATGAGTCCTGAATTCAAGGTGGGTATATGGATTGTCAAAATTAATTTTACTTAATTTGGAACAATTTATAGACACGAAGAAGTGTGATAATGTGTTTTTTTTTTGTTCAATACAATATTTATTTATATCCAACCATGAACAGAATATAATTCTTAAAGCATGTACATTGAAATTAAAATTATAATAGTTCAACTATGACATTGTGTTCGATGCCATCCTCTGTCACTTCATAAACTTGAATCAAAATCACTCAATTGCAATGGTTAATTGATAAATGCACTCATATTATCATTGTGTGTGTGGTTGTAAATTTCATTTCAGAGATCCATTGAAAATTTCAAGTCATTCAAGTTAAATAACTGTAACATTGTCTTTGTGTAATGCATATCTATTTTAGCCCTTAACCAGAAAAACATACACATGATGTACAACTTCAATACATTTTGTGTACTCTTGATACAAGTGCATTTAAGATCCACACAATAGACCTTATGCGTTAAGGCGGAGTCAGAGGGCAGCAGTTTGTATCGATAGGATAGGCATGAGTGAACCTTTTGTGTATTCATTGTAACTAAATTGAAAAAACAAAGGACATCCTCTGAACTACCTGCAATGCTTAGGGCCTGTATGGTGCACCAATATCTCCGTTCTTTTTTGCATACATTATACTGAACATTTATTTTCAATGTTGTTATGACACTACAAACATGGAATTGTTATGTTAACATTGAAACATACAAAATATAATACGAAGTAATATTTACACAATACCATTATTATCATAATGAACAACACGGGATAGGGTGAAGCGATCGCTTTTGTTCCCTGACCTGTTGGACACTTACAGACTGACAGACCACTACAAAGTACGAACTAAGGACAATGACAGACAAACAGGAGTATCATTAAGCCTTGTTTTTATGTAAACAAAGTATTAAAAGACTACCAATAAGATGTAAGAAGTTGCGTTTTCAATTTTTTGATATCTGTAGATAGAGTTAAGGACATTTTAAGAGGGATACTTGGACTGTTCCAGAAACTCATGCCACATTGAACTATTCCATTTTTGAACATTGTCGTTCTATAAATGAAGCCATTATGAAGATTTTTCTTCGTGATACTCCTGGTTTTATGACAATGAGCATTTGAAGTTAAAGTAAAACATGAGCTAAAACACAAAGGGAGCAAATTATTCATATATTTGTACATGAATTTACCGAGATTGAGACAATAAAGATCATTGAAATGCATTAATGTAAGATTGACAAATAATGATGTAGTATGATCTTGATAACCAGAATTGGAAATTATTCGATCAGCTCGTTTTTGTAAAATAAGTAGTGTTACATACGTTTCTCATGTGTTTTGCGTAGGATTTCCTGCAAGGTTTACTGACCAAGAACCCAAGAGCTCGTCTGTCCTGGCCACAACTTCTTCATCACCCGTTTGTAGCCAACAAAGTCCAAGGTAAGAAAATAAAAACACAAGACAGCCGTCCAGAGCCCAATTTCACGATGTTGCTAAGCACAAAATTTGCTTAGCACAAAAAAGTCTAGCTTATAAAAGCAGGCTACCTGCCAAAACTCCATGCGATGTATATTGCTCGTGATTAGTATTCAGCTGTTGTTTGCTTAGCATGAAAATCGCATGGAGTTTTGGCTGGTAACCTGCTTTTATAAGCCAGACTTTTTTGTGCTAAGCAGATTTTTGTGCTTAGCAGCGCCGTGAAATTGGGCCCTGAGCCCAATTTCATGGCACTGCTGAAAAGTTGTACTACTAACTACATGTTTATATCGGAAAATTGTGCTAACCAAGCACTATTTCATAGTGTGGATGTGTCAACGGGTTTTTGTGCACGGAGATTTCTATTGTTACATCACTAAGTTTTTATAAGCAGCTTTTTCCTCTTGAAGTAAGCGTGCCTTTTGGGTACTTACTGCTTCAGTCTCCATGAAATAGAGTCTCTCTTAGCAGAAAAAATTGTATGCTTTGAAATTGGGTGCAGTCCACCAATTTGAATGCTAAGTTGAAGTCAAGAAGCCTTTTCAGCAAAATTCGCTTGTTTTAAAATTTGTAGCACAGAAACGTGCTGTTGTTTCACAAATCCTCATTCATGTTTTAACTTCACAAACTCCTGTTTGCAGCCTTTACATGTGCAGTTCCACGGTGTCACACATACATTTTGGACAATTCAGCAGTCTGCATACAAAAAAAAGTTATAATCATAAAGTGGATTGTTGTTATGATAAAATGTATCAGTTTTATTAAAAAAGAAATTATGCATGCAGATTTTGACGGATTTGGAACTACATAAGATAATTATTTGCACTATTAGTAGAAATCGGTTAATCTGACATACAGAATGTACAACGGCACAAAAACTATGAAAGGCAAGTATTGAATTGAATGATTTTTTATCTGTGTCAGAAATGCTTGGCAGTGCCGCCTGAATGTTTCTAATTTAGGTTCATCTCCAAGGTGTAGTCTCCCTAACGACCCTTGACCTTCAACCAACCCCACGGAGGCGAATCTCTCGGGCACTCTGTGTGGTTGTTTCACAGTCAGTTCTCTGACGTTGTGCAAGAGTTTCTTCTTAAGATCCAGTATCTCGTAGCAGCTGGCTTGGGCCATGAGTTGGCCGACCTCATCCAATTTGTGCTCCGTCTGAGCCACCTCTTTGCTATTGGCAACCTGGGCGGTTTCAAACACCCTGCATCTGTCGTCGTAAACTGTCTTCAATTCCTGCTTCAGTTTTTGTACCTCGTTGTTGATTCTAGAAACATGCACAGCACCTTTTTGGTCAATCTTCGTCTTCGTGTCATCAAACGTGGCATCCAGTTTCTGTCTTGATTTGTCAGTTTCTTGGATGGCTTTGTTCAGCGCCGTCTTGTTCTGTTCAGCTTTTGCGACCAGTTTGGCTACTTGTCGTTTGCACGTCTCCACAGCCTTGGTTAAGCCAACGAGAGTGTGGGTCTTATTCCGGTGATCCAGCACGGAGCAAGTCGTGCACACCAACTGGGCGCACGTCTCACAGTAAAAACTCAGATTCTGATCCGGATGCTGGCCACATCTTGGAACTTCCTCCCTCAGTTTGCTCTTGTAGGCAACCTGGCCTGTTCGTAGCTGGGCCAAAGTGTGGATGCTGTGACTTTTCATGACTGCCATGTGCTCGTGGGCCCTCTGGCACTCCCGACAGAGAAAGTGATCGCAATCCCTGCAAATCGAGACGGCTTGGTTGCTCTCATCACAGGCTTGGCACTTGATCTCCGACCCTTGACCTTCCGTAATAAGCTGTTCCATCATTGTGACTTCCTCCACCAGGGCAGTCAACGCAAAGTTAGTGGGCAGATCATCGATAACTTTTCCGTCCAGCATAGTTTCTTGCCTGCACAGGGGGCAAGTTAGTGTCACTGTGCCTTTGTTTTGGCGCTGTCTGAGTTCTTGAAGGCATCTAAGACAGAAAGTATGCAGACAGTCCAGCACCTTGGGCTGCCTGAAACGGTTGGTGCAGATGGAGCATTCCAGATGATCCACACTTATCTTCTCCAACACTGACTGAGCTGTTACGTTGGATGCCATCTGGACTGCCACACCAGCACAACTTGGTCAACTGAAAGGAATAAAATTGACACATAACTCAACATTTCATCACAGACACCACCAACTGACACTCAGTTGCCCTTGATGCCCGCACACATACATGTAACAGTACAGCATTATTTTGTTTTCACGATCTGACAACTGCCACTGCATGCGTGCACTCCGTACATTTTCGTTTTCACGGACTGAAACCGATCTTAATTTCACCAGTAAAAATGTTGTTTTGGTTTTTTTGTGTGTAAGCCCACAAGTATACGGATGGATTAAATTTGTGTCAAACCTTTCAAAGTGTTTTTCTCCGAATTGTATTTCCACCACTTGCAACATGCTTGTGTTTCAGTTTGTGAAAACGAAAATTAGTCTATTATGCGTCAGTGCACAAAGTGCGCGCATACTCGGGTGTCAGTTTGTGAAACTAAAGTTATTGATAACATAGCCCAGGTTGGACTCCGTCATGTACACGCAACGGAGTCCAGGGTAAGAATCTCTCCTGCCACAGCGAAAAAAATTATAACACATTTTTTGCATATTTTTACCTGACGGAGGAATAATTATAATTGTTTTCGCTATGGTGGTAGAATTTATACCCTGGATGTCAGTCGTAATGCAATGAAGACGTCATCCAACCTGGGCTATGATAACACAGTGCGTGCGTGCCAGTTTTTGAAAATGATGACGATTTGTATAAAATGATTTTGAATTTTAAACCTTAAAATTGTAATCCTAGAAATCTGATATATTCCCCATAAAAGAAAGAGACTGTTCTGCAGAGGGACTGAAATTATTCAATTTTAAGTTAGGAAAGAAAATTGAATGTATGCAGATGAATTTTTCTCTTTTTTGCAGATGAACGGTTCTTTTTTTTTATCTAGTCTGGGTAGCATTTTAACATTTTTTAATCCACATGTTTGTATAAGAGTCTTTTTAGAATATTTCTATGTTTTAACATTATGCATAAAAAAAAATAATGGTCTTTTTAGAATACTTTAATGTCGAACATATGTATAAATGTTTTTTTTTTCCAATGATTTCTGTTAATTGTAAATTGTAAACCATCGCAATTCAGTCTTCGGACTGCGAGAATGGTACGAACAATAAAAAAAACCTTCAACAACAACAAAAAAAACCTTCAACAATGAATGTAACAATCGTTTGTGTAATTTGCATTCAAAGAACAAGGGTATTTAGTAATTGATTCAGGACCAAAATGTGAAACACTTGCCAAAATTTAAACCCACCAACATGTTTAGGTCATGATATTCAACCATCAATGAATGTTCAAACATAATAACTCTAAATTGCTGTAACACATTCTCTTTTGTATATTGATGAGAAATACAGTGGAATACCGCTATACCGAACATCACCCTTGGATCCCGGTTTTAATGTACAAAACGTACCTAACATCATTGTTGACAGATTAACAAAAAAACCTACCGATTGTACATGTATTAAACACTGTTTGGGCCACGTTTAATTCCCGAACATCAAACCGCCCATGGTTACATCGTGTTTGAATGTTGAAGAGCGATAGATGGCTATTATTTCCCCAAGAAATAAAAGGGAAAACCACCCGTTGCTGAAGTTTTGTGACAACTCCTCGTGCGGCGGCGTGATGTTAAAATGCTAGTTTAGTGACTTCACTATTGGTCAAAAGAGGGTACCGGCGGTTCAAAATCGCTATACCGAACGATCGTTATTACAAACTTTTTCTGTGGATCCCACAATGTTTGTTATAGCGGCGTTCCACTGAATACAGTACAGTATAATTCATGTAAATTCCCATGTGTTTTTTCTTCCAATATTACTTTCATAATACTTACTTGAACTAATTGTGCTGTTCCAGTCTCTTCCTCGAAGTTAAACTTCAAAAGTTATAAATATTAATGAACAGAATACACTCAGAAAGTCACAAGAAGTGGTGAAGAAGAATAACATACTGTCGAAATATGAAATCGAGTGCCACAGTGTTAAATATTGCACAAGGCCTGGCTTACAGGAAGTACCGTATGTTTCTGCAAACTGCAAAATCACATTTCTATTTTTAGATTGATTGGGTCCAAGGTCAGCCTGGTGGAGAGTTCTAATTCACTATGCACATTACTAATGTGCATAATGTCATAAGTTTCAGTAGAGTGTGTTTGTGTGTTTATGTGAAGTGTGTCAAGTTTAAAGTCCTTGCTATAGTGCATCCATTCGACTTTTTTTATGATTTTTTTTTATTTATTTTTTTTTTTCATTTTTTTTTATTGTTTGTTTGAAAGCATTGGAAATGTTTGCTTTGAGTTAAATTTGAGCATATGGGATGATGAAATTTGTTTTTACCATATAGTCTTGCTTTAGTCTCACATTGGCCCAGAATTTGAAATAAAATTACCCTAAAAAGATTTCTAGTGGAAAGCCATCCTGAATCAATTGATGGAAATATTGCCCACCGTGGGACCATCTTTAATATATTGCCTTGTCTTGTTTTATATTGTCGATGGCATGTACCGGTATACATGAGCCATTTCACTTCAGTTAACAATCACATCCGACTATGAACACAATGTTCTAACTCAGCATTACTGTTAATCTGCAGTTTAGAATACTCTGAATGAATGTTAGATTTGTTAGTCTACCCCAAAAAGCTACGGAAGGACATGATGCACGTGGCCACTATCTAGCATATGAAGTGTGCAGTAGAACAGACAATTTTCATCTGATTTGTACACAAACCCGAGATGCCTCTGGCTTTTAGTGTAAAAAGAATACACCTCGTATCGGTGCACTTTCCGTCTGGCAACAAGTGTCCTTCGGGATTTTGGGTTCCTTATCAATGTTCAGGCGATACTGTGTCCATACCATTACATGTAATAAAGCAGCAAAAACAGCATTGCTTGATTGTTCCTATAGACTCAGTGCGAAAACAGTAGAGGGCGCTCTATGACCACTGTCAAGAGCGCCAGTGGGAGGGACACACCACGTGTGCTTACTGGTTTGCGCGCATTTTATTATTATTATTCATTTCTGGTAATGAAACCAAGGATTCCTCAAAAGTGCCCTAGGCACTGTAGCTCGCAAGCCTGAAGAAACCTGTGGAGAGAAGACACTCAGAAGAAGTTACGGTTTTAGAGGTGGGAGAAAAAGCCCAGAGGAATATTCTGGGGAAAACCCACGGAATCAGGCAGACACTGAAAACCCAATCCACATATTGGCCCAGGCGGGATTCGAACCCGGATCACAGCGGTGAAAGGCGAGGAAAGTACCGCTACGCTAACCTGACCTTATTGCTGAATTGTGCTGATTCTGAATGTGCACAGACCCATAGCGTCTTCACGTGAGCATCATGTGCCATCAGAAATACATTGGAATGTCCCTCCCAGTGGTCTCCCCAACTCTCCCTTTGTAACCGTTGAGGGAGTACTTGATCTTTCTAGTTTGTTTGGCAAACCTGAGTAGTTTCTTTATTCCACGTTCTCCGTTCCAGTATCCCCATCCTCAAGTTCTGAACTCCCCGAGCAGCCATTCACCGAGGAGCCCACTCCTCAGCAGAAAGCAGCCAGAGAGAAGGCCTCCAGACAGAAGGCTAGTAACCTGCCTGCTGGTACCACAATCATGCGCAAACTCAAGGGCAGAGAGGCACAGCAGGAAGAGGTAAAACAAGTCACCAGTCTATGTTTTTATTCTTGTTGATTATACTTCTACCGGGACTTCAGAAGTTTGTAGCCCAGAATCGTGTAACCCTGACCCACCCTAGCCTCCCCCGAACCCCCATTGAAAACTCAACTAAGATTTTTTTTGGGGGGAGGGGGACTTTTATTGTCACTAGAATTAGTTAAGCAACATTTTCACGTTGTGTTTAGAAATGTTCTGCTTGTTTTTGAGAACTGCATGGGTTCTCAGAATTGGTGAACCTCCAATTTTTTACTTATAAATCCTTTTCCAAACAAACGACAAACCTGTTGTAGCATATTTTGTGCTTCCCAACACAATGAAATCAGCCCTAGGAGATTAGAAGGTTATACGTTGGTGAAGGGCAAAACCTAATATTGAGATTAGAATAGTTTGTAAACAAATGACTTCAAAAGTATCTACAATATGTGAGCAATGTTAGCTGAGAAAAGTCAAGTGAGAATGGACCGATCCAGTAAGCTCCGCCCACTGCGCACGTGGGCAAATTAACACGTGCTCCTCAGCTTTCATCTCCAATGCCACACTGCATTTTCCTGCCGCGCGCATCATACGCGCGTGCACGCGTGTCGGACATAAATCACGGCTGTGATTGGTCAGAATACCATGGGGCGGTGCTTACTGGATCGGTCCATTGTAAAGCTTGTTCCAGTTAGGTCGCGTCCGAATTGCCTGCAGCCTGCAGGGCCCAATTTCATAGAGCTGCTTAAGCAGACAATTTGCTTAAGCACAAAAAAACATTGCTTAGTAAAATTAGGTTGCCGGCAAAACCCCATGTGATGTACATTTCTTGTGACTGGTATTTAGCTGCTGTTTACTTAGCATAACAATCGCATGGAGTTTTGGCTGGTATCCTGATTTTATTAAGCAAGACGTTTTTGTGCTTAAGCAAATTTTGTGCTTAAGCAGCTCTATGAAATTGGCCCCTGGCTACGGCTAGCATTAACACACATGTCTATGGGAAGTGGCTGCAGCCGCTTCCCATAGACATGTGTCATTACTTAGCCATAGCCAAGCAATTTGGATGCGGCCTTACAGCCTTAAGGCAATCCATACCTTATACTTGTGCATTTAAAATAAACTTGTGTAAAATAGCTTTCTTTGTTGTAAACAGGCATGCAACTTTTCCTCGGATCCGCCGATTTCCTCATTCTTTATCTTCTCATGAATGCCATTACAGATAAAAAAAAATACTGTACAAAGTCTTGTGTGGTTTGGAATTTTCTACTTTTTTTTCTAAATTCCCAGTTGCATGCCTGTGTAAGTATTTCCATTGTAATTATAAGTATTTGTAAGTTGTAATGTTCGTGGTCTGTTCCACCAATGCACTTTTTCTTTGTTAAGTTTTCTTTGCTTTGTAACTGTATTTAATAAGGGAATAAGTATGTGCTTTGCCGGTTTTAAACAAGTACATTTAAAACTGGTTAGAGGCCTGTCCGCAGATAATTTATGGCCCGAGCCGAAGGTCTAAGCCCCAATGGAAACCAGTTTTAAATTGTTTGAACAAAGCCCTGGTAAAGAAATGTAATAAATAAATGAACACATTTTCTTACTTAGTCCCCTCCAAAACAAGAAGCTTGGACCGCCAAGAAAGCCAGCAGCAAGCCTAGCAAGGACCCCCCACCCAGCACGGCAGGCAAGAGCGAACCCTGGAATAGTCTCAAGGAGGTGGAGCCCACACCGCGGGAGGACCGCATCACGCAAGATTACGCCCAGGAGTTTCCCAGCGTGGAGGTGGAAAGCAGGAAGGTGGTGCGACGGGAGGGCGGGGCTAAGGGAAAGGAAGGAGGAGTCAGGAAGAGCATTGAGCAGGTCAAGCTGACTGAGGAAGAGGTCAGATCTAGGGGGCAAAATGTGCTTTATTGAGAGTTTTGACTGTTTGAAACATAGGACCAATGGTTTTACATTTTAATAACGTATGTTTTTCACTTTTTTTTTGTAGGAACAAGAAAATTCCGTTTCAACCGTAAAACTGTGCAAGAAAATCAATTTCCAGCTTCATCGTGTGTGTCATTAAGTGGATTTACACTCGAAAATTAGTGAACCATGTTTTCTGTCAAACATTTTGCCGTGGAACATAAATAAACAAATCTGCCTAAAGCTGAGCATTAACATTCAAAGTGTTTACCCAATTTTTTTAATTTCCAAAGTTTGTATCTCTTTGTGTCCACACACTATCGTTTTTTTTTCTAAAAATCTGACTTTTCATTCAAAAGGTGATTTCCAGTAATTCTATTTTGTTTTCTGGTGGAGCAGAAAATCAGTGGCCCTGGACCATGTAAATTTTGGAAAAGAAAAAATTGTTTTTTAAAAATTGTCTTGACATCTAGAGGAAATTTGTTTTATTGCACTGCCGATTTTGTTTGTAGGGAGCATCGTAAGACTCAAAGTGCTTAGACCATTCTGGTGGGAATATTGCTGGTTCTGATGGGGAATGTGCTGTCCAAACTAGCAACTTGGGGAGTTCCCAAAAGCGATTGTCATCAGTGCGAAAACCAGCTAAACAGTTTTATGTATTTTGTTAAGATGTAATGATGAAATTAATATGTAAATGCCGAGGAATGTGACCATTCCAATTTAAGTTGATGAGTTTGTTTAGCTCCCACTCTGCCTTTATTATGGTTTTTTTTTTCCACTATTTTTGGTGCTCATTTTTTTCATATATTCAAAATGCAGTTGTGTTTTTGAATTTTTTAGGTCAATTGAGTAATCAAACTAATGATAAATGTTTTCCATATTTGTGATTAGGAATTGGACAGTGAGGATGAATGGGACACGTTATGCGACACATCGAGCCCTGAGTCATGTGACCCAGACTCTGTGGCAGCCCTCCTGAAGGACGAGGCGTTTGTGTCAAAGGTCGCAGCCAGGCTGAAGGACACATCGGAGCAAGTCTTGGAAGGAATGTTAGAAGGAGCGTCGAGATTACGACTGGTGTACCGAGTGGTTTCTAATATACTGGAATTCAGGGGGTATGTTGGATCTAAGTAAGGTCGTTTAACCTTTGTTTAAATTTTTTCCAACTTAAAGGGCCTATGTAATGGAATTTTTTTTTAAAATGCAATCCTTGAAATGTACATATGTGTTCCATTTAACTTTATTAAAAAGTTAAGGTCGAACCCTGCAACTCTCTCCAAAAACACCTCTGAGCATGGCTATTTTTACATTTGCTTGGACTATGTTTTCTCAATTTGATTTCTGTAACAAACATTTTCCGTTTTGTAACAGAGATCTTGATCTGCTGTTGGCGTTCTGTTCTGCTGTCGACATTCCCCGAGGGCCGGTGAAGTTGATGAATCAGCTGAAAGACAAACCAAACGTGAAAAAGGTATTGCCTCAGTGTCTTAGTGGTTTAATACAATGGTAGTGTTTGTGAGATAAGCAATGAGACTAGGGTCAGACAGGGTGTATGAATGCAATTTGTTTCGTGCCAAGCATTAAGAGATTATTACTGATGTCTTGAAGACATTTTGACACCATTGTGTAAAACTACAATGTCGCATTCATACATAATGTTAGATTTTCTATCTAAAATACTGAAAAAGCTTTCATTTTCCATTGACTGTGTAGGAAGCGGCACTCAATCGCGCTCATTATCACGGACTGAAGCATGAAATATTAACGATCATAAATACAAAATTTGTCTATAATGCAGATATGTCTTACCACTCGGCCACCAAGCTTGCTAGGGTCGGCTGGCTGGTTCGATTCTGAAATACAATGTAGCAGCGGATACCGCAACATAATATTGAAATGCAGTGTCTGGAAATGATTTGCATGTTGATTGAAAGTTCACAGTTTATTGGTCTTCTCATGTTTTACTTTCAGCAACCTTGGTGTGTTCAGATCCTGATGGATCTGACTACTGCCATCACAGCTTTCATGGTGTCAGAGGTCGGCAGTACACTGACACTAGACAGGTAAGCCATGACTAGGGACTCTATTAAAACCCTAACAATCCCCATCCAGTCAAAATCCAACTCTGGGGTTTGTTGGAATCTGTTGGAGTGAGTACTGCACTAGTAAACTGATTATGCTTTACATGGGGTCAGGCATACCACCATAATCAGAGTCCAACAGTTTGGGTGTTGAGTTACCATATGGTGTTGGAATTTGCAGGATTGAGGAAGATTCCTAGTAAATCCCTCAAGGGGGTTAGGGTTAAGGCCCCCCAAAAAAAGTCTCCGGTTTCTGGTATGCGCGCGCGTCGCCGTAGCCATGTGCGCGGGCAAAATGAAAAAGTTTTTTTTTTCAATGAAAGATGATGTCTCAAAACTGCCAAACTCACTGGTTTGACTGGAATCCTGCAGCTGCTGCACAATTTTAACGTGTTTTTAGATTGGGTTATGGTCGAGAATAAGCTTTATGTGGCCTCTCCGGACTCCCATATATTTGCACTAAGTTTAGTCGGGCACCATTTGCAGTCATCAGCCGACATTTGAAGCAAAAAAAATCAGGTAAAAAAAAAAAAAAGCCGCGTCGCCGCACCACTTTTTGGGCAAGCTCCATACCAGAAACCGGAGACTTTTTTTTTTGGCCTAATGGTGCATCCATTGGAAGAAGGAAAAGACCCGGCCAGCTGGCTGTCAAATTTGAAAAGGGGGAGACACCTCAATTGATATTATCTCTCTTTCTGTTAATTTCACCAATCCGTACAGGAAAGGGGGATGAGTAGCATCAATTTAACAACAGTCTTCTGCACTCCTGTTCATGCATGGAGGCCATTTAGCCAACACCAACGCAGACATGAACTTGCACGAGTCAATAAAATTACCGGAAAAATTCAAATGTCTTTAGTCACACTCATGAGTTAAACTTGTTTTATTTATTATTGAAAATACATTTGATGATATGTATTCAAGCTGCATATCATTTATCATTTATATTCCTTGTATCATAAGAAATACCGCAATCTTGAATTTTGTGCCCACAAGTGTGTAAAGATTATTTGAATGATTTTTCTAAACAGAGCGAAGACCATCATGGAGGTAGCCTTGTCTTACGCCGATGTGTTGCCATGGTTACTACATGTGAAACAGGACGACACACTGCAACTAAGAGCTCAAACAATTGTTGTGAGTATCCCAGCCATTAAAACTATACATGGAGCTTGGTGTGCCAATTTTGTGTAAATACAAACAAATCTGTCATTGGTCCATCGATTGTGACATTTGGTTGGTTGAGAACCCTTCACGTGACATACTGCAAGAGTGCATGCATGACAACCTGATGGGCTCTGCGGAGTACATCACCTCATGTTCCCCAGGAACATCACCTTTCATTGTTCTCAAAGAATATTTAACATTGCTGCTTTGTACTACACAGCTCGAAAAGACCCTGCGCTCAAGATACTCAATGTGTCCGCGTGTCACCACCACGTGTCAAAGACCAAAGCATTGGATTGTTCAATTGAAGTACATAGGGGTGTCAAAATAGGAAAAAGTCCTTTCTTTATGAATTGACATTTTAATTATTATATTAGTAATTTTAAAGACTTTTCATAAGATAAATTTGCAACGTGTTAGCACTGTATACTCAGTGTATTGCCTCCTGAGTGAAACTTGAAAAAAAAAACGATCCCGCAAGTTCGGTGGTCGAGTGGTAAGACATCTGCACTAGAAAGCAGGAGGTCGTGTGTTCGAGTCCCACCCGAGTGATTTTTTCAAACTTTCACTCGGGAGGTAACACACTGAGTATACAGTGTTAATTCATCAGTGAAGGTCAAAACCTCACATTAATTTTAAAGACTCAAACAAGTTACAAAAAAAATCGCCTTGGTTTCCATTTGCATTAAGGCAGACAAATATTGTATACAAATCGGACGTATTCACCTTAATACATTTGTTACAAGTTTCATTCTTCCTACTGGTCAGTGCCACTTACATGTAGAACAATTCTTTTTGTCAATTCTCCCTTCGGGAATAACAACTAACAGCCTGAGGATTTAGGGTATTGTAATGTAATTTCAATCAAACAGTATGCATTGACCAATCAAATCAGGACGTTTAGTTGGGGCTCATGGCCAAATCTTTGTCAACCATGTGTTATCTTTCCTCAGTGTTTCATCTACCAATGCGAAGCAATGGATCGCAGCCCTGCGGAGTTCTCCACGGGATTCTACGCTAGTCTTGCCTCAGCCCATGCTGACATTGTCCCAGCGTTCCTGGCCTGCCTGATGGACGATCCCATTGTCATGAAGAAACTGCAAGGTAGAGTCAGTGGCAGTATTCCAAAAACAACTTCAATTTAAGGACCATTGATTGGTCGACTAGTGGTTGATTTGTGACGTAACTTATAATGTCTACATACTAACAACATCATCTGAGCATCTCTGTTAAAAACAATGGTCAACACAGATTTTTTTTCTCCTGGCTCCCTGTTGTGTAATTTGATATGCATTGTTATTGGTAACCAGCCATGTGACCTACCTTGGAAAGCTGGTCGTGATTAGTAAACTGAAACTAAATAGTCAACGTTTGTGGGTATGAGCACAGATAGTCAAACAAAGGTTACCATACAGATGTCACTTGATCTTGGTCACAGTTGAGCCAGTCGGCAAGGGACCAGTGGGTAGGGAACCAGTGGGGTTTGATGATAATTGAGTAGAGATAGGAGTATAAATGACAGTAGAACCCAGAAAAAGGTCAGTGGAACCAACAAGATTTAATAATTGGAATATGAAGTGGTGACAGGTGCAGGAATATAAAAAAAACATGAGAACAGTGAAAATGGCATGGGGGACCAGTGGAATTAGGTAGAATGAAACCCAAGAGGATGGATGTTGGAAAAGTAGAGAGGGGACCGGTAAATTTGGGTAGAATAAGACTCGCCAAATGAATACTGTATAGTGGTGGGACCAGTGAGCAGGGGACCAATGAGCTTTAAAGGTAGACTGATATGGGATGGAGATGGAAGTCCATGATATCTTTTTGTTTTCAAACTATGGAATCCTCTTGATCTATTCTCAGACTCACAGAGCTGCTGCATGCACTCACAAAAGCCACTTGGGGTAAAACAAAAATGCACAATGTAAAATTGATTTTAATATAAGTGTAAACAATTCTGGGGAAAAAAATCTGAGTCAAGATCAAGGCAGCAGTCAGTGAACAGATTCAGTTCACCACACATTCCTTCCTCATGTATTCTAACTATTATCACTATCTGACCTTTAACCATTTACTAGGTAGCCTACCTGATAGTCAGTTAGACGCAGTATCAGCCCGGTGGGAGGAGCTATGTGGCATGGCAGTGGGCGGCTTAGCTGAACTGGTATTCATACCAATGGGTGCTGACTCCTGTGTTCAGGGCAAACGACAGGTAAGTCTGTAATTAATACCTCGGTGAAGGGCAACATCCAATATTGAATTTACATGTACATCACCCGGGCCTAAATTCCATCTTATGAATAGTTTGGTTGCAGTACCCGCTGCTATATCAGATTCGAACCAGCAAGCTGTCCCCGGAAAGCTCGGTGGTTGAGTGGTAAGACGTCTGCACTAGCAAGCAGGAGGTCGTGGGTTCGAGTCCTACTCGAGTAGTTTGTGAGTGTTTTTCTAAAAAAAAATTTTAAACTAGGGAATTATTTTCCCCGTAATCCCTTTTTTAATGTGATTTTTACATTGTCATTTTAGATGGCGAAGTGTGTGGGAACTCAACTTTCTCTAACCAAACACAAGGAGTTAACACACAACTACCTGAGGTTCTTGACAAGTCCTGTCCTGTGCGAGAATGCATTAAAGGTATCCTAGTTTTCTCTTTGTTTTATTAGCAAATTATCGAGAATTACGACGGTTAACTTGAACATGTGTCTATCACAAAAAAGTCAAAGAACAAAAAAAAGTGTCTTGTTATACATGTTAAAAGTTGAGCTCTTAAGGTCTGTTCATACTTCATGCAAGAATTTGAAGTCATAAAACATTTGCTTTGAAATTTGCCAGATTTGAAATATGTTTAACTTTTGCAAATTTGCAGTGCGAAAACCTGCCGTGGTGTCATAAATTGGCGTTCACGTTCCCTTTGCGTTGAGTATCGACAGGCCTTTGGACAGAATGCTAGAAGTTGCCATTTCAATTGCTTCAGTCCAAAATTTTCTGGATTCCAACTTTGACATCTTGATTATCATTAACCCTAACCCCCTAGGGTGATTTACTAGGAACCTTCCTCATCCTTGCATATTCCAACACCATGTGGTCCATTGTAAACAGAGTTGGACTCGGTCTATATGTGGTATGCCTAATAACCCCATGTACAGCATAATCGGTTTACTGTTGCAGTACTCATCCTAACAGATCCCAACAAATCCTGGTGTTGGAGTTTGGCTGGATGGGGATTGTTAGGGTTAAGTCAGTCACTACAATCATGTAGAAGTTGTAAAACTGAAATACATTCATTCTGAGACTTCAGAAAGTCATAAAAATATTACTTGATATTGTTACTTTTATTGTGAATTACTTTTATTGTGGAACAGAACTAATCTCACTATCAAACACAGTTTTCAAGTCGATAACTGGTGATGTGTGCGCCTCCCTCTTTCTTGCAGACTGTGTACTTTTGTTGCCAAGTTTCCAAGGAGTTCTGTGAGTATCTCGCTCTGAATCAGGATTACATCTCTATCCTTCTCTGGATCCTTCAAGGAAAGGTATGAATCTGTTTGTATCATTCCATTTGCAAGTAGTTTGGTGTGGCATTGAGGAAGTCCTTAACCTTTTTTTTCATATTTGAGTCAAAGCTGGGCTATGGACTATTCGGCGAACAAAAGTAGAAGCCATTTTTGAAGTGGTACCACGTTCAGGTACATGCTGCACGCGTTCTTTAAGACGAGACGCGTGCCCATTTTGGTAACCCTATTGGTCGATGGAGCCTGGAGAGCGTGCATATTACCTGTGAGTGACTCGCGTGAGCCCTCAGAATTAGTCTATTGGGTTCACTTAGTGCACCATAGAGGTCGCTCTTTGTGACTGATTTTGATGGTATGTGTGAGCTGGTTCATCAATGATTTTGAGCAATTTTGTTGCTGCAAACGGAAAAAATTGCACCAAGAGCAAATGAATCTATGTACCTTTTCACAATTCAAACATTCAGCCTAGATTAGTAACTATGCATCACAATTGCAGGTTGAAATAGAAGACATGTACCAGAACACCGTCTACGAGATGACGCTGCAGACCCTTGCCACTATTATCACGCAGTTGGGGGACATACCTCAGTGGTAAGTATCATATGTACTCAATCACACCACCATCTGTAAGTTGGCATTACATATACCTCAACATTAACATCATACAGTTGAAGACATTGCAAGATGCACTGCATACATGTATACCTCAATGTTAACATCGTACAGTTGAAGACATCACCAAGTCTTGTTTTGTCTGTCACAGAACTTGTTCTCACATTAAGTCAGAGAGTTACATAACTTGAGGCTTGGGGCATGAACACAAAACCTCCAGTTTAATGCACACTATTCCTGACAAACATTTGAGTCACATTGAAAAAAATTTCAGAAAGACTCTTTCAGAGTGACTCAGACTTGTTATTGACTACTCAATTACAGGGTGTCTCATAAAAACCAAACCCTCAAACCCCCTCTTTTCACAGCTTTAAAAAAGTACCTCGCAAATATCGATATACATTTTATAGAGAGTTCATTAGCTTTTCAACACCAAAAAAATCTTTCCAATCAGGTAAATATTTATTGAGTTATGGCCAATTCAAAATAAGTTCAAATTTTTCAATCTGTCGAAGTTCTCAATTTTTAAAGTAAAGTTGTTTTTTAAAGTTAAGTGAAAAATGCCTGTTAGTATGAAAACATGGATATTTCCTGAAGTATAAAAACAAACATGAATGGCAACTAAAATCCTGCTTATTTCTTCTTTTTGTCGACCTATTTCACAGCATGGTCCAGAGCAGTGTCATATTTGCAGCAATTCTTCTGGATTCGCAGGTTGCCAGTCAAACGGTAAAGGCATTTTTCTTTCCAGATCGTCAATAAAATCAGTCAAATTTAGAAGTTGAGTTTTAATGTTATTTTTTGTAAAGCAGCAGTCATGTTAATGTTTCTAGCTTGTAAAGGTTTATACAGAAATTCAAATAGAAAAACTGCTACAGATGTTTATTAAACAATGATGAATGCTTATTAAAAAGGAAAAATAACTTAGAGTATTTTTGTGTTTCAGCTATTTAGTGAAACTTGGCACGGGAAAGAATTTGTCCTGCCAACAAAGACACCCCTTTTCTTTATCGTTTGGGTATCCGGGGTAGGATAAATGGGGCACGAGACATTTTCTGCAGCGTAACTAATGCGGAGGTGGGGTATTGCAGGGCAATACCCCACACTCCCCCCGCCCCCCCCCCCCCCCTATCCCGCAAGAAATTTTGGAAGGCAAAAATTAGCTTTAATGGTTATAATTCATTGAGTGCCCCCTCCAGAAAATAAGGCCCTAATGAAGTGTTTCCCCCCCCCCCCATCCCGGACCCATGCTACGCTACTGGATGATTTCAATGATTGCTATTTTTTCCCTGTTGTTCTGACAGACTGCTGCAGCGTTGCTGGTCAGTCAGTTGTTATACCATGGTGTGTCCATTGAGATGCCAACGGATGATTTATTAGCTGCCGTCCATTCAGCACTCACTGATCTCAGTCAGGTTAGTCATGGTTTGGTCATATAGAGGGCTCTATGGTGTATCCATTGAGATGCCAACAGATGATTTATTCGCTGCCGTCCATTCAGCGCTCACTGATCTCAGTCAGGTTAGTCATGGTTTGGTCATATAGAGGGCTCTATGGTGTATCCATTGAGATGCCAACGGATGATTTATTAGCTGCCGTCCATTCAGCACTCACTGATCTCAGTCAGGTTAGTCATGGTTTGGTCATATAGAGGGCTCTATGGTGTATCCATTGAGATGCCAACGGATGATTTATTAGCTGCCGTCCATTCAGCACTCACGGATCTCAGTCAGGTTAGTCTTAAAATCTGCAAAAGTGTCAAGCCGGTATTACTGAGTCATGCCAAGCTCAAAGGATTCAGAGCGAGGTTTGGTTTCTGGCAGGCAATTTTTATATATATTTTGATATTCCATTTACTAGAATCTGGAGTCATTGTGACTTCAGACCGTTGATCTTTCACTGACTTACATATGAAGTCAGTCCTAAATTTTTCAAATATCTAAAGTCAAATCTTTCAAAAAACTTTTTTTGGGTGTAACTGAGAAAAGGGTGTTACCTTAAAAAAAAAATGAAACTTTTCCAAGACAACTGACTGTTTTATATGAAAATGATAACAGCATAGATTTGCATTGTGAGATCTACCTCCTCAATCTTTGACTGGTTCCTGTCCACAGATCTGTGTACGATGCCCATTTGACTACGGGGTACTAGACGGTTTACTCCTCCTCCTATGCCAGTTCCTGAGTGTCGGTCCCAGCGCAGTAAGCCGACTGCTGATAGAGTCTGGTGTCTGGCAGAAGCTGTGGCATAGGTGGGTGTGTTACTTCCAAACCTGGTAGTATTTGTTGGAAAATTGGTAATTGGTGAATAGACCTAGCAATTTCATGAGAAAAATAGCTTTGCTCAAAGTGAAGATAGGACTGGTACCAAATACCCTGTGAAATTGCTCCACCTGAAATGGTATCAGTCAAGAGAAAACAATCATTGAAGGTGTGCCCATGGAAACACGTTTTACTTGTGCTAGCAACGGAATCCAGTTACCTGGTTACGGGAACCAAAAAATACTGTGCATATGTTTTCGCTTTTGTCTCAAGATGTATAGTATCCACTGAGCTAAAGCTTGAACAGGTTTGTTGTAATGCACTGTACTCAAGATTTCTAGCAATTTTGTTGCTTCCAAAAAGAAAATCCACAAAATGCAGATGATCATATATATATGTACCTTTATCTTCAAGCATACTTGTATCCTCGGTTCTGATTGGTCGATCCATGGCAACAACAGTGTGATATGAGGCTGTATTGCACATTCCATATCGCACCCTGCGTATTGCGCTATTCCAGGGAGCGAGCGACATTCCAGCTTCATGCGCTAAACCGTAAAGGTTCGTGTAAAGCGATGGTCTAAGTTTACTGTGCGTCAAGTTTGCTTGAAGATAAATTCGTTATCACGCTCGCACTCGTGGAACACTGAAAATGTAGTGCGTCTGTGTCCCACATACCACTCGGCCTTCGGCCTCGTGGTATGTGGGACACAGACGCACTACATTATTCCGTGTTCCACTCGCGCTCGCGGGATAACTTATATTAACCCTAACCGTGCCAGACGCAACACAGTGCAACAGGTGTAATAGTCTGTAGGACCTCGCTGCATTGAGCCATCAACACCGGTGCATAAACGGCCAGTTGTGAAACAATGAGAGCTCGTCCCATTGAACAATGTCACAGCTGTATGCTGCTGCAGTTGGTGATCAGCTTACAGCAGTGACATTGTCCAATGGGACTAGCTCTCATTGTTACACTTGCTACACTGAGCAGGCTTGTCATTTAGACAAGTGTTGCATGTTGCTGCATCATCGGCAGGGTTTCTAGCCAAAATACCCAGGAGGGTTAGGCTTAATATATTGGACAATATCGCAAACTGGGAGATTTGATTTTGTCGTGTGCTCCTTAGATTATTACAGACCCTAGGGGCCGTCCAGCCTGATGACTTTCCTATTGAGGACATAGAGGATGAGTTGGCTGATTGTGGGCCTATCACCTCCCAGCCACAATGGGGTCTCATCTCACCATCAGGTCTCACGGCTTCCTTGCAGATTGTCACCATCGTCTTCACACAGGTACAGGACAAGATCATCCAAGAAAGTCCTGCAATTTCAGTCAAGTCTTTGAATGGTCTGGGTTTTTGTTAAGATTCATTTTGCAAAGTCTTTCTCAGTTTTTGAAGTGCATCTTTTAAAGACGATTCCCTGTGATATTCTTAAGTTTTAACTCGCTGGAAAGAGAATTTGGGTTTTTGTTTTTTCAGTTCCTAAATTCCTATCAATATGAAAGTAGTTCACTTTTGAATGAGACACCAAACGAAGAAAACCACCAACATATTGTTGTTTAATTATTTCTTCACAAAATGTGAATTTTTAGCTGCCAGACAATAATCGGGTCTCGCAGGGCGGGTTCATTTGTGCGCAAAATGAAAGCCATTTTTCAGAGGGTTGTAGATGCCCAAAATCGGACTATTAAAAGTAAAAACAAAACATACAAATTTTCGTTAAAACAAAGCGTACAAATTGAAAACTCCATATATATTTTTAAGAGCGCGGGTATGCATCTTGAAATTTGTGACCCGTCTTGAAATTTTAGATCTATCCTGAAAAGCCCTGAAAATGTGGACATATCCTAGTTTAGATTTTACAGTTCCAATCGGAATGGCCTCCAAGAAATATGGACATTATGCTGTTTATTTTTATAGAGTGCAAAGAATTTTTTTTATCAAATTGTCATACTTTATGTTGTACATCTTAAGAAAGTTGTGATTCAATTTTTTTTTTCCTGACGTCATTAGGAGCCCTACCAGTGTGTTCCCCTGCTCTGTAATTCTGACGGTGTTGTCATGCTAAGTCTGACCACTCTACTCTCAAGGGACTTCCTAGCATTCCTTGCTGCAAGGTCAGTAGTTTTGGACATTTAATTTTACTTTTAAATCAAAATTCATCAGACCATTTACCCATTTCTATTGGTCGAGAGCCCGTCACGTGGGTGGTTTTAAACGGTTGATAAAACACCTACTGGTTTTAAACACGTTTTCCAGTGTCATGAAATTTTGACTCCTATGAAATCTGCTCCTACCTTTTGCCCTTTTATTGGTTGAACCCTCAAACGTGACCTGTCACTCTCCTAAGTATCTTCACATAGGCATGCACAATACTATGAGTCCGTATTTCATAGATTCCTAAATTCACACCATACCATAAACATAGCTACAGGGCTGTTTCACAAAACATGAAGTAAAGTTGTTGAACAAAATCGTTGGAAATTTATAATTTTTGACTTGCATTTCGGCTCAGGTCATCATCAGCGTTCAGGCCCCAAGCCGATTTTCAACGTACTTGTTTAAAAACCACCAAAGCACATATTTATTCTCTTGTTAACTGCACCCAGAATTATAGCAGCCAATCTGGAACCCAATTTTATGTTTATTGAATTTAATAAAGGGACAAATTGATGCAAGAGCCGCATCCACATGACTCGGCTGAGGCTTGATTGCATATTCACATATGCATAGCCGTAGCCCAAAAAATTGAGACTCCTCCAAAGTTGTTTTCAACTTCTGTCATAAAACTGTCGCGATATCATACTCTGATGTTTGTATTTCAGTAACGGCAGTGAGCAGGACCTATCTTCCATGGTCGTAGACATCATTCTCAACGTTTCTCAGCTTCTGTGTTTTCCCTTTGCGTTGGACACTCACGACATGTTGATGGAAGCTATTCTGTCCAGCTTACAACAGAGCCACGTCTTGACGAGACTTATCAACGCTTGCATGCTGTACCTCAAACCTGAGGATATGGAGGTACCACTAGGTGAGTATTGCATAAATATGTGTTCATAAATACCTTAGACAGTGTGTTATTGATTTAGAACCCATCACTTTGGTGGTTTTAAGCAGCCCTTTAAACACCGCTCAGTGTGTAAACGGTAGTACGTGGAATAGATCATTTGTCATTTGTGCATTTTTTTTTTTCGTTTGAAGCAACAATAGTGCTCAAAATCTAAAAAAGGGTGCTAAACAACTAACCTTATGAAGTTTCAGCTCAATGAATGCTGTATATTCCGAGAAAACAATTTGGATTTCAGTTCAAAGTTGCCAAGCCATGTTTTGAATTGCCCTCCAAATCAGCATCCGGGACACGTTCTCATTCAGCCGATTGCAGTTACGCAATGTCACACACAGAACCAACGAATTATAGCAACCTCGCACGCGTGTCAATGCTTGGTGCACTCATTCACGGCTTTGCCTAATTAAAAACGAACTACCAACGGAAATTTACAAAGATGCATCTTGAGACGCATCTTTGGAGATGACCTTCTGTTATTGTTTTCTTGAAAATGACAGCATGCCAGAAAGAACAATTTCACAGGGAGTTTATTGCCATTACTAAACCAAGTATGCTTTTCAACAATAATTTTGTCAGTTACTTTTCGGATAGCTGCAAATGATATACTCTACCTTTAAAACTGGCCGTGAGACCCATGCTCCGTGCCACATGTGCAAAGTCAGACACACACAGCACCAACTACAAACAGGGGTGTGAAATCTCCGCTATTTAGCGGATTTCCGCTTTTTTGTTCAGTGTGCCACATTTTGTTTTCCGCTTTTTTTCTTCCGATGGTCCAGATTTCCCCCCGCTTTTTCCCCCCGCTTTTTCCCCCGCGCGTAAGCATTGATTTTATTTCCGTTTATTTTATTTTCCGCCGCCGCCGTACGCACACGATCCGCTCTCTACAACGTACACGTAGCTCTGGGATGCGTGCAATCGCAAGCGAATATTCAATGTACATGTACATACGGTTACGTACATGTACAATGTACATATGTACGTACGTGTGTACAGTACTATACGATGCCATGTGCATGCATTTTTCAGCTCGAAGCCGCGTGTGTACAATGTATTGTACACAACATGTAAACAGCATCCGGGGAACCAACAGTCATTGCGCTGTGATTGGCTGCAGATAAATATGAATATTCACACATGCGCCATGAAGCGCGTTGGGACTCTTTGCGGCCGTTCCTGTGTCTATGCATGTAGTGACACGCGATGATCTCCACAATAACTTGCTGTAAACATCGTCTTGTTACAAATATAAAGCCTTGAAATAAGACTAGTATATTGTCGCCGTGCCGCGCCAGTAGACATGGTAGAGGGCATCATGCGGGGCAAAGTTCATGTGTGCATTTCATTGCATGCACGCATCCTGCTGCATGTATTCCGCTGAATGCTGATACGTACGTTAGGGTGTCGTTTCAAATGTTTCGAATGTATTTTGACATTATTAATTCTGCAAGATGTCAGTGCAACACAAATGTGTTAATAACTGTTATTATCCAAAGAGGTTCGGAGTTTGATACGGACATTGACAAGACCGATCCTCGGGTTACGAATCCGTGGAAATGGATTTGGATGGAACACATGGTTAATGGGCAGAAATTAGGCGACTCGATCAGAAGCCGGGACACGCGATGACGATGTGTATCATCTGCAGTATGGAGTTAAAATATGGAAAACGTGGTCGAATTTCCCAGTTTTCATATACAAGTTGGCCATTTAGGCAGTTTCAAGCCAATATGAAGGAAAAGTTGAATTAAAAACATGCATAAATTGCAAAACATTTTTGACCAATAGTTGGCCCAGGCATGCCAGGAGGCTTTAAAATGCACCACATGCACAGAGCATCTACATTTCAAAATTTTTCCGCGGGCCCTTGGGCGGGCCCCGGACCCCACACCGTAAGGGCTTTGCGCTACGCGCTCGCAGGTTCGGTTATTTACAGGTTCAGCTATTTTCAGCTATTTTTTTTCCCCTCCAATCACACCCCTGTACAAAGTGCAGTTAGAATTGGGATGTTTAAAACCAATTAGGGGCTGGTCACTGATAAGAAGTAATTTGAATGTCGATAAACTATTTTGATGCGTTTTTGCATATTTGTATCTATTTTTTGGAAAGTCGACTTTAGGCCATTGAAAAATCTACAAAAGGGTTCTGTTCAAAATTTTGAAATTTTGATGTCTTTGACGAACCTTCCGGGAACCAACTTTTTATTGTCAGGCTTGTTGTCAAGATTTGTGCTGAGTCATGATGCCTTTGTCACTGAGTTTGCAGAAGCAGTCACTCAATTAAAGGTGAGTTGCACACCGTATTTCCCAGTTTTGTCACCCTCCTTATCCATGTGGACTGTTCCTGAACTCCAAAATGACCCACATGTAGATTGTTTCACGTCATCCTAATCTCTACAGGTTAATCCCTTCCTGACTCCCTACTATTCCCCGGACAGTCCTCACGTCCAGGGAATTACAAGCCATTCCTTTAATCATCTTAATCCCTACAGGCTGATCCCTTCTTCATCTCCCTACTATCCACTGACATTCCTCCTCAAATCATGGGATTAGCGTGACTTTTTTAATCCTCTTAATCCCAAAAGCTAATCCCTTCCTGAACTCCCTAACTATTCCCTGACAGTACTCCTCAGGTTGTGGGAATACCAGTCACTTTGTTAATCTCTTAATCCCAACAAGCTGATCCCTTTCTCAACTTCTTGCTATCCCAACAACAAGATGTGGGATTACCAGTCTTAATCCTCTTAATCCCCATAGGCTGATCCCTTCCTGAAACCCCTTTTATCCCCTGAGAGTCCTCTTCAAGTCTTAGGATTTCTTAACTCCCTACTATCCCCTGACAGTCCTCCTCAAGTTGTAAGATTACCAGTCTTAATCCTCTTTGTCTTAATCCTCTTTATCCTGACAGGCTGATACCTTCCTCAAATCCCTACTATCCCTTGACAGTCCTCCTCAAGTCCAAGGTGATCTCCTTAGCATCTGCAGTCATCTTGCCAGGAGTTCAGCCGTGCATCTGATGATGCTGAAACAGGTTCTGCAGGGGCAAAAAGGTTAGATGTGTAAGGCATGAGACAATGAGACAGAGAAGATAAGGCCAAAAAAAAAATAGTCGGTCTCTGGTCAAACCGAAGTTCCGGAATTGATGCGGCGACGCGGTTTTTTTTTTTTTTTTTTTTGTGGCTTTTTTTTTTTTTCAAGCTTGTATTGTACAGACAAGGTGGGTACTATTTTGCTTTTTTGTGTCCTCATTATACATTGGTGTCCTCCATAATTTGCCTTGGTGCCCTTTACCATTTGCCTTGGTGCAATTTCCCCATTCCTTGGTGCTCCTTGGTACAAAAATTTGAGGAGGCGCGGCAATAGAGGGCGCTGTTGTAGCTTCCGCGTTAATTTGAAGGGAAAAAAAAGGTTGACGCGCATGATTAAAATCGACGCGCGCGCTGACCAGAGACCGAGTATTTTTTTTTTTTTTGCCTAATGTTGATTCCTTGAACCATGCCGAGGTGATGACTTAGAGAATTCACATTTACAAAACAGAAACTGTGCAGATTTCTAAACATTGAGCTTTCATGAAGACTGTTTTCTGCTTGAAGTTTAGACAAAGTCACAAAAATAATTTATGCATTTAATAGCAGTCGAATTAGCACCAGTTGAAAATTATTTATTTTATCGCTATAGTCTCTAAGTTTCAGCCAATTTGTTTTTTTTTAATTGCTTTGTTTGTTTATAAGGCAAGTCAGTTTTTAATAATATTCAAATTTGTAAATGAGAGGATTCCTACAATGTAAATTGCTTTGGCCGTCTTCCTCACCACCACCCTTTTGTTTTATCCACACTTATTTTTTTTGGGGGGGGTACGTTTCTCGTAATTATTTTAGGCGAGCCCTTTCAGTTCATACTTGGAAGATTTACCTGATGTGTTTACGTTTTGAATGTGTATTTCTGTTTAATGTCCATTGTTGGTGTTTTTTGTATTAATAAGATAAATTGTTGCGGTAGCACCATGTGGCAAAATCTCTTTTGTGAGAATGTGTGGTTCTGAAAAGAACCGTTTTTTATGTATACTGGGCCCATGGGAGACCAGTGGATTCCATTGAATGGGACTCCCAGTTAAAATTCAACATAAATAAATGAATAAATACCCTTGTCCAGCCAGAGTTCATACCGATGATTTTTTTTGTCTGATTGTTGCTAAATGTTCCCCTTCTTGACTTGGCTTGTAGGTGACTACGCATGCCTGCAGCAGCTACTCAGCAGCAAAGATGCAACGGTCCAGGCCCGCTCCTGTGGCATGCTGGGTAATCTCATGAGACATTCCAACGGGTTCTACGCAGTCCTCAAGAAAAGAGAGGACCTAGTGACGTCACTGCTGGGGTGCCTGACTAACCAAGAGACGGATGTCAAAAAGGTGAAGAAGTTCATTTCTGTCATGTTTGTGAGATTGTTTTGAAAATCCTGGTCTTGAAAATTCAAGGAATCATTTGATTTTTTGAAATTCCGGATTTTGTTTAAGTGTTAAAGGCATATAGGATCATTTGCATTTATTCCAAAAGTAAATTTCAAAATTATAATCAAAAAGCTTACTTGGATTAAGGATCTCTGATACTAAACACCCCGTAATATTATTCCATCTGGCTTGCTCAAGTTGCTGTCATTTAGAAGAAATCAAGAAAAGTAGTTGATTTCCAACAACTTGTCAGTTGACTGATTTTTGGAAAAATAGAGTGCAACGGACGAATCATGTTTCGTGATGAAAACGTTGTGCATGGTTTTTCACTGATTTCTTGAAGAGTGTAATATCCACTGAGCTGAAAGTTTAACAGGTTTTGGTTTTAAACATCTTTGAATTTTGAGTGTTTTTATTACTGGAAATGAGCAAAATGCATGAAAAGCTAATGATCCTACATGCCATCATATTCAAAACGTCAATACCAGTTCTTTTTAGAGCCACACCTAACTCATAAAGAGGATTTTTGATTTCACAGTGCAGAAGCTTTGATCTTACTTGATAGTGCGGTTAATTTTACCATTCCGAGCCATAGCTTTTAATAACTCTCATTTGCTCACAAGTCATGAGTCAGTTAGTGTGAATTCCCAGTTAATACTTAGTGTGAATCAAATCCAAGTTCTGACTCATTTGAGTTTGACAATGGAACGATCCATTTGTAGGCCCCGCCCACTGTACACATGTGCAACCATACTTGCCTCTCCATTGCCACACTCAGCATTCGTAGCCTAAGGAATCAACGCACATGGACAATTTTTTTAGCATTGACCAAAAGGGCATATCAAATAGATCTCATAAATTTCAGAAGAGTAGAAAGTGCCATGAGGTCTCCAATGGACCCTTCATATCAATCAAACAGTGCACATGGACCAATTACATGACAACATTTAGTTCAGTGACTTCAGTAGCTCGGTCAAACATGGTCATCGCACTAAGAGCAATGAATATAAAAAAAGTTGGGCGGGGCTAATGGCCGGGTCCCAGGGACAATAGACTTATCTGTTAGGATAGGCCCCGCCCACTGCACACGTGGGCAGCAACACGTGCGCCTCTCTAATACCACACTGCATGTTCCAGCTCCAGGGGTTGTACGCGCTTGCACACATGGTGGACTTTTTGCTGACGCATGTCGGTCATTAATCACCACTTATTGGATCTATGTCATGGAGCTGCTAAGCACTGAAATCTGCTTAGCATGGAAAATATTGGCTTAGCAAACACCAGTTACCAGCCAAAATGCCATGCCATATTGATATGGCTGGTTCCAAGCTTACTTTTCGCATAGTACATAAATAATTTCCTAAGCAATATTTTTTGCAAAGCGTAAATTTGTCAATGTTTCTTGTGTTTGGCAGGCTGCCAGCTATGCTGTAGGCAACGCTGCATATCACAGTGCTGAGTTGTACACCTTGCTTGCCGATGGTATCCCGTCCCTCGTTCAGCTTCTCATGGACCCACAGGGACGAACAAGATGTAATGCTGCCGGTAAGACATCAATTCCTGTTTTAATAGGTCCCAAATTCTCAAATGTCACGGTTGTTTCCTTTTTTAATGTTTGCTGTTGGAATATTACTGACTGCTAATGGTCATGTTTGGCAATATGTCATGTGACCAAATGTTTGGAGGTTGTTTTAAAGATATAGTCCATCATTTGTAATTTGTGCATTTTGTTCGTTTGAAGCAACAAAAGTGTTCAAAATCTAATGAAGGATACTGAACAACTTACTTGATGAAGTTTCAGCTCAGCTTCAGCTGTATATTCCGAGAAAAACAGCATTCTAGGATCTCAATTTCAAATCAAAAGTTGCTGAATCATGTTTTGAATTGATTGAATTCAGCGTCCGAGACGCGTTCTCACTGAGCCGATTGCAGCTATACGCGATGTCGTGCACTGATCCGACGAATTGTAGCAACCGCGTGTGCGTCGTGCCAATGCTTGCGCGCTTCGCTGAATAACAAAACGATCTACTAATTTAAATTTTCCTACGGTGCGTCTTAAGACGCACCGTTGGAAAGGCCTTCTTTCGTTGATTACTTCAAAATGACAGCTTGCAAGAAAGAATAATTTCACAGGGAGTTTAGCTCCCTTACTATCTTTCAACCAAGTATGTTTTTCAACAATAATTACGCCAGTTACTTTTCGGATTGCTGCAAATGATGGACTATAGCTTTAAACATTTTTTTCAAAGCATCATTCTTTGATTGTGTTGAGGTAGTTTCCATCTTGTTGGTCAAGCATTCAATATTGGGTTTTGGCTTTTTACGATGTCAAATTATTGACACTTTTCACTCAGTGTTGTCTGAGGACTTGCAAGAAAAATTTCATAAGCCGTCTTAGGTCGGACTGGAACCCATGACCTCCTGCTTACTAGTGCAGGAGGTCTTGGGTTCTAGTCCCACCCGAGTAAGCTTGTGAATTGTTTCTTGCAAGCCCTCAGACAACACTGAGTATCCAGTGTCTGTAAAATTACATTGTAAAAGGCAAAACCCAAATATGGAATTCAAATTTCCCTGATGCAAAATTCCATCATATTCACTGTCAAGCATTGTTTTTATTCCCTTTCATCAGGTGCTTTGGGTAACCTTGCTAGGCATTCCTCGAAATTGTGCACAGCTCTCAACAAACATAAGGCACCAGAATGGTAAGACTTGACTATCCAATCACTTCCTGTGATAGTGAAGTACAGACCATCCATCAAAACACAGCTTATTTTCTTCCTTTTTCTCTCTTATTTTGACTTTTGCTGGTCCCAGAGGGCCAGCCTAGCGTCCTCTCTGTACCTGACCGACCGACCAACCGACCGACCAACCAACTGACCGACCGATTGATTCACTGATTCACTAACTGTCACCAGTGAGTCGGGCAGTGCTATTGTATAGGATCAACGCTGATGAATGGGCCATATTAAGCCCATTGTGTGTACAAGATGTACAAAAAGTATTCATATGATGGAATTTACGTCGTGGTGATGTACATCAATATGTTTTGCCCTTCACTGACGTATAAACACTGTATACTCAGTGTGTTACCTCCTGAGTGAAAGTTGGAAAAAATCACTCGGGTGGGACTCGAACTCACGACCTCCTGTTTTCTAGTGCAGACGTCTTACCACTCGACCACCGAGCTTGCCGGGGTCGGTTGGCTGGTTCCATGTATAAAACGACTTCCAGTAAATTGCCACTCTGAATCAATTGAATATAATTTTGTATGCTAGGCAAGCCAAGTCATGTTACATGTAAAAGGTTTCTATCTTATAGCATCTGATTCTAATGTTGAAAACCAAATGAAATTGAGTGATTTCAGGTCAAGCTATAATCAAACAAAAAATGCACATTATGGCATGTTTTCTCATCATGATGGTCCAAAAACTGTAGTTGTGTATGTTATTTCTTGCAATCAATCAATTACTGAGCGTCAGTTCATTCATTAAAATCTGCCACAGATTTGTTTCACAGTTTTGATATGTCTTTGGTTTGACTTTGTGTTTGGTTTTTTTTCTCTAGCTTGTTGGAGATATCTTGCCATGATACTCAACACAGCGTACAGGAGGTATGCTTGCTGTCACTGCGTTCCATGGCTCGGCATTCACAGCTCACACAGGTAAGAAATGGGAAACAGTCTAAGGTGGAGGTATGCTTGCTGTCACTGCGTTCCATGGCTCGGCATTCACAGCTCACACAGGTAAGAAATGGGAAACAGTCTAAGGTTCTTGTAGTCTTGGGAAAAGTAGGGGGGAAAATCCTGACATTAAGTCAAAGGAAAATAATGGAAAAGCCATGGAATTTCCTATTTGTACAATCGGAATGGGTTGGAAAAGCGAGCAGTCATTTGCAACAGGAGAAGTAATTGTTTATTAAAGTTGAACAAAGAAATTGACTGGAGTGGGATTTGAACCTGCGACCTCCAGATTGCCGTTCCAGTGCTCTACCAACTGAGCTATCCAGCCCTATGTTGGCAGTTCCCCAATTGTTCAATGTTTTTGTTTAAGGGGCGCTAGTCAGAAGCCATAAACCTATATGTGCCATATGTTGATTAAAACACACTGACATATTAAAATCTTGAATTGGAATTATAAAGCTGTCTCAGAATAATGCCCAACCTCAGTCAACATTTTCTTTACGATTTCAACCTCAATTTTGTTTTCTTTACATTTGAAGATCACATCATTATTTCAAAAAATCATTGAAACACTGAATGGACGTCAAAAAGCACAGCATGAAGTCGTGTTTCAGTCAAATTTTAGTTTATTCAAATGCACCCAAGCAAGGATAACATAGTAGGTGGAGCATCTGTTATTCAAAAACTCAGGTCTGAGACAAATGTGACCTGTTCTGTCAAAAGCAGACGCTTCTGGGCAGAGGTTGAAATTGAGATAGGGCCAAAAAACGCTGTGGTGGTCATTTTTATCGATTTTCAAATTTTTGAATATTTGTAATCCTGAACATGTCTAAAATATATTATAAAAGTTTGAAACCCTAATTTGAACTCTACATATACTATTTTTGATGATTTTGATAAGGTATATCAGTTAAAGAAATAACTGTTTTGTGACGTTCGTGGCCATTTTCTCCGTTTTCTACTTTTCAACACAATGAACTTCAAAATAGCATAACTCTGCCCAGGAATGACCGGTTTCAAAAATTAAACCACCTATTAAAAGGAAATAGAACATATGTTAACAATATGTAAAAATATCATTTTCGACCTTTTGCCCAGAAAAGTCTGATTTTGACAGAACAGGTCACAAATATCACTTGGATATTCATTTGAATCAGTTGGTAGGACACTGGACTGGTAGTTCATTGAGCTTGGGTTCAACCTCTGGTTTAGCCAGAGCTCAGTACTCATTCGAATACAGAGTTACAGCATTGCGTGTGTTATTTCTCATGTCTGCTAGGGTCTACTCAAACAGCACGCGATAGAGAAACTCACCCATCTATCCGAGGAGATCCAATCAGCTGGTCCGACCACGCCAGGGAGTTTGTCGTCGGCCAGGAGCGATCGACAGAATAGTGCACGGCAGCACAGCGCTAGACAGCACAGCGCTAGGCAGAACAGCGCTAGGGGGAATAGTGCCTCGGTCATTGCTCATCATTGTAGCAAGTTGATTATGATGCTCAAGAGATCAGGGAGTGCAGCTGTGTAAGTGTGTGGGTGTGGTTTTAAGGCCCCACCCCTTATTAGGGAGACAAGTGCATGGGAATGCACTAGACGATTCATCAGCGCTGGGCAAAATAACAAAAGGGGTAATATTGTAATAGTGCCTCAGTTATTGCTCATCACTGTAGCAAGTTGATTATGATGCTCAAGAGATCAGGGAGTGCTTTGTTAAGTGGAGGGCGACCTATTAGGGCGACAAGTGCACGGCAATGCACTAGACAACTCAGCGCTAGGCAGAATAACGTTGGGGGTAATAGTGCCTCAGTTATTGCTCAACACTGTAAACAAGTTGATTTTGATGCTCAAGCGATCAGGGAGTGCTTTGTATAAAGTGTTGGGGTGTGGTTTTAAGGCCCCGCCTCCAATCATGGAGACAAGTGCATGGCAATGCAGTGCTAGACAATGCAGCGCTAGGCAGAATAGCTCTAGGGGTAATAGTGCCTTAAACACTGCTCATCACTACAGCAAATTAATTATGATGCTCAAGCAATCAGCGAGTGCCTTGTGGGTGTGGTTTGAAGGCCACGCCCCCAATAAAGGAGACAAGCGCATGGGGATCCAGTGCTAGACAACACAGCGCTAGGCAGAATAGCGCTAGGGTTAATTCTACCAAGTTGGTCATCATGCTCATGTGATCAGCAAGTGCTTTGTAGCTGATGGGAAGCGTATGGGGGAGGTGTGGTTCTAAGCCCCTTCCCTTCCAGGAGTGCAGTGGTATACAGCACAGTGTAAGGCATAAGAAGTTTAGCCAGATCTTAGACAGTCGTTGCAGAGTTGGACCAAATTATTTTCCGAAGATTTAGTAAAATTTGACTCTACAATCGTATGAAAATTGAAAGTTGACCTGTCAGAAATTGAATTCCATTTGGGTCGACCCAAGTTGCTTGTAACACTGTGAGGCGTTCTGGCAAAATGAGGCAGGGTTTTAATCGGGGGAAGAGTCAGGGAAGGGATGATGATTAGAGCGTTTCGGTCATGTCTCTACCTAGCCCCTTCAAACTTTTCCCAAGTATTTTAATGGATATTTTTGAGATTGTATATTATAAAAATTGAAAAGCAACTTTTTGGGGGGGGGCCAATTTTGGGATGCACTTTTTTCAACATTTCCCCATGTTTTAATATTTGTTCCAGAACTTTTTTTCCCCAAAACGTCAAACTTTGAAATAGTTATTTGAAACAGTACTTATGCTCATTAATACCTTAAGGTGATGTCAATATTGCTGCAGCCGCTTAATAGTAAATCTGTGTGAACTGTGTGTGTAAGTTATGAGAATTGTAAACGATTGTGAAAAAAATTAAATCTGTCACTGCTTTTTAAAACTGTAATATACAAATGGAAAAATGGTTATTGTGTACAAATTTGCAAATGAAATAAATGTACAGATGAAGTGACACAAGTGGTTTAACACGGCGTAGTATGTGTGTGTGACAATGTCATATACGATTGTCTGTTTGTACATGTTAAACAAACTTGACAAAAGACACTCTCGGTTCAATAAAATTTCAGTGTCTAGGACACAATATAGCAATTATATATTTTTCGTTTTGCCCTCCATAGTTTATTTGTACAAACATACATAATTACACTATGATGCCCAGTGCACTGGCATTTGGGACATATACATGTACTGTCAACAAAATATAAGATAAACGTTTACCACTTAAATTATTTACAACAAAGAAAGCTACATTTTATTGAAAGGAATTACTTTCCTCAGCAAAAATTGCTTCTTCTAACTCTTGAGAAAGAGTAGAATTGGTAAAATTATCTTGAACAAAGTAACGTTTATTTGGGGATGATATAATAATCAGGGTACTTTAATGTCCCCAGTAGACGCATTGTATTTTCGCATTTAGTTTGGTTGAGCTGCGAATGGTGGGTAACATGGATTATTATTTTGAAAATCTTGAGATATTTTACAACACAATCTGATCACTATACACAAAAAGAGACATATTTACCAAGTTCAAAAAGCGGTCGAGTTGAATGCACGACTTGACAAAAGATGTATTAACTAATGTACCATGCAACCAAAGAATTTTAACCTGAAGTGTAACTAGTAAATATGCTCTACATGCTGACTTTGTTGTTGCAGGCCAAATGAACTATGGTTTACGATGCAGGCAAACAAGTTTGTGTTTTGAGCTCAGTAAAATTTACAGAAAATAAGTTAATTTGCTTTTTAATCACAATAGTTACATCTTATATATCCATGAGTACACCTTGCTCGGGTTTTCGTCGTTACGTGACCTCAACAACTGTTGTTGATTGCAAATGATCACAAACTGTCGGGCTTTTGTAAATGTGTGTCGAGGGCTCATTCCAGTTGGAAACTATACACACATGGTGCATCATTGAACAGTAACTGGTCGGTCAAACCTGCTCTTGAATTTCAGTCAAGCATGATTGACAAAACTAAAACAAACACGATACAAAGAAATAACTTTGACTCTATGTTCTGAGTCAAGGACACAATTGAAAAATCTTGTGAACATGTTAACTTCTTTAAAGGTAATATACAACATTTGCTGTAATTTTCAGAAATGGATGGATTTGGGTTTAGTATTTAGAGCAGATATATTGTTACACTGACCTGTTTAAAGTTTTGTGTGCATAGATGCTGGAAAAACTAAAGAAAAATGTTCTTGTAGTCTGGTTCCCTGACCCTACTTCATTCGAAACGGAGCAATTGATAGAAGTCGGGGAATTATCAGGTCAGGGAAACAGACTAGCTGGTGTATGCCCATTCACGGATGTAAAACCGATCGCAAACAAAATTTGGTAAATACAGGGGCAGTATTTGAAAAAAGTCAGTTTTTTTTTCAAACGATAGTCGGCCGACCATCGTTGGAAATTGATACAAAAATTCCACTTTTTTGAAAATGACAGCACACCAGGTGCCATGATTTCACAGGATGCTTGAGACTATTATTCACTTACAGTCAAGTAAGCTATTTCATAATAATTTGGTAGTTTTGTCTTTTGATGTTTGCAAAAGTTGTATATTCCCTTTAAAACCTTTTCGTATCCTGCACCTAGGATATCCCAGGCCATTCAGATATGTGCTTAAATTTTGTGGGATCTGTATTCTGAAGGTCAACGAAGTGTACAATGTAGGGTACGGAAGAATAGGCCTTTCTTTTGTTTGTAAACATTGGCGCCATTTTGTATGGGCTGCCGTAAGCGCATATATTGAAGCCGTGGTTGGCAACATATTTTTCCAAAAAAGTCCTCATAACGCCATCAACACATAGTAAAAAGGCATGTGTAGGAATTATTTTGTAGCTTTGTTGAAAATGTTGTATTTTCAAGTATCAAATAATATTTTGGTGATCTGTAATAACTCTTCTTCATTTTTGCAGTGTTGGACCTTCCATAGTTTTTCAGGCCGTGGTTGGCAAATATGCAGTTTGCCAACCAAGCGCAGAAAGGTCTATATGCATAGTACAGCAGGCAAAGTTGCTATTCTTTCATCACTTGCAGAAAAATCAACTTGTTGTTGTCTGTGTAGAATGTTTTCAACTTTTCACTGAAAGGCCAGTTCATTATTGAAATATGACATCGCGAAAAACTTGCGGTGAAATTTGCCAGAGCTGAAAGCAGTTAAACCCCGGAAATTTTCAGCACAGTATTGCTGTTACAACAAACTCATGTTCCCATTGGCGTTCTCACTGGGTCTAAATCGGTCCTTGGGTCATGGATTGCTCCGTTTAACGGAATGCAAACCACAGAATGAATATGATACAGACAGCGATGACGCCCGCCAAGATGAGGGAATCTCTCCTCTTCTTGAGATTAATTCTCTGCACAAGACTGTTGATGACGGGGAAACGGTCTGGTTAGGTAACAAGTCAAGGTATACAATAATGAAAAGAACTGGCCCTGAAACTAACCCTTTCCTCACCTGGGCCCAATTTCATAGCGCTGCTTAACAGCTGACTTTGTGCTTACCGAGCCTCCATCTATTTCATAGGAACCGTTAAGCAGTAAGCACAGCAAAAGCACGCTTAACCCTAGAAGAAAACTTTGCTTAAATCAGTGACGTAACAATAGAAATCTCCATGCGCGCGCAATCGTTAGCATGAAATAGTGCTTAAGCAGCAGCATGATTTTCTGCTATAGTAAGTACAACTTTTCTGCTTACTGTTAAGCAGTGCTATGAAATTGGGCCCTGAAGCTACCAAATACTACCGGGTAGTGACCTGTAGTATACATTTCTCATTCCATACAAGTGTGCACAACACATGCAATTTTCTATGGTATTTGATACTTGACCCCTAAAGAGCCCTTAGGGGTTAGGGTTAAGCTACCTAAGGTCCACACCCCACCCCACCCCCAGCATACGGTTTGCCTGCTTTAGGAAATGTCTATAATTATGGATGACCACTGATGATGGAAAAACCCTATTTGTTTACATCTGATGTGGCAGCAGTTTTTACCCTTGTAGATATTTCAAGCATCAAGTGTTCAAACTGTCAAAACTGTCACGGGTAGCTACAGAATTTTAGGCACGGCGATCCTCAAGTTCTGCAATGCATTTGAAGAACATTTTTAAAAGAATCACTCGATTTTTGAAGACCATTATTTTGTTTCCCAAAATGCCTTCACACAGTCATTACACTAATAACAGCCAATGTCAAGGTGAAGTGGTGTGCACGTCATAGAGCTGTATAATAATCTTTCCAAATAGCATTTCATGGTACATACGTTTCAGAGCCTAAAAAGGGCGGATTCTCTCAAAAGTGCCCCTTCAACATTGAAGACATTCTGAAAAGGATACTGGCCATGTTTGTGACGCCGTTGGAGATTTTCTTCAGCGTGCCTCGTTGTGACATCATATTCTCCTTTGTTGCTATAGCAACCCTGAAAAGTGAAACGGCAATGCTCTTTACATGATCAATAAAGAATGAGCTACAGTCGCTTCCCCGACATTGAAAAATTAAACAATGTAATATAAATAAAATAGTGTAGTGAAAATGCTCTCTGTGCAGACGGCAGAGTCCAATCACACATTGAAAAAGAAGTGGACTACTTGAGCCAGTCATTTCTTGCATTGGTGGCATCTCAATCACTTTAGCTATGGCTTAAGGTGTTCAGATTTTGTCTGTGTATGGAGTTTGTGGCCAGCAAGCTAAACTGAAGTGATAAGTGCCTCTATTCCTTTACTTTAAAGCTATAGTCCATCATTTGCAGCCATCTGAAAAGTAACTGTCTTAATTATTGTTGAAAAACATACTTGGTTGAAAGATAGTAAGGGAACTAAACTCCCTGTGAAATTATTCTTTCTGGCAAGCTGTCATTTTGAAGTAATCAACGAAAGAAGGCCTTTCCAACGGTGCGTCTTAAGACGCACCGTAGGAAAATTTAAATTAGTAGTTTGTTTTGTTATTCGGCGAAGCGCGCTCAAGCATTGGCACGACGCACACACGCGCACGGTTGCTATAATTCGTCGGATCAGTGCGCGACATCGCGTATAGCTGCAATCGGCTTGGTGAGAACGCGTCTTGGATGCTGAATTCAGGCCCAATTCAAAACATGATTCAGCAACTTTTGATTTGAAATTGAGATCCTAGAATGCTGTTTTTCTCGGAATATACAGCTGAAACCGAGCTGAAACTTCATCAGTAGTTGTTCAGTATCCTTTATTAGATTCTGAACACTTTTGTTGCTTCAAACGAACAAAATGCACAAATTACAAATGATGGACTATATCTTCACTCCTCCAAAATCCTCCTGGCGGTTATGGAGGATTCTGGAGGATTGAGGATGAATTGTGTTTGAAGATGAGGATGATTTTGGAGGATTGTGGATGAATGCATTTTGAGGAAGGACTGTCTGATGATTTTGAAGAATTTAGGTGCTGTTTTTGGAGGATTGAGGACAAAAAGAGCCTAGGGGGTTAGGGTTAAAACTAAAGGTACTAGAATGTTTTTTGTGCATTTTCCCCCCTTTTTTAAGAAAACAGAGAAAACACATGAATTTTTTTGGGGGGGTCTCATAAATGGATTCAGTTGCTAATGTGCATATTAAAATGCGCACGTGGTTACCCTATTTCTCAATATTTGTACATTGTACTGGGTGTTTTGCAGCCCATCAACACTACAACATGTACAATTTTGCAGATTTTTTATACAGATTTTACCATAAACGAATTTTTTGCAGGAGACCAAAAATACCAACTTACCCTATCGTTTCATCTGCAATTCTGTCCGCACTGTAAAACAAAACGTACAAAAGACAAATTTAGGAAAGTGAAAAAAGAGGAACTTGGTTTACCATTCAGTGCTCAGTATTTCATACAAGAGGTAAAATGGAACCACACTGAAGAAACCATCTACAAAATAGATTGTCTCGAAATTGTTGTGATTCCCTAGAACTCACTTTCGTATGTGTTCATTCTCCTTAAGATACAGATCTGTCCTCCGATTCAGACCGGATGAGTTCTTGTAAGAGTCGATCTCTCTCCTGACTGAGCCTAGTAGGTCTTCCCTCTCCCGGCAAGCTGAGATGTTAGCTTGCGTCTTCTTGAACTCGTGACTGTAATCTTGCAAGATATCTCGGTGGCGTTGTAAGGTGTGAAGGAGGGCCGCGCTGGGCGAGGCGGAGGACACGTTGGTGGCATAGTCGGCCATCTTGTCATTGATGTCCGACAACTGTGATAAACGGACAGAACATTCACTGAATAGGATTCGAACCTGGAACCTCTCCAAATACTGCATCGATGCTCTACCAGTAATCTCGAAACTTGGATGGTGCAATGTGTGTGGACTGATGACCTGGGCCCAATTTCACGGCGCTGCTAAGCACAAAAATTTGCTCAGCAAAATAAAAAAGGCTGGCTTATAAAAGCAGGTTGCCAGCCAAAACTACAAGTGATTTTCATGCTGAGCAAACAACAGCTGAATACAAATCACGAGCAATATACATCACGTGGAGTTTTAGCTGGTAACCTGCTTTTATAAGACAGGCATTTTTTTTGTGCTAAGCAAATTTTTGTGCTTAGCAGCACCGTAAAATTGGCCCCTGACCTTATTAGAATAAAAGCAGGCAACAACTTCACAACTGCTGCGATTTCATTGGTTGCTATGGGCCCTAACAATTCTCTCCCGTGATCTGATTGGCTGAAGCTTACACATAAGCCCCTACACGTCACGCAGAACCCATTAAGTCCTGTGTCACTGTCCTGTCCTGTGTCATCCAGACCAAATGCTTGGTCAACATCTAAAAGTTGTCCGGAAATGCTGGCTGCTCTCAGATCATAACACCCTTGGCTTTTTGGCTAGGAGCCTTCTTAATGTTCCAAAACGCAATGATGCATGCTTTTAACTTTGAACTTCCAAGAGTTGTTCCAAACACAAAGTAATAATGGCTCTTTTTTTTTGGGGGGGGGAGGAGGGAGTTTGGAGAAATAACATGAATATGGTATGAACTTACCCTAGACAATAACCTCTCTATCTCCATTGCCATCGTGTCAAACATCCTCTCACTATTGGAAGCGTTCAGGAGTGGTGAAGTGTCTGATGAGCTGTGGAAACAAAAATAATCCGCTTTGAAAGGCCAATTCCAATACATCAATCTAAAAAAACACTGGTCTAATGGCTTACAATCTTCTGCATAATGATGTCCCTTGCACGTAAGTTGTCTGTCACACACGGAGCATTTTTGGAGCTTTTATGGTTGCTGAATTTGTGGCAATTTACAATAGCATTTTCCAGAAGGAGAACAGTAGGATCAAAATTTTCAACAACAAAGAATAGGACAAAAGCAGGACTTTGGGGGACAAAATCAGATAACAATAGGACTTTTTGGGACTTTCAGGAGTAGTTTTCGTTGATACTCACCAATGTTCACAGCATCATAAGCCTCATGTGGCATGTTCTGTACTCACAACACTTGTGCTCCACCCTCAACTAAGCTCTTGGAAGTACAGTTGCAGTACTCCTGCGCCAAAGCCCTTCATTGTGTGATTTACATATGACAGTGTGTAACACTGTTATGAAAAATACTCAATGAGATTTCATTTTTCGGACTTGTGGGACAAAAAAAGTAGGAAAAGTAGGAATTTCAAGAAGAAAGAAGGAAAAGTATGAGCAAGGTAAAAAAAAATTAGCAAAAGTAGGAATACTTGAAAGCCTGCATTTTCTTCTTTTTCAATCTCTGTGATCCAATTCAAATCTCACCTAAGCTGATATGCAGATTAGGAACCAACCCCAGCCTGATTCTGTGGGATTCCCTGCAACATTTTCTAAAGTTTTTATCGTCTCCCTAACTTAAGTTAGAACCCCCTCAAAACAAAACAAAAGTTAATATTCCTTTTCTCAGGTTTACCTTAGGTCTCTGTCATTGTGTGCACTGAAACTCGTCCCAAGTTTACTAAAGGACACCAGTTTCAGGTCAATTTCATTTTCCACTTGTCTCGCTTGCTTTCGCAAATCTGAGGATAAAAGAGTAGAGAATATTACTAAAATCACATTAAATTGATTCTTGTTCAATACATCCACACAATCTGCAATGACTGACTGCCACCATTATGACCTACATGTAGTCATCTGGTTCCAAGACCTAAAGATTCTGATTTATCTGACAAGTGTTATAAATCTTACGTCAGGTAGGCGCCAGATGGGGCAGGATTCTGCCCGCTTTCAAAAACGTAGCTTTCCAAACATGTGTTTGTTGACACTTGAGTTTATTGTTGACATTTGTGATAGCCCAGAGGTTTTTAGGTGAAAGCGGTCGAGTACAAAGTCTACAGAGAGTCAAGACAATTTTCTAAGTATTTCCTAACAAAATTGGAAATGTTTCTCAGTCCAGGCAGGATTCATGTCTTATCATCATTTTTGCAATGACTGACTTTCATTGAGATGATTTTGATATATAAAAAAAAAAGTGTTGTCAGGTTGCAACATTTTTTCTTTTAAATTAATTTGCCTCCAATGTCATCGTCATTTTATTTAACTAAACCTTAATGTAAGTTAGTTTGTAACTGTAACTAAACCTCAACACGTAGGCCTAGGCCTACATGACGTAGCGCGCGGTATGAACGAAAAAGCGGCGTCATGTTTATAACCGATGTTTTGTAATTTTGTGAGTCCCATTGACAGTTGAAATAATAACAGCATTTACAGTGGATACTACATAATATTTAGAAAGCAATTATTAATCACAAAATTGTTAAACAGCACAGCAGAAGTTGAAGTTCCAACGTGTCCTTTACCTTCCCACTGATTGCCCGTCGCCATCTTGTTATCAATCTGCTGCCCTCTATTGGCCAAGCGTCGAAAGCCGGCCTTTGAGCGATTCATTTTTGTTTAGTACCGACGAATGCTTATCCCCCCCCCCCCCATTTTATTGTTTAATTTAATTGTAATAAGGATGACCAAAATTTAATTTAAAATAATTAAATAAGTGTGAAAAGGTTAAGTAATGAATTTGTGAAGATGTCAGTTTACAATTTTTTGGCCATTTTCGCCAATTACCTCGGATAAGCGAATTTTTTTGATTTTCTGGAAATATGACTTATGAAGAAGGGGAAAGTGTGAAATATTAGGCAAATTTAAAGATGTGGGGGGGGGGGAGGTGCTGTTTACGATTAGTCGTATAGGAAACGCCAAAAGAAATACCGCAAAGGTGGGTCGACTGAGATTGTCGAGGGCAAGGGCGGGTCCTGCTTTTGGCTCGGGAGGGGGTAGCTGTCGGGGGAGAGGGGGAACACGCATTTTCTACTTGTTTTCTGCGTGATTCTCCTATTTTTTTTTTTAGACCAAAGGCTCCCCCTCCCACCTAATTAGATCCGGCAGGGAAGGGGCTATACCCGAGGAGCTCTCCGACCCACCCTTTCCCCCATTCGGCGGCCCACAGCAAAGCTAATGGGAACCTCTAATAAATATGATTCTTTTTAAAACAAAACTTATTTTGTAGGCAATCTCCGGTTATCTTCCTTTTGGGGAAATCCCCTAGTCTACACACACAAAAAGTAAATTGGGACCGATTTTGGGAGTCCGGCGATTTATTATTAACTCGATAAATGCTAACATCCCTATTTCATTGCTTATTCAACTTTGAAGATGGCAAATATGGCAAACTAGCAGCGGCGTAGCCCGGGTTAAAAAGTCTCATCATAATGGGCGATGAGGGGGGTGGGTGTTATAAAGGGGCACCCAATTACTGTTAAACCCTTAACAAAATGTGACCCGCTCCACAAAAATGAGTCTGATGTTAATTTAACCCCAATTGTTTTTTTAGTTATTCATATGGCTTAAAAGAGCATTGGATGAGCTTCAAATTGTGTGTGCGAGAGCTGTAGTGTATAATGCGTTGATTTTTTTAATGCATATGTTTAGATTATTCACAAGTGTCGAAAAGACTAATATTAAGAGAAAACATGCTTTTGAAACTAAAATGCATAAAATTGAGCGACGATTTTGTTTAGGGTGGCAAAATTCGTAAATGTCATCTTCAAGGAAAACATTTTTGTTCGGATCGTCTCGAGCAAAGAGTTGAAACCTTTGACAATGGAAAGATGCTCCCGCCATTTTAACGCCGATTCGATGGTGCAGTGACATCTATGTAAAAGTGCAGAGTAGCTAATTTAAATTCATATTACATGTTCATGTACTATCATGGTACCTATTTGTCTAGCGACACGATATAATTTTATTGCAACACAAGTTTCCGGCAGCCAACTCCTTCTGTCCTTATTTTTTCAAGTGAATTTTTATGTACAAGGTTGACGATGACAAACACGATGACTAAGGTTTACTTGACCTGTCATTCAAAAGTTTTGATCATTCATCGTTCCAGTTTTGGTCAATTCTACGCCATGATGATCAATTCAGTTTTATAGCAGGTGTAGCTCCGGTTGAATGGTAACGCAGACAGCCGGTAACAGTCGAGAGCATCTCACGTCGCCCCAGAAGCCTCTTGCCGTCATCATGACACAGTCCTCATCCACTTGTTGTCGGCCAGCATTGGGCTCCCCAGAAGCCCACCACCTAAACCCAGACTTTACCTCACCGACGCTACACTTCCATTCACCCTCAATGTCCAGGTCATTGCAGTTGATCCAAACTTGGCCACTCAGTATGATTCCAGTGACAAAGTCGTTTTCTTCTTCAGACCGCGGCGCTGCCAGTGAACCTCCCATCTTACGGCAAGCATCTCTGGCACCAAACCAGTTAGAAGGATGAGAGGTTACCAAGTAACACGATCCTCTCCATGGCACCCAACCAGGGCGACAGGCGTTCCTCCCTGTCACGCCGCGAAGAGAAGGGCCACAAGTCTGAGCGCGTGCACAAGTAAGACAGATACCAAACAAAAAGAGCAAAGTCTGGTAAAACATTGTCAATGATGTTTTGTATCCCCCGTGACGAAATTAATTCACTTTCAAAATAAAGAGTTCTCCTCAATATTGCGTTTTGCCCTTCACCGATGTATTTTATATAAACACTGTATACTCAGTGTTTAGTGTCCATGGAGCAATCATTTACATCACCCCGGCGCAAAATTCCATCTTATGAAGAGTGCTAAATCCTTTCAACGATGACCAGTCATGTTTATATCTGCTCGGTTAACTGATGCTGCATATGCAGACATTCAATTTTTTTCACAGCTATCACGCAAGTTAAAACTCAGGATAATCTTGCTCAATTTTGCGGATTTTTTTTCCACGCCTGCAGATGAGTTGAGTTCCCGTGTAACTGCCATCATCAGTCCTGTCGTGCCGCAGTAATCCAGCATTATACGGTCTGACAAATTGCTTGCTGTCGTCCTCAGGTGCACATAAATGTCTCCCCTGTGTAAAAGCCATTGCTTGAATTATTTAGCAGCGACGTCCTTAATGGTTGTTAAGGGGCTACCACCCATTTATCATTCAGCCAAGTAAAAATATAAACCTGTTTCTCTTCCCGTCCGTTTTCTTTTCCCGTCTGCTTCTCCCCCCCCCCGCCTTTTTTAATCGCCAAATTTCACATCGCATCTATGTTTTCACTCACTCACTCATACGCATAGACAGCATGGGTCCGTCGCGCCGATCTCCTGTACCTGCGTACAGAGTGGTTCCAACCAAGATAATCTATGTTTTCGCATCAAAATGTTTTGTCTTTTTATTTGTTTCCAGCGAAATTATGCAAGTTCAAAGTCTGGTAGAAATGCTGATGTCTCCTTGGACACAATACTAGTATCAGCATGTAAAAAAGTCGTATTTTTTTAATTATTAACCATCCGCCTTCTTGTAAATGCCACCATTGCTGGGAAGGGGGAGGGCCTCCATTTTAATCTTTGAAAGCCCCGACGAGAAATTATTTTTTTTTTTACTTGGCCTTACCCGAACCAACTTAATTGACTCCAAACTGTTCATTTCCGTTAACCCTCCCGTGTTTAATGACGCGGAACTCGGGCCGTTCATTTTTGTAATTTGACCGGCAGATGCAATTGTTTTTTTTTATTGAGGTTTTCAAGCGGCGGTTCCTTGCAGGATGGGCCGCGCTATTCAGAAAGCGGCCTTTTATCAACATTAAAAGCACGCTTAATTATACGAGTAAACTCCACACGAGCATCGATGGTTGATGATTGCCAACAAAATAAGACCTCGGACTACAGCATATAGGTATGGCCTTGACATTAGTTGTTGTCATAATGTACGTCACTTACAAAGTTAATGTCATGGGTTCAATAACTGCACAATGGTAACCACGTAAACGTCATGTATGTCTTATGACCGACAATGCTTATTAAGATGTGATCAGCATTATATAAAAGCCAAAAAAAAAACCAGGGAATATTGAGATGCGCCCCCAACGGAGATGTATGCCCCACCATCAGCATGGGCGTCGCGAGGGGGGGGGGGGCAGGGGGGGCAGGGGGGGGGGGGGGCGGGGGGGCACTTCCCCCCCCCCCCGGAAAAAGGAAGAAAAAGAAAAGGAAAAAAAAAAGAGGCGCGAAGACAAAGTGGTGTAAATTTAATGAGTTGGGGGGGGGGGCAAAATGTCCCTGCCCCCCTCTAAAACTGATAAATTGAGAATGTGTTGAGAAATACAAGCATTTTTTGGCAAAAAAAAATTTTGCCCCCCTCTAGAAAAAAATCCTGGCGACGCCCATGACCACCAGGTACCACTTATTACAATAATCTAAAAGGCTTCATAAAATATGAATTTTACACTGGAGCACATTGTATCAAATATTGATACAAATATGCTCCAGTGTAAAATTCATATTTTATGAACCCTTTTAGATTATTGTAATAAGTGGTACCTGGTGGTGGGGCATACATTCCGTTGGGGGCGTATCTCAATATTCCCGGGTTTTGTTTTCTTTGAAATGAATAAAAGCTATGAGACATCCCCTTGGGAAAAATACTTGTTAAAGTGCACTTTTTTATACATTTCAAATGTTTCATGATTTTCCTGACAAGGGTGCTGTTGCTGTTGTGTCACTTTAGAAACATACTCTTCAGTGAAGGTTTTTTCTTCAAGTTTTAAACCAAAATTTCTGCTTATTGAAAACATTTTGTACGTAACATTTTCTCACTGTTTTACCGTCATAATTATATCGAAAAAAAACAACGAACCACTGATAGCAGAAAGTGTACAGCAAACCTCAACATTTTGGTGACTTTTTGTGCTGATTAGTAGATGTGAAAATGAAGTCTCCGCCTGGATGACCACAGTTTTGCCAAAAGCTTATGAGAATTTTCATTAGCACAAAAACAAAAAAAGGCACCAAAACGCCATTAAAATAGTAATGTGATGTAAATGGAACACATAGGCACACTTCAAGGATTGCATTTAAAAGAAATGCAATACATGAGCTCTTTTAAAGAAAAGTGGGGAAACGATCGAGTGCTTATGTTTGTGCATTTCATACCGGGTAAAATACCTCCCTTGAGCACTAAAGCCTAGCTAGATGATAAACAATACGTTATTTTCAACTGAAGTCTGAAGAAGAATAGCCGTTATCGCTCAGCAAAATTGGTTGCTTAGCAACAAACTGACAAAAGCCCACCACGCTCCATTAATTTAGACTGGAAACCTGGCTGATCCAAACTGTGACGTAAAATTACCGAGTAAAAGAGAATGAAATTGGAACAGAAAGTTGCAATGGAGTGGACAAGAGCATTTTCAAAATGGCGATGGACTTCAGGACTGCTTTTTAGGGGTGGTCATCTTCGGAGGATCGATCAAATCACCCCAAAGTCATCTCAAACACACACATAGGCCTAAATTGAAAAGAAGATGACAGACGGTTTCACGTGTGTCTTGAACAGCTTGTATCCGGTTCGTTATAAAAACGTCATACACGCGCGCGCACCGAGCGCCTATTGGATAAACACTCAAGTTGCGTTAGCTTCCGGTTCCGATGGTTCCAACGCTACTTAATGGGCAGTGGGCGTGGTTTAAACTGAACTGACGTCACACTAACGAACCGGATGGAGCTGTATATTACAGTCCCATGTTTTTTAGTGGGGTATTTATCGCTGGTGTCTAAGGGTGCGCTCGAGTAGCTTCGCCGTATACACAGGGTTTGCACTCGGGGAAGCCACGAAATGAGGCTAATCGAATGCTGCGGTGTATTCACCTGACATTATGTGAAATTAAGGTCAAAGGTTGTTTCGGGACGGGACTTGAAAATGTAAACACACACAAGGCATACTGTCGTCTGCTCTACTGGTAACTAGTTTTACGGCATTGATTAGTTAGTTAGTTTGTTTGTTTTTCTATACCCCCTTTATTAACCTTATTCATGGCTTTTTGTCTCTGGCTATCTTTTAAGTACTGGGTATGTTTTTAAACGTATTTTTAATAGTGTAATTCCATTCATGGTCCAACTACTGAAGAAATACTCTCTTTAACAATTCATCACTCCACCTCTGTAAGTTTGTGCAAGAAGGTTTGTGTCCGGTGTATTCTGTCTACACTCCCCATTATTTTTTTTTTATTCGTTGCATGTTTTGTCTTTGGCAACCTTTCTAATTCTTGTGTACATGTGTAATATTTTTGAAATTGTACAATGACTTTGTCCATGTTCAATCTATATTAATTTTTTTTGGGGGGGGGTGAAGCTTAACTTTTTATTGTTAACTTTTTTTACTCATTGTGAATTCAATGCAATTTTGCCACTGGCAACCAATTTGATTTTTTAATAAACCATGAATAATAATAATAATATAATAATAACTAGACTGGAATTAGTTTTCTCATTGAAACCAGATCAACAACAATACTGCTGGAATCGGAAGATTTGCTCTGAATTATCAAAAAATATGTCTATCCAATTGAATTTTTACATGCAATGATAATACTGTCACAGATGAAATCGTGGATTTTAAATGACGGTGATCAGAAATAGATATAACACAACTCAGACAGTACTAACAAATTGAATATTGACGCCAGATTTCAGATAACAAAAAAAAAAGGACTTTTAATTCTTTAAACTATCAGCTGAACAAAAATTAACCCAAACCTAAAGTTAGCCACTGTGTCAATGTGGCACTCTGCCGAGATTTGGCATTCTTAACCTCATATACTACACTGTTAACACAATGGAAAAATTCGGATAGATCTGGCTTAACACAAATAAAAGGACACCAGAGAGCTACATGCACTCACATTCCATTACACTGGTAGGTTCGCGGTTTGGCATTCTTACATAGCCTAATTCAAACACAATGCCCATTGTTCAAGTGAATTCCTTACATTTGAACTTCCGTCAACTACAAGTTACAATTAAGTAAAGGTAAACCTTTTAAAATAAACTTAAGCATAAAAAATCAGTGTAGTTGGGACCATTGACAAATACCTGGGAATATTTGTGTCATAAATCTCTCCATTATATTCAATTCGTATTCAGGTTCCCACCCAAGTTCAATCTCGCTAGCCACGAACGCTTCCGGTTACGTCATTACACCTCGGCATTATCAGACACGAGTATCACGTCGTTGCTTAACGAACGCTCTCGTGTAAGTTTACTTACATGCTACGCGAACGCACCCATGCGGGAACGCACTTTTTAGTGATCAGTAATTGACTCTGCTGAATTTCTACGAAATTTAACCTCAGACCGAAGTTCAAACATTGTAGCGCGCACGTCTTAGAGAACTGCCTCTATTATATTCAACTCCTCGTTGTCAAAACCCTCCCTGCATTTCATCCACACCCACATTCGGAGTTTGTAAAGACACCAGAGGGCGCCCTGCAAGACGAGACAGAGTACCATAACTCCACAGATGACTCCTGCAGCAAGCCCCGGGTCGTTGGTGTAGTCTAAGATGGGGTAGATGGGTCCGTAGGCCGTGCGTCCCCCGGCTGCCCAGAAGATAACGGTCATGACAACATAGGCTATGCCAAATACCAAAGGGTAGACGAAGTGAAGAAGTCGTACGGGAATAGCTGTCACGAAGAGATCCAGTGTTGAGATGATGGCGGGGGTAGCGTGGACGTTGAAGTCGAAGAAGGAAGGCCCATTGTAGCTAGGGCTGTACAGGAGGCTCCAGTAGACTATTGTGACAATCAGGTTGATATTGATGGTGATACTGAAGAGGAACCAGTGGATCCTATGCCGTATGCCCATCACTGCCATCACAATAATAACGTACAAAAATACTGTTAAGTTTAATAAAGTTTAAAAAAGCTGCAGAAACTTAATTTGATTCCCGAAGACGTGAGGTCAAATTAAATATTACTAGCAAAGCTATACAGCTGGAGCATGGCAACAAACCGAACAATTAAAAAAGGCAGAGAGTATCATTTGCTTTTCATGCATTTTGTTCGTACCAATGATAACACCAATGAAAATCCAAAGAAAAATGTTCAAAACCTAACCTGTACTTTTCGAGAAAAAAAGTGAAAAACCGTTACCGTTCGATCACGAAACACGATTTCGTCAAAAGCACTCTTTATTTAAAAACAAATTAATCGATTATTGACTGATCGTTGGAAATCAGCCACATTTTTCAATTTCTTCTGCTGGCCAACCTTACCTTAAAATAATGTCATTTGTGGCAGCATGGCGCTCACTGTGGGCCCATTCAAAATCAGTTTCAAGAACCATCTTGTGTCCCAATATTTGGCAGAGTATCTTTCTCTTTCTCCGTCACGATCGGCTATTTTGCTCCCAGGCTATTTCTTCCTAGTATTATAGTCTCGTTAAAATGTGAATATTGACCACTGTTGTCTGTATGTTCGTCCGTCCGTTCTCGAATATTGTTTATGTTTTCTTTGTACTTGTCTATTGGTTGTATGTTTTTCTATAAATTCTATGAAACTTTTTTTTCAGTTTTGCATTAAGTATAGGCTTTCCCCTATGAGCTTCGGTTTTTTAAAAGTCACATACCTCCATCTTAATATAACCACTGTTTGTTCTCATGATGCTTTTACTTTGCTTTTGATTGAAATAAATGTTATTGAAATTGACTTTAATGAAAAAAGGTCATACCTTCATGGTTGCGTGAACGCAAAATGACACCATCAAGCCAAGCAATGAAAGCGCCAACCAGCAAGTACACCGCAACGACGATCAAGGCCAAGTTGGTCAGATAGAGAAAGGTTTGACCACCGATCTGCTGGATTTGACCAATAGTGGTCGCGAGGAGCATACCCAACATGTAGAGTGCTATCACGATACGATACAACACGAACGGGTAATGAACCCACGGCCATGTCGTCCACTGTGTGAGATAGAGAAAGCAAAAAGAAACTACCAGCATTGTTAGTCAGTTTGAATTCTTTGATTATATCGAATATGGAGCGTGCTTAATAGGCTTTTGATCGGCCCGTGCACTATGGAGGTGAAGTTTGAATTGGTTGCATATACGTATTCCCCAATACCTATATGTTCCCCAACCCTAAAGTTAACCCTAAACCTAACCCAGTCTAAGGATTTTGTGGAACATTATTTACTGGGGAACATCTAGTCTAGGGGCTAGACGTTGTTATGGTTTGATACGCGAATAACGCGATAGCCCGCCACAGCGATAACCTGCCGCCGCGAGAGGACGCTATCACGACTAACCTATTATCACCCATGAACCCGTCAGAGAACAACGTCTATGACATTTCCTAAAACCTCCCCCCCCCCCCCAAAAAAAAAAAAAAAAAAATGGGAGGGAAATAGTGCACTTGTGCGACTTCTGCAGACAATAACGGTCCATTTTCAGTCCCACACGTATTACACTCAATAAAAGAACTGACCAGTGAAGTTGCACAAATGTGTTGCTGATTTCTTTATACTACTCGAAGAAATTTGAGAGTTCACTTTGGTACTGCTATGATCGTTCTGAATTGTGCACTGCATAATTAGGCGAAATAGGTGCATGCGCATTACACAACAAATAGGAATTGGCCTAGATGGATACACACCAGTAAACAAACTGCCATAGACTCCAATGGTAAATGCTCCCATTTCAGAAACTCGGGAAAAATACTCACAACTCTCCAAGGTCTTCAAGACACACATCAAATTAAAGCTTATTTCATCATCTTTCATTTCCAATTTTTAAGGGGTCAACTGATGACTTTTAGGAGAAATTTCCATCCGAAGATGATCACCTCTGAAAATAGTCCTGAAGCCCATCGCCCATTTTGAAAAACGATGCCTACACTCCATTGCAAAATAGAGCGCTTTAAGGACCCCAATTTCATCCACATTGAAAGGAACTAACTACAAGCTCACAGTCCTGTGCACGGCTTCCACCCATATTTTTTACAAACCCTCAAGTTCATGGCCCACAGCATGCTCAAATACTGAATATTTTGAAAGCATGCAAATCGTGATTTGGCCGGCGTTGGCAATTTCGGACCTGATTTACTACATATTATGTACATATTTACACATGTACATATCCGATAAATTTCACCAGACGGCATGGTATGCGCGTATTATGCATTTCCACAAAGAACGTCCGCATTATGAACTTTTTTGTGCTTCGTGGTACAATGATTATCCCTAATGCACAATGCTTTTTATTGGGGTAGGTACGTACCTAGCACCTGCATCCATGCACACCCGTGGATAGATGGATGCGATTTTTTGACGCTGAATCAGTAATCTTGTTTTTCTAAAGAGTTAAGCCCTAGTATTATTATTTCCTCCGATTCTAGTTCCACTTTTATAGTACTAGATTTACCTTGATACCCTATACCCTGTAGAAAATTTGACTTATGGGTCAGAGTGTGTCTGGGCACGGATCCTACACACAAGGGTTAACAACGCGGCCCAACTCCTGGTTATAGACGCCTGATAACGGCCTGCACTGGTGGCAAATACCATGAATACTTTTCAACAAAGACCACTGCGCGCGGTGGCTTTCAGATTTGCAGGGCTCTGCGCCTGATCTGGTGTCGAAGTCTGTCAAGCCAGCGAATTATATTTTTGAATATCATGAGTCTACGTTTTTGGTCTTTATTATTGAATTCTGATAGGTGATAACTACATAACCATGCATGGTAATGCTGAGCACAATATTTTTAGCTTTAAGATGAACAATGAAATGTCACTTTTGTTTCATCGATTCGGCATCGCATCTCTCTAAAACTTTTTTAATAAAAGCCTAATTAAAAACGAAATTTGGGTAAACAGTGTTCTCGAAATTTGACGTGTATTTCCCGGGTAAATATTTCATCTATGACGACAAAATTGCACAATACCATCTGTTATATCCTGCAGTATTTATTTTTTAATAGTTTTGGAACATTTATATCTGAAATAAGGAGTAGTTTTGCTTACAGTTTTATGAATATATCCGTTTTAGATGTCATGCTAAAAACCCAACACAATGGCACACCTGGAAAATTCACGATTACAAGCCAACGGGTATTAATGCCCGTTATCACCGTCTAGACAAGTCCGCTCAGTGCATTTTGAAATTTGTACTAGAGCTATCCTGGTGTCTAGGATCCGTGGTGTTGAACAGTGGCGTGTAGTTGGACTACATATGGTATACGACATCACGACTTGTACCTTGTACCTTGTTGGACATGCACGTACCTGTGTGCAGTAAAACACGCTCGAGTCGTTGGTCGTCAGCCCCAGATCGGAGAGCTTGGGCCGTTCACACTTGACCGCCATGATGTCAATTCTTTGCAAAATTTCAATTGAAGTTGACAGAATTAAGGGATGGTTAGGGGTTATAACATCAGTAAACCAATGCTATATTTGACCTTTATGGCAGAGAACAAATAACTTGTGTGCAAACGTTGCAATGTGCTAATAATAAAGTAATTGTGCAATGATTGCAACCTTCAGCACTGCAGACTGCTAAATATCAATAACAAGTTACTCGTTTGACCTAAGTAGAAACATGAGTCCAGCTGTCAACGCACCACGGTGCATATTTCGAGTGGCTGATAACATTTGCTTTATGGGCGGTCACTCGAAAACACACTATTAAAAGTCAACAGGACTTCGTGACAGTCATAAAGCTATAAAAAACAAAGATCAATGTTGTAAATTCTCGTGACAGGGTCCACGGTCCCCCAAAAAAACAAGGATCAGAAAACAGAGATATTTTTTATCACACGGAGGCGCTGTGACAGTCCTTTTTGTGCATCATTTGAATAGGGGGAGCTGTTCGTTGCGACACAAAACACTAGATATAGACCTTATGCGTAGCAGCCATCTTGGAGGGATCTTTTGTAATTTTAATTCAGTATAAACGACGAATGCCCAACAATTCACTCATTCATATCCCAGCAAAAAAAAGGCATTGCCCCCTAAGATAGCTGATACGCGTTATAATATAAATAGCACGTTTATGACAGCGAATTTTGTGATTAAGTAACTTTGGGCGTAGGGGCCAGTGTTGTAGTCGAGTACTTTTTGCCGAGTAACGAGTACTGCCGAGTACCTAGGTTGCCGAGTACGAGTACGAGTACTTGTGCCTCCGAGTATGAGCACTTGAACGTACGAGAACTTGCACTTCCGAGTGGCGAGTACGAGTACTCGTATTCCGAGTAAGAGTACGAGTACTTGAATTTCCGAATACGGCACCGGGTACATTTTGCTTGAAGCCTAAAATTATGTGTTCTTAATCTTACAAAGCAGGGTGTTTCTTCCGCATATTCTTGATGAAGTTCCGCATATGCTTGATGAAATTCGAAGATGAAGTTCAGAGTTGTCCCAGATGTTTCTGATATGCGAACAGCACAAAACATGCACGCTGCACTGTGGCGTTTCACGCCATTTTGGACAAATTCCCTGTGATCCTTGAACACAAACTTCACAACAGAGGACACAGACGACATGACACATGTATTTTGGGTTTTTTTGCATGAACAACGTATGCAATTTGGGTACAAAATAAGTCAAAAGTGCCACACAGGCAAACGTAAGCGAACGTCGACGGTACATGCGAAAAACCCGGCAGATTCGCGTCTTGGTGTCTACGCATTTAGTCTGCTTCCCATCCCCAGGCATCTGTTTAAGGCTATGCCGATGTGGACCTGCTGTCGTAACCAGACTAGGGGCCGTTTTTCAAACCTCGGCTTCGGCTGTGTCTCTTTCTCCATTCATGCAGATTGGCAGTGGGGCTGGACCCGTATTACAGGACCGAAACCGGGGTTCAGAAAACGGCTTTGCTCCAAATGCCCCCCCTCCCCGCTGCCCCAGGTCCGATGTCGGGATTTGGTCACGTTTTTCATGCCCCAGGGTGGGGATTTTGGCCACTCAAATTACATTGTTACCATTGGCGTACTACATGGAAAGGCAATCACTAGCAATTGGGTATTCCTGAGCCAGCATCGCTGGAGATCGAGAATACTCACAAAAAGATTATCGACGTTGCGCAACACCACCTGGGCCTGGATTTAGGCCTGAACAGTATTGACCGCGCCCATCGTATCGGTTCGCGCCTGGATAAGTCTGAAAATGTTCGTTCCAGACCTGTCGTCGTGAAATTTTTGGACTACGGCACGCGGTCTTCCTTCTACCGCCTGAGGTCAAAATTTAAAGGAAAAAAACATTTTTGTTCATGAGAGTTTGACGCAAGTGCGACAAGGTTGGCTAAACACCGCCAGACGTCTTCCCACGGTGGAGAAAGTCTGGACCCAAGATGGACGCATCGAAGTTCGGAAAAAGAGTGGTGCCCGCATCATAATCGGCTGTGCTGACGACCTCAACAAACTCAAATAACTATCTGACAAATTCCCATGGTTGGACTAGTTAGTGCCTATGTTGAGTTGCCCTTCCTGGACCAAGGGCTGCGAGTGTCGCGACTAGTAAAAATACGCATAGTTTCTTTTTGATGTACATTGTCGTGTTTATTGTTCGTGGCGGCCTAGTACAAATATACTGTTTGGATGTCGATCCATACATCTTTTAAAAAGGATAATTTGATTATCAGTGCTCATTTCAATCACTTAACCTAATTGTTTAGTATTTGAATTACTTGTCCTTGTCTCCTTGTTTTTGTGTGTGCCTGTAAAGTAAAGTATGCCTGATTATGTTGACCCAAATAATCCTTTCCATTTATTTAACAATTCACAATACTACTCTAGTGAACAGTTCTCGGGGACCTATAAAAATATTGATGGATTTTCTCTACTTCATATCAATATTAGGAGTCTTCAAAAACATTTCGATCAACTTAAACTTTTGTTGCTTACATTGAAATATAAGTTCTCGGTCATCGCATTATCTGAAACCTGGCTGAAAACATATCCCCATAATTATTATTTTTTACCAGGGTATAAACTTATTGTTAATAACAGACAAGGAAAAATGGGTGGAGGCGTAGCTCTGTATATTTCCTGTGACCTCGATTTTAAAATTAGACAGGATCTTACCCATTCTGAAGATGTTTTAGAATCTCTTTTTGTTGAAATTTCGTTTCCCAAAACTAAGGATATTATCACAGGCGTCTTATATAAACCTCCAATTGTCAATGTACTTGATTTTTTACCACCTTTTCAAAATTTGTTCTGTAGACTGACATCTTCCAACAAAAATTGTATTATTTCTGGGGATTTTAATATTAATTTACTCAATCATACAGCCCCCAGCACACAGGCTTTTACTGATCTCATTACTTCTTATTCTTTTTTACCATTAATTGATAAGCCCACTAGAATAACTGATTTTTCTGCTACGCTAATTGATAATTTTTTGACGAATGTGTTACCATCTCACAACTCGGGCATAATTTTGTCTGATATTTCCGATCATTTACCAATTTTTATGATAATGTCCTCTCATAAATCTAGTGCCTCCTCTAATCATTTTAACTATGTTGGTTCCCGTAAATTCACTCATTTCAATATCCAGAGGCTTAAAGAAGATCTGCATACAACCGACTGGTCTAACATTACTACCTGTGATAATCCCGATTATGCATTTAATTTATTTATTGACAATTTTAATGATAAAGTTGATAAAAATATTCCACCTAATTTACATAAGCCCACGTCAAAGTCCAATTCTAACCAAACTGCCCCGTGGATTACTAAACTTCTTCTTAAATCAATTAACAAGAAAAATAAATTATTTCGTCATTATATTGCTAATCCGACAAACATGCGGAAACTCAAATATATTAAATATAAAAATATTTTGACTAGTCTCTTACGAAATTCTAAAAAGCAATATTATGTTTGTCAGTTTGAGAAGGAAAAGAACAACATTCATAACACGTGGAAGGTCATAAATTCAGTCCTTAATAATAAGTTATCCTCTCAACATATTAGTAGTATCATGCACGAAGGCAAGTTAATCAATGATTTTACTCATATTGCAAATTGCTTTAATGATTATTTTGTTAATTTAGGCCCTAATCTCGCTAAAAGTATTCCAAGTTCACATGATTCATTTGTTGATTTTCTTAATGATCCGAACCCAAGGTCTTTGTTTTTACAACCAGTAGTTGAACAGGAAGTGATTGATATCGTTTACAATTTACAGAACAAAACAAGCTCCGGTCACGACCTGATTAATTCTTCTATTATTAAAAACACTATAACTGCCATCAGTAGACCTATTACCCACATTATCAACGCTTCCTTTAAAACTGGCATTGTTCCTAACTCACTTAAAACTGCCAAGGTTGTTCCTATTTTTAAAAATGGTGATGTTCATTCAGTTATCAATTATAGACCCATTTCTATTTTGACCTGTTTTTCAAAGATTTTTGAAAAATGTGTTTATGTTCGTATTATCCAATTTCTTACTAAATGTAATATTTTAACCGACTGTCAATACGGATTTAGAAGTAATCATTCAACTACACATGCAATACTTGATTTTGTTGATAAAGTAACAACTGCCATAGATAACTCTGAACACACTCTGGGGATATTCCTCGATCTTTCAAAAGCTTTTGATACCATTGATCATGACATTTTGCTATATAAGCTTTCTTATTATGGTGTTCGAGGAGTAGCCCTAGAGTGGTTCAGAAGTTACCTTTCAGACAGACAACAGTATGTTTCTATAGGCGGTTCAAATTCAACTTGTAAGGCCCTAAAATGTGGTGTTCCACAGGGGTCAATTTTGGGCCCATTGCTTTTTCTGATTTATATTAATGACTTTGTTAAATCATCTGATGTATTTTCATTTATTTTATTTGCTGATGACTCCAACTTATTTATCTCGAATAGCAATTTGACTACTCTCACTAACACAGTTAATTATGAGTTAAAATCTATCTGTAATTGGTTTGCAGTTAATAAGCTGTCACTTAACATTAAGAAAACCAACTATATGTTATTTAGTAAAACTGCCAGTAATCTCCCTTCCAACATATTAATTAATGACATGGCCATGGAAAAAGTAGATTGTCTTAAATTTCTTGGATTATATATAGATTCTAAATTAACATGGACTAATCATATAGATTATTTATGTAAAATTATTGCGAGAAACATAGGTGTCATCAACAAGATCAAATATTTTATCCCTCCCACAATTTTAGTTTCCCTGTATAATACATTAATATTGTCGTACCTTAGTAATGGTATTCTAGCCTGGGGAGCATGTTCCCTCGGTAATCTCAATAGGCTTTTCCTTTTACAAAAACGGGCTCTTCGAATAATTAATTTTACTGATTTTAATGCCCATACTGATCCCCTATTTTTCAAACACAAACTTTCGAAAGTTAAAGATATTTATTTCCACCAGCTTGGGTCTCTAATGTATCAATCTGCTTCTGGCACCTCACCATCTTCCATTTCTTCAATTTTTACCCGGAATTTTGATGTTCATTCCCATTATACTCGTCAAGTCTCTAATTTTCATCTCCCATTGACTCGCACAACTTTAGCCCAAAAAACTATTAGATATGAGGGACCCAGGCTGTGGAACTCCTTTACCAAGAACCTGAAAACATCCAAAAATGTGTCTACTTTCAAACGGAAATATAAATCGACCCTGTTGTATAATTATTATGATCCCGTGTAACCCATTAACTTCGAGATTGCTCGTGCAACAAATCTTATCCTGCTTGTTAACTGGCATGTAAAGTTTGTGTATTGTCCTTGTCTATTGTCTGTCCTGTGTCTTATGTATTAAAAGCAACTTTAAATTTGTATACAAGGGGCCTACGATTACAAGCTTAGCTTCTTAGTAGGTTCCTCTACAGTCTCACTATCTGTTTATATAGTATCTTTTGTATTAATTACGATCATTAAAAATGTGGCACTGTGGAAAATAAATGAACAATGAACAATGAACAATGAACTAGTGCGCCCCACGTATGACACACCTTCTCCAACGGACAGTCATCCTCCAAACATGCAACATCACCCGTCGCTTCCTTGTGCATCATCAACTGCGATGGAAACCTACAACGGACAAAGTGGCTAAACTGCTTTTCTTTGGACTAATCATAGTCTCGAAAAACTGTAGTCCGCTGGCTGATAAAGCCATGTTAACTAGAAATTCGTGTATTTATAAAGCGCACGTATCCACCATTACTGGTGCTCAAAGTGCTACATCATTTTTACCCTCATTGAGCCACTGAAACATTCGAAATACTATCTCAGCTCCCTAGGGAGTATACAGCTCCATGCTGCAACCGCTATAACCTTCTCTGCCCTCACAGGTAAACATTTACTCCTGGGTGAAGAGAAGCAAGGAGTGCCAAAGTGCCCTGCCCAAGGGCACACACACCACAACCCCAGGCTGGACTCGAACCCACAACCTGCAGAATTATCCACAGACCAAGAACTCAATGCTCCAGACCACGAGACCACGGCACTCCTGTTTAGTACTTTTCTTTATAAGAAGAATAGTGGCCCAACTTTCCATTGCAGATCTTTGTATCTTCCAAAATTTCTCCACCCTAAATTAATTTTGTCCATGTTCGCTTCATTTGTGTCTGCCAGGCCCAATGTTGGGCCAAAATACTAAATGTTCCACAGTTCTTTAATTCTTAGCTGTTTGTCAAAGTTGTGGTGCTGGTAGAGGTATAATGTTTCCAATTTTACAAGCTGGGAATAACAGCCATCAAATTGATGGCTGTTATTCAGAACTTGTAAATTGTTATTGCTGGTTTTATCACTGCACGGCATCATGTATCCCCAGATCGCATATAACAGCAAATTACACGGGTTTTCATTCGGCAGTTTCTTACGCAGGGTGAGTACAAAAAAACACGAAACCCAAATGGCAGGACCAATTTTTGAATAAAGTTTTGCCTTTCAAAATCCAAGATAAGAATGAAAGCCCAATTAATGAGCTTTCTTTTAGTACAATAATCATTCAAAACACCCATGTACTTTTCAAGTACATGAGTGCATGAGTTTGTTTGAACACAAACACTGTTTTAAAGTTCTGTCCACGGATCACAAAATAGGTGTTCTTTCAGCAAAACGAAAACAATTTACATGCATCCCTATGAGAATTGTTTTCGTTATGCTGAAATAGCACTTATATTTTTGTGTGATCCGTGAACAGAACTTCAAAATTTGTTCAAAATTCCGTACCTTGAAAAGTCCATAAGTGATTTGAATGATTCTTATAGTAAAAGCAAGCTTAATGACTGGGCTTTCATATCCTAGATTTTGAAAGTGCTACAGGCAAAAACTTTGTTCAGAAATTGGTTCTGCCATTTGGGTTTCGTTTTTTATTTTACTCACCTTGTAGACAGGCCTCTATAGATCACACTTTTTGAACTTCGGAGTTTGATATATTTCCGAAGTCCTTTAAGTTTTCTTCGTTGTCCTAATAACATGTATGCTTGCGATCACAAGTGCTCCGTATGAAATCCATTTAGTAATCTATGATAACTAACAGGCCTGTTTCATGAAAGAGGTGCCGAATTCTGACCCTGACTATATTTGGACATTTTTTTTCTATTTTGGAGTCATTCATACAAAAGGTCAGTTGAGCAATATTTAATAAAATACAGCGTCGCTATGTTCACGTTTCTTAATTTGTATTTAAACTTACCATACTATACATATTCTAGATATTGTACCTGGAGTTATAGCGATGGATCTGTGTAAGTTTTTGAAAAGATTCACATCCTAGGGTAGAATATTGGTTGGGTCGTATCGTAATGTGCACTCCACAATAACCAGTGGCGTATCAAGCTCTTTTTTTCGGGGGAGGGGGGGGGCCGCACTTGCACATCCTCGCGGAACTGTATATAGACATGTTTTTCACTGGACACTTGGCGTCCGTAAAATAAAAAATCCAGGGGGGGGGGCTCTTCAAAATTGACCATTAATACTGGAAAATATATGCCGATATCCACGGCGCATCATGGTTTTGGAGCAACTGCGCTATACTGAAGAAAAGTAAATCCAAGGCTGAGAGCTTATTGAGCAGTCGGTTTGGCTTCGTTAGTAATGTCACCCTACACTACAGTACAAAGTGCGACAGCATTCCTGAAAATAGTTGATTCATTCCTGCGCTGGCCTCCCAAGGTCATCTCTTTTGTCGTCGGGATCGAGTCACAGTCACGGCCACTATACTGTTGATCATTATACATTGATCAACAGTATACTTAGTGGCACTGGCAGGGGCAGACGATGGCGAACGGTAGATCAACTTCGAGTTTGGCAGGTTTGGACATGGAAGAGGTTGACGTCAAGCGGTAAGACGATATTAGGCCTCAGATACTATACTATATGACAAAACTGTATGACATTGTCCCAAACTTGATGACATTGTCCCAACTAAGAACTATTCCATGGTTGGGCCGATCCTAATATAATTGGATCTAGAGGGAGAGTCTGGGGGTTGAATACCCCGTTCAATCGATACGCCTCAGATACGCCCGAACTGCAACTATGAACTATTCCAGCTATGGTTGGGACGATCCTAACTATAGTCAGTATAGCGGATCTAGAGGGAGGGTTTGGGGTTTGCAAGCCCCGTTCAGTCGCTGACTAATGTGATACTAGTAACATGAGGCCGGAAATAAGACATGGAATGCTAAAGTTCCTAACTTTATTCTCGAATTGCCTAAGAAGCAGGAGAACGTATCATTTTCCCTACGACACACCTTACACTCAAATCCCCCCTTATATCAGCCCCTCCCCCTTCCTGATGATCCGCCCCTGATAGTTGGGACTGTTCGAACTGCTGTTCCATAGTTGACTACTGTCCCAACAATATTTTGAACTGTTTCCACTATTGTTGGGACTGTTCCACTGTTCCATTCAGTGACCTTGCATGACTGGAAAAGCAATCTTTTTTTAATCTCACACCACGCGTTTTCCATTTGTCGGATCGGATCAAGTCTTTTGATTGCACTGAAACGGTAAGGTTTCTGACTGGTAGCTTTATTTTTTAATCTTTTGTGAGGTGTTACTGAACGCCGTCCTCAATTCATGGAACCAAAAACACACGAGGTCAAACTATGTATAGGCCTATTGTACTCATGACTGAATAAAACCGTGTTCTTCGTTCATATGCATATAGTCTTCCGACCTTCCAAAACCTATCGAAAAGGAAACACAAACAAGTGGTTTATTTTAAGTTATTAAGGTTTTGAACAGGTCCTTGGCTATAAGGGTTTTTTTGCCACTGGATCTTTGGATGAAGTATTAAGACTACACTGTAAAAATGGCGCTTAGAGTTTAAACACATTCTGGTACTCACTTTTTTCACACGTTTAGTGTAAGACATATAACATGTTTATATTGTTTGCACGGTTTAAAAGCCTGTTGATTCGTACCATTAATAATAACTTATCAATAAAATTTAATTTATTTTAACAAAAATGGTGATAAAACAATTATATTGGTAAAAATATGTATTTAGCCTGTCATTCGACTTAAACCCGACACGACGAAAGCCTGTAACAGGCTTTCGTCGTGTACCTATTAAACACGTCACAGACATCCATCAACCTAAACATGTCGTAGATAAAAAAAAAATGACTGTAAAAAATGGGTACAGTTAAGTGTTTATTTAGCAATGTGTTTAAAACGTAAACATTCCCTTGTGTCATAGAGTGCTTCGACACTCCCCCAACTGCCTTACGTGGGACAATCACCTTCGGAGTCCCATGACGGCCACCCACAATGTGTGAATGTAATTGACATGGGGTAAAACCATAATGCAGATATTGGATGCTGCTATGGAAAGGTTCTGGGGAAATATAATAAGGTATATATTCTGAAACAAGCCATGGGAAAAATCTCATGGTGACAATTCCATGGGAAAAGTCCCATGTGGTAGATGGGGTTAATTCCATCGGAAAAATCCCATGTGATACATGGGGTTAATTCCATGGGTAAAGTCCCATGGAAAAACACCAAGTGGTACATGGGGTCCAAAACCCCATGTACTACATGGGAAATCGCCATGGGAAATCGCCATGGCGATCCCATGGGAAATCGCCATGGGACATTTTTGTGAGGGTTATTTTTACAGTGCAATGAAAAAGTTACTTGTTCTTGAGTATGTTAGGCCATTGTAAGTGTTCAAACTGATGTTGATGGAGGGATTTGTATTGGGATTAGAGTTATTTTTGTTTATTGTAATACGGGTGACGGCAAAAGAGGTCAAGGACAATTCCAAGTGGTTCTAGGGGTAACCTACTTAGGCCCACGTGTATCTCCACGTGTATGTGCTCGTTTGGTCAATTGCTTCATTCATTTACTGGCTTGATCAATTTTCATGAGGTACATGTATTCTATAAGGTGAGACTGGGCGGCTGCATGATGTTAGAGAAACTCTTGAAGCGATTTCTCATGCATTAAAACCATAAACCGCCCCTAAAGCTACAAAATACTACTGAGTAGCAACCTGTAGTATGCATTTCTTTCCACACAATTGTGCTCACTGTAGTATTTGGTACTTGACCCCCAAAGAGCCCTTAGGGGGTTAGGGTCTGCGTAGTTGAGCCCTCTCCAGGACTCCTAGACCAGAACACTGATATTTTTGAAAGTTTATTCCGAATTTCAGCTTAATCTGTTGTTGCAAACGCTTGTGTTACAGTACCTTGAACTATATTAGGAAAAAATCGACGAGGATTTTTTGCCGACCAAACTCACGTGCAAGGTTTTCAGGTTGGTTTGGGGGCAACAATGACGAAGAGCATATTTTATTAGCATATTCTTCATTAGCCGGCGTGACTCGGCGTGACTTCGCGTGGGTCTCAGTATCGACCAATGGAAGTCGGCAAAAAGGGTGATATTTATTAATTAATTAATAAGGCGGTGCTGCAAACTTTTATTGCACAGAATAATGAATAGGAACATTATTAATAATCGTGAGGCTTGAAAAGATTGACAGATCTTGCAAACACGTATTACGTATAAAGTATTAACCCCCCCCCCATCCCTGGTATTAACCCTGGCTACGCCTATGATTTGATGTGTACTGTTGAAATCGAACTATGGAGCTAACCATTGTACAGTGAACACTTTAAAGGGGTATTGCGGCCTGAACTCCCCGAGATTGTTTATTTATCCTATTTCAAAAGTCTGGTTGAAAGGAAACTAACCTAATTAATGTCTTACCGTTCCCGAAAAAAAGACAACCCTCCTCCCCCAAAAAAAGGTTGTTTAAAACGGACACGGCGGACATTTGGTGGCATAAGCATACGTATTTCCAGCCGCCTACATGCAATGTACGGTACAGTTGTGTGTGTGCTACATAATACACACATAATGTTCTTTCTCGCGCAACCACAGAATGCGATGCACTGGTGGAACATGTGCGGCAGGAATCGCGAATAGCAGCCAACAGCTCGATTTTTGAGAGTCAAAATGTTACCCCCCGAAATTCATTCTTGTATGGTTCTCATAAGAATAAAACAAAACGTCCTGTTTTTAAAGGATGCTTGTGTGGACGTTAACGTTTATATCCTAATTTTAAATGCTCTTTCCAATGAACATCATTTCGTTTAAAATGCGTTTTGTAGCCCAATTGGGCGCATTCCAGGACGTAATGTCCCTTTATGTATCTTGATCACACTGTATTTGAACTTCCTACCCTTTACCGGGAAGTATAGCGATCGATCAGTGTCACCTTTTGAAGAAAAAAAAAAAGCCAAGCAGAATATTGTTTGGGTGTATTGTGCACTCCACAGTAACCCCATTCAATAGCCGACGACGTCACGCTCAGCTGCGATATACACTGAACTCATAAATAGGCACCGGTTTGTCGGTCTTAACAAAAAAAGTGCGGCATCATTCCTAGCCTGAAATTGATTAATTCGTTCCCGAATCTTTGCAAACAAGGCGTGAAGGTAGTCACACTGAAGTGAAACTACATTGCACAACGTCGCGTGTATATTAGCCTCGGTCCAGTTGGTGATGTCCTTTCAGGGACATCACCCCACATGTGAAATCTGTAGAAAAACTTCACCCCGGATGTGAAATCCTTTTAAAAAGAAATATTTAAAAAAAAAAGGGATAAAAGGACTACAATGCCATCACCCCACATGTCTCGTCCGTCTGGTAGATCGGCCCCGGCGCCCCCGACAGTTTCACCAGGGGACAGAATCACTGTTTACATCGGCACCAACCGATTTGAATATTGTAACCTAGCCGCCTGAGGTCGCTGTTCGCGCTTCGTACATCGATACCGCGCGGCTGCTGTTTTATGTTACTAGCTATATATGGGTGGAGTGGACTGGTTTTGTACTATTTATAGCAAAGGAAGTGGAAATGTTGTTGGGACCTGAGATTTTGAGGATGAAGGTGGTGTAGCTAAATGTAACAATAATGAAGGATGACTCTTTGCAAACGTGGGGGGGGGGGGGGGTGAGGGGAAAAGTGTTTTGTTCTACATCTTCGTTGGAAACTGTCAGGTTACGGGAGTACATGTCATTTGGGTGGTGTGGCATTCGGAGGTCATAGATCATTATTTGTTTCTAATTGGGTGATAAGTGGGAAAGAGTATAATTGATGTATATTATTATTGGCATTTCAATTGGTATTGTTGGTTGGTATTAATATGAAGGTTTATATGATATACAGATGGTAAAAGAGGTAGCAGTAAGTGGTGTTAATACTGAGTTATAATGAAATGTAAAAGGCGTTCGAGGATTATAATCTAAGTGGGGAAATATTGTAGACAGATTGGATATTTTGTCTAACTGAATGAGTTTAAGTTTTATCTTAAAAATGGAATAAGTGCTATACAGTTTAGAAAAATACATACGTAATAAAAAAAATACTGGTTATTGGTAATGTGGAATGGAATAAATACTACAGTGAAATCTTGATAACATAAGTGAAACTGTGAACATTGGAACCTTCTGTTTATTCAAAGAAATATTTTAGTCCTTTAGCAGTATAACAATGCTATACAACGCTGTTTAACTGAAAACTCTGCTGAAAGTCAATTGTGAACTTGTTTTCTTGAGGTCTTAGTTATCGAGATGGTATCTGAGTTTAAAGAGTAATCGTTAAAAAAAGATTACGTGCTTTATACATTTAAAAGGGGAAAAACATACAGGTAGTTGATAAGGCCAAAAAAAAAGTCTCCGGTTTCTGGTATGCGCGCGCGTCGCCGTAGCCATGCGCGTCGGCAAAATGAAAAAGGTTTTTTTTAATGAAAGATGATGTCTAAAAACCGCCAAACTCACTGGTTTGATGGGAATCCTGCTGCTGCACAATTTTAACGTGTTTTTAGATTGGGTTATGGTCGAGAATAAGCTTTATGTGGCCTCTCTGGACTCCCAGTTTAGTCGGGCACCATTTGCAGTCATCAGCCGACATTTGAAGCAAAAATGCAAAAAAATCAGGAAAGAAAAAAAGCCGCGTCGCCGCACCACGTTTTGGGCAAGCTCCATACCTGAAACCGGAGAATTTTTTTGGCCTAATATGGAATATGTACAATGTATAGTTTTGAGATTGAGGAAGAAATTCCCAAATTCCTATTTGAAATAAAACTCAACAGTGTATATTTTGCCTGTTGGCCTTTGGAAAATTGGTGCCCTTCGCTGTAAATATATCCAAGTGTTGTTGCTGAGGGTAATTAGTTTATAAATATACCTCATGGCACGATGTATCGTGTCTAGCAAGGAGCTGTTTGAAATGTCCCTTTTTATACCTTTTCGTTGGTCAGGAAACACAATAGAACGGTTCGGAGATGGCAGTTAGCCTTCGTCGTGGTGCTGATAGTGGCTGCGGTTGTGGGTGTGACTATGGGATTGTTGTATCGCTACAAAGATACTGGCACAGTGACAGTCACCCAACGACCAACTGAAGCGCCGCCACAGCCGACTGGCGAGTACCAGTACGCCAAAGCTGCCGTGGCCGCCGATGCTGGAGCGTGCTCAGAGATTGGCCGGTGAGTTGGCCTGCCCTAACCCTGCACAGGAAATGAACACAGAAATTTGATGGAAATGTAATTATTGGGATTAGCACCATAATTATGTATACTTATGAGAGGGGAAAACAACCAAAAAAGAGCACAGACCTCCCGTGTGTGGTTGGTGGCGTCTATAATAAGGCGTCTGTGTTTTTGTGCAAGTATACCTTGTGGTGACTATAGTTTGCACAAAGAGAACAGTGGTACTGCATGAGTCGGTCTCTGTACAACGGTACCCTAGGCCCAAATTCTAAAGAAGGGGGATTAATTAAGGGAGAGCAATCATATTCCATTAACACCATCCTCAAGTTTATGTGCACCCCTGCCCCGTTACTTCACCCGTAGGACTGTGAAGATTCTCAAAGCAGGTAAACGAAGATGATACCATTCTCATTACTCACAACTAACTAAGGGAATAAATGTGTGCTTCGGTGGGATTAAATATTGTTTAAAACCGGTCTGGACACTGATGTATAATGAGCCGAGCAGAATGCAAGGGTCATTATCAGCATCCAGACTCCAAACCGGTCTTAAACTTAGTGTTTAAATACCGATCAAGCACATATTTATTCCCATTCATAAATACCTTTCTGGTCAAACAGTCAAAACAAGTCAAATATTACGTATTTTGTTCAACAAGTTTACCTCATGTTTTTTAAACACCCCTATAGCTATGTTATGGTATGTGCCTCAAATTGTCGTGATGCATTACCTGCGCCGTATTTCGAAGACAGTTTGAGCAACATGCGCGCGCGTTTAGAAATTTTGGAAACTTCGCGCACGAGCACCTGATGGCGTTGAATACGCAGTTGTAATTTTCCTACGAAGATGGCGTCCTATGAGAGAGATCTATTTATGAGCGTTTTCGAAACGACTGGTTTCGGCTTCGGCTCAAGGAGATTTTAGGCCCCCAACTTCTGGAACTCCAGCTACATTTTGGTGCCTGTTATGCTTCAGGAACATTCAATCGGTTGATGTGAAGCCAAAAGTTGGAATATTTTTGTTTAGTTTGCCTCTCAGTGATTCAGAAGTCGGAGGCAGAGCCGAAGCCGAAGACGAAGCAAAGATTTCGAAAAACCCCTAGGACTATGAAATACGGACTCACTGTCTTTCAACAAAATGTTAAACCGGATTTCACAGGAGTCCAAAATGTTTAAGACCGGCCGGCCGGTGTTTTATCAACTGTTTAAGGCCGGCCACAGGACGAGCTCTCGACCAATTATGAATGTGAGATCAAATTTCCTAAAGCCACGTTTAAAAAGCGATACTGGTAACTTTTTTTCAGAGATATATTGCAAATGGGAGGTTCTGCCGTTGACTCCGCCATAGCCACCATGTTTTGCATCGGTCTGCACAGCTGTCAGAGTGCGGGTATCGGAGGGGGTTTCTTCATGTTACACTACAACGCCAGGACTCGAACCGTAGACGCACTGGATGCGAGGGAAAGAGCGCCACTTGCGGCCACCGAAAACATGTATGAAAATGCGACTGATGATGCGTCTACCTTCGGTAATCTTCTTTAGCTTTATAATGCTTTATGTATAACAAGGAAATATTATGAACTTTTTGAAAGGCATCACACCTAGCATTTTATTTTGCATTCAGAAGTATTCAGAAGTATTGTTTAAGCCAATCAGAATTGTCGATAGATGAAGTGTGGGTGTAATCACTTTTGGGGAAATCGCGTAAATAATTAGCGCCACCTTGTGTCAAATAATGTCCAGCCCTGCTCTCTCCCCATGCCCTCTCTGATATCTAGTGGTACTCAGTCACCGGTAAAAGTTTATGACAACTTTACTTACAGATATGGTCCTTCTTAAAATTAAGACCCCTCCCGAGGCCACGCCTATGGAGTCAATTCCTAGGATCGTGATATGAAATTGGGCCTCCTCGGTCTGTCGTACCTTATGGACTGTAACTCTCAACCGTGACCTGTCACACTGTAATTATCTTCACTTAGGCACGCGCAATGCAACTCATAAGTCCATATTTCATAGAGTCTAAATTTCGCACTATGCACCTGTCAAAAATGTACGGTTGTTTTGTTTTTTATATAAAATTCAGGTGGCTTGTCTATCGGAGTTCCCGGGGAACTAGCTGGCTACTGGACCGCTCATCAACGCTACGGTGTGCTACCCTGGAGGGATCTATTCCAACCTGCAATCAGATTAGCAGAGGAGGGATATGTTATAGGCAAAGCATTGGCTGGTGGCATCGCTGCTAGAGAGAGTATCATCAGAGCAGATCCAAACTTGAGGTATGGAGGCCAAATAGATGGCTTGACAAGTTGCATAAAGGTCACGATTGAATTTTCGGGCACCTCCGAGCCGCCGGGTATAGGACTTTTACGTGCAGTTGATTTTGTTTTCTATAATACTTTGTTTTTACGAAGATCTGAACCATGAATTCAAGATGAATTTTAAAATATATGAAAATATGCATGCTGTCCTAATTATTGAAGAAAAGCAGAAAGAAAAATGTTTGACCTGAGCATCAGGTTGCAACGTGATTGGCTCATTGTCGGGATGAGAAAGCCCGGTTCCCAAATCCCTATACTGCATCCTCTGGCACTGACGTTCAGCGTACGTACATGCGACGACCGCTCAAACTGCATATAATCTACTCTTAAGAAACACTGGCACGTGAACCAGAACAATGGCGAATGACGTACCTATGACGTACTAGACGTTTTTGCTCTCCTTTTCCCTAATTTGAAATATCGTTCACATTTTGTGAATTGAAACAAGAAATAATATTTTTCTTAAAGTTTTCATCCACATTTCAGTAAAAAGAACAGCGTCAAAACAAACTATTTCAAGAAAAGTACTCGCTTTACACGTTGAAGCTCCTATTCGAGGTACCGGGAAGATTAGTTTCTCGTAAATTCTCGTACGTTCTCGTGGTCAACTTACGTTACACGTACTATTCAGGGCGTACTGCGCGCGAATTTCGAAGACTGCAGCGGACTGAACCATAGATATGGCATAAAAAGATATATGTATTCTATATCTCATGGACTGCACGACCTATTATGCGCTCGCGCGGTATCTCCTGCACGTCACGTCATGTCACGTCACGTACGTACATTGTTTCAAGGCTGCCCAATGCCTGTACGATATGGAGTCTGGAAGCCTTTGCCTTTCGCCAAAACACCTATATCTTGTGGTGTAAAAGGGACGACAGAGGTACGAACATTTAATATAAATCCTTGCTAAATAATGCGTCGTCAAAATCTCATGTTTGAAAAGATTGATTCTACAAAAAAATGTAAGCACTGCGTCGCGCGTGATACATTGGGTAGATATTTGGCAAGATAAGGATAATCAATGTTTACATGCAAACATTTCTTTTTCAAGTACTTTTAAATCTGAATTTTCTGCGCGGGTAAAAAGGAATGAAAGAAACGTGCAGTTCGTGCAATAACAAAAAAAGCACGCGGTTTTCAATTTCAGCGAACTGTTTGTGGACTCTGCGGGGGAGATACGAAAGGAAGGTGACATGATAACTAACCTCAAACTGGCCGCGACTTACAAGAAACTAGCCGAGGGTGGAGAGAATGCCTACTATAGGGGAGAACTGACTGATGACATCGTGGCTGATATTGCAGACAGAGGTGTGGAATTTATTTACTATTTAAGTCGGTGATGATAATTACAAGCCGTTTGGGGCGTACTGTGTTGTTCGCTCGTCGAATGCTGACACCTACATACGCCGGCTAGTATATGTTATATGCTAGCAATTTTCTTGTTGTATATTATACAACACCACAAATGCCGAAAAGAAAAGGTTGTACGCTATAACCTAATGTTAAAGTTGCATTCTGTATGCTGTTCAACACTTCCATTTTTTTCTATTAACAAAATATTAACCTGTATGTTTTATTCCAACTCTAAAATTCGTTTTCCATTTTTTTTTTTTGGGGGGGGGGACGTCTGCAACCATCTGAAAAAAAATTATTTTGTTTTGGGCACAAACAATCCGCTTTGCGAGCAGTCTGCCGGGCCTCCCGGCCCGTGTATTATCGATACTGATTGTGGGGCGGGAACCAGTCTACCCCACGAGATCGGTATTATTGTCTGGCCGCCAATTATTAGACATTGTCAAGTAATAATTCGAGAACTATTCTGTTTTGGTTTTCCAGGCTGTTGCTGGATTATTCGTGCAGCCATTAGAAAAAATTGAGATTTATTTTACGTAGGCTCACCAAGATGAAAAATAAACGGGGTATGAGACTGTGAGCAACTTATGAGTTCTTGTAAACACGAAGTCCGTCACAGTCTGACCTCCGAGCATTTTAATTAATTTAATTAATTGTTCTTACTTTGGTGATTCAAACAGGTGGTATTATCACAAAGAAAGATCTGGAAGACTACAGTGTCCGACGAAGGACACCTCTGATGATTGAGATCGGTGATCTGAAGGTGTACACGCCCCCGCCGCCATCAAGCGGTGCTGTGTATTCACTCATCATGAACATCCTGGAGGGTACGTAACAACAATTGTCACTATGCATGTACATGGAGTCCCGATTCTTATATTCTCGTTCAAATCTTCTCGATTTTCTTCTTCTACTTTAGGTGATCTCATGCCTTCATGTTCGGTAAATGTTTGAGGTTTATGGGGGTTTTGTTTTGTCCATTTCTTGAGTGGCTGTTCCTCGCTGCATAACGTGGCTACGACCAGTGTCATATAAACATCGGACTCCTAAAGAAATTCATACTTACCCTATTATTGGTTGAATCCTGTATACGTGACGGTCACTATCCTTATTAACATCACTTAGTAGGCATGCGCAGTACTACTAATGAGTCTGTATTTCATAGTCTTTAATTCACACCACACCGGCAAAGACGCATGCGCCAGTGGAAGCGACTGTATCCACTTTCCTCGTCACGTGTGTTACTGCCGGTGTCATATGGAATTCGGACTCCTAGTATAAATCTGATCTACTTTACCTTATAGTGACTTGTCGCTGTCGTATTTATGCTTACTACGACAGGCGCAATACAATCAACTGGTCCGTATTTCATAGAGTCAAAGTTTCACACTTGACCGGCCGTGGCCAAGTAACGATGACGAGGCCTATATCTTCCTTACAAGTCTCGACAATTCTTGTCTTATCGCGTGTTGTGTCGCACTACATTCATTTTGTTTACAGCATTTTCAGTTTCGTTAAGACACAGGAGGGTCTTGAGCAAACTTTTCCGCACATGGTTTTTACCCCCCCCCCAAAAAAATAAAAATATATATATATATATATATATATATATATATATATAAAATAACAGCAACCCAATAAAATTAAACGAAAATAAGACATCTCGTAAAAATAGCCCACTTTTAATCTTACAGGATATGACATTGGTTCTCAAAGCATAGCTACCACTAAAGCCGAGACCCTAACGACTCATCGCATGGTGGAATCTTTCAAGTTCGCCTATGCAGGCCGATCATTCCTTGGAGATGAAGACTACGTGGACGTCAAAGAGGTCAGAAGATTTGGTATAAAAATATAATAAAGAGAAGTCAAACCAAGTAATCTGGCCCAAGACCGCAAAAGTTCTATTCAACTGATTAGGAATGGTTATTCACTGAAAGTCTCATCTTTACTTTCACTTTATACAAAATACACAACAAAAACTTTCTTTTGATTTGCCAATAAATTGAAGCACATGAGACACGAGGACACCTTTTATTGACTGATTTTAGGGACTTGCACAATTTACATTTGTAAAGTTAATAAACTTTAAATCCCCACTGTGCGAACTGCACTTGCAACCTCCACAATATGAAACAGTAGTCCGTACAACTTGACCACCAACAATTTCGGGTTTTTTTAAACTCCACTCGTTGCTGTTACACTTTTAACTGTCGCACTCATCAAACGCTTCACCCGAGAAGTCGTCGTTATTAGACAAAATACATAAAAGGACATTTTAATATCCTCTAAAAAGCCTGTGCCCTAAAACATTCAGTATTCCCCTTGGTGAGGGTGTTCAAGTTCATCCTTTAAACATATACGTGTATTCAAATGAACCAACAAATTTAAATCAAATTTTCCAAAAAATTAAAATCTTCGTGCCCCGTGTGCAGTGCTCTCTAGAACTGATATGAATACTCTTATCTTCCCTTTTTAAACCTGATTTGACGCTCTTATTATGAAACCTTCCCACCAGCTGCGCGTTGCTCGAATGCCTAAGACAGTTATTTCCCGCTTATATACTTCGAAAACGCGGGAAACGTATGGTCCTTGCATGCATATCTGTACATGATTGGTCGGAGATAGCCCATTCAATGGCATTACGGGGTAAACCTATACGATAGCACCGCCCAACTCACAAGTGACAGTTAGTGAGTTAGTCCGTGGGGTACATATAAGCCCTCCGATACCAGAAAATATAAAAGAGAAACTGCTGATTGTATCTTAGTCCATCATGTACAGCTCTATCGTGTGCAATGCAAGTGTTTTGTGCATTTCTTGCACAAGAAAATACCTATACCGCTACCTCCTTTTACAACTATTTAATGTTGTATTTCGATCGACTTTACCATGTCAAACGCTGCCCTTTTTCAGTCAACATGTTTTCGTTATAAGGTCTCGATTCTCCAAATTTGTGGTTTGTTGCCTTGAAAATAATAATATAAAAGAGAAATGACAGTTTCGAACTGAACGTTATAAGAAAAATGGTTTTATTTACTGATATGTGGTATAGGCCTAGTCATATTTTAAGACCACTGACTTGTTTCCGCCTTGTTCATCCACGACTGTAATTTTAACATTCCTGTGACCATGACTTGATGGTTGCAGACCAGTAAATATACTGCCACAGGCCTCAGTGATGATTACGCGCACTTCCCAAAATTATTTAAAATACTCACAACTCTCCAAGGTGTTTCAGACACACATCAAATTAAAGCTTATTTCATCATCTTGTATTTTCCGTCCAATTTTTTTTGGAGGGGTCAACCATGACCTTTGGGAGAAAATTCCATCCAAAGATGATCACTCCTAAAAACACACCTGAAGCCCATCGCCATTTTGAAAATGAACGCCTACGCTCCATTGCAAACTAGAGCAATTTTAGGACCTAATTTCATTCATTTCAGTCCTCTGCACGGCTTCCTTACAATTTTTTTTACAATTTCCTTAAATTCACGGCCCTCAAAAATGCTCTTAAACCGAAAACTTCGAGGGCATGCAAATCGTAATTTGGCCGGCGAAGGCAATTTAGGTCATTTACAGGTCGGCACCCTTATAAGCTTTTCAATTAAATATATCTTATTTCCTGTGTGGCAGCTTGTTGCTAACATGACGTCACAGTCTTACGCAGACTCCTTACGAGCCGCTATTAGCGACACCGAGTCTCACGGTCCGTCGTACTACAAAGCCTACTACAATCTGCCAGATAGCGGCACATCTCATCTGTCTGTTGTGGATGGTGATGGCAATGCCGTCGCAATGACAAGCACTGTCAACCTGTAGTAAGTGTGGCTTACATAAAGCTTTACAAAGTTCCCAGCTTTTGTGATAATTTCCTGGCTACATCCCCTCCCTCCCCCCCCCCGCCTCAAATTCAGAAAAACGGCATTCTCTTCTCACCACGCCAATGCACAGTTCTATAACGAACTGTATTTGAACTGTATGGAATGGCAATACGCTTTTGTTGAACTGTGTGGTTCAAAGGATTGGATTGATCAATCTTAATGACCAAGCAACTCGTCTGATTTTATTGAATTATTGCTTCTTTGTTCCTTTAAAGTCACAATAAAATTCGCTTAAGAAAATATCGATGTGAGAGTGAAGTAGGCTACTCATTAAAATTGAAGGCAAAATTTGTTTGGAGGGAAATATTACAACGAGAAAACTACAGGAAGTGACCATATGTAACCCACACTGAACCAACTTGACCTTTTCATTGACCTTTGACCCTTTCCACTGACCTTTGCTTAGTTTCGGCTCCAAAGTTCGCGGTAACCGTACAGGGATCATCTTCAACAACGAAATGGATGACTTCTCCAAACCCAGTCAGCCCAACTTCTTTGGTTTTCCTCCATCACCGAGCAATTTCATCCGGCCGGGGAAGCGGCCAATGTCTTCTATGACGCCCACCATCGTTGTGGATCGAGACGGGAAAGTTAAACTGGTGGTTGGTGCAGCAGGGGGTTCACGTATACCAAACGCGTTGGCCCAGGTAACCATCTTATTTTTTCTGCAACCAAGTAACGTCACTGGCCATAATGCGCATGCGGTTTAACGAGATTGTTCACGGACTCCACTTCCCTTTAACTCAAAAACTGATTGAGCGAAAATGATATTTATTTGATAAATAAAGATGTACTTGATTAAACAAATTATAAAACTAATCAAAACAAGTAAATAGTGATATATTATTTCAGTACGCAATACTATACCCTTCACAAAAGAAAAGTCAATCACAATGATTGTCTAGAGATTGTCTATGATTGTTTTATATGTCTTCAACAATTCCAACTACGTAGATTGGCAAATCATGTAACCGTAGCTGTGGAAGTCTGTTTCGGACACGGCCCTGGTCTCTCCAGACCGGGAACCAGTCTACTTCGCTTTCGTTGCACTAAACAGCTTCCCCTCTAGGACCTTTGTAAGTTCGCCCCATATTTTTGCAGAAAAATCAAATCCCGGAAACTTTTTCTGAAGACATCTAAATTGTATTTCATCTCATCGCGATATTGTTTAAAACAATTGTCTCTATGTTTTCTGTATAGGTATCTGTGGATACTTTGTGGTATGGTGAGGGCATCAAAGAAGCGATACAACGCAGACGCCTTTTTCATCAACTCGTCCCCAATAATGTCACCTATGAGCCGGGTTATGATCAGGTTAGATCACAAGCATACATTTTCTTCACTGAGGTTTTCTTTTTAGTTGGTAACACATTTAATTCCTCAGTGTCAAGGTCTGCAGTTCAGGATTACTTTTGAAGCGAACGAATTCGCTCGCACCCACCACCTATGGCTCCGTGCGCCAGCAAAGAGGGCGCCCTTTTACCTAGCAACGACGTCCCATGGGCGGGACACATACATTTCGCTGGTTGACGCGCGCGCACCGTTCCTTGTGTGTGACGCACGTACACCAGGGGATTTGTACTATGTACATGCAGTGGCCGCGCTCCGCGGCAGAATATTGCATTCTGGCAAGATGGCGTCGTTCGGTCACCCTCAACTGTACTTTCTTTGCCGGTGAGGGGGTACTTGTGAACGGAGCGGATGACATTATTGGGAAACCTTCCACTTGGAGGGAGGATAGCTCAGTTGGTAAAACATCAGTACGGTATTCCGGAGGTCATAGGCTCTTGTCGGCAAATTTGTCGGAATCCACTCCCATTACAATACGGTATAGCGACGCCCCTGCAGCTGTTCCAATGCAAACTCAGCCAAACCTTGTCATTTTCTGTTCTTTCTCAGGGAGTTATCGACGGTCTGAGAGCAAAAGGACACTATCCTTACGAGTCTTCACGCTTGAGTGTTGTGCAAGGCATACTGCGTGACGCGCAGGGATTCTTGAACGCCTACAGTGACGACCGGAAAGGAGGCTACCCGGCTGGCATTTAAACTTTGGTCTGTTTCAGGTGGAGTAGAGCCGTGTCCGAATTATTTGCCTACGGCTAAACAGCCCATAGAATTTAATGCTATTCTTCAAAATGTACATTTGTGTACTATTTTAAATCTTATTTTCAATTTTCAATTTAACGTTTTCGCGGGTATTTTGGGTTTTTGTTTTGTTTTATGCTAATGCAAATTTCAATATGCATTCGCAAAAGTGTGATATCATATCAGGCAGAAACCTCAATTACAATGTTGCAATGGTTTGTGCACAAAAAGTTGCCAGAATTTTGGATATTTCGCTGTCGTAAACTTCTTTTTTGCTTTAGTGATTTGTTGTTGCCTCAGTTAATGGCAGTAAGCCAATGAGCAAACTTTTCTCACAAAACGTTTCAACGAGCAGATTTTTGGGTTCACAATTTCAACAGAAAACACCTAATATGAACAGAAATGACATCACCGCAACATTGCCATGCGTTGTCTGGAAAGCATGGACAATTTTAAATGTTGAAAGAAGTGCACTTTTCAGCAAAATTAAACAAAACGGAATGTCAATTAGTTTTCATGCACTTAAGAGGGTTATATTAGAAAGTAGAACAAACTTCCTGAGAAATATTCACTTCATGGCTCTTTAAAATTACACACTGATGTGTCTATATAAAGCGGCTGATTCCACTTCTCAAAGACACGTGTGTAATTGCTGGCGGCAGCCTAAGTAAGACGCTGGCAAGCCACATCTTTACTTTCAAAATGTTTTTATGTTTTACTATTGCTGCATCATCCACCTCCAAGAACCATTTTTTTATATTAAGATTCTCTTAAAAATGTATCTCTCCCTGGTTTCACTTTAAAGCTGCCATCATGTCTCTTATTTCTGAGAAGGTTTCAGGAGTGATTGCCCGTTGAAACAGGGAAAATAATAATTGTTAAAGCGCTTTGATACCGCGTTGCCGCGTTAAAGCGCTATATAAATGCCTGCAGGTTACATAAAAAATACCGAATTAAACAAAAATATAGATTTGATATAGTCTTTGTTATGTTTGACTATACCTACAGCGTGTGTCAATAAAAACGCAGGATTCAAAGCGATTTTTTTTCTGAGAAAATTATGCTACTGGTGTGCCTAATTTGATAAGGATTTGATTGTCCATAATTTCATCTTTGACAAGATTTTTGTCTGGTGGAATTTGGACTTTTGATTCAAAAGTTATGACAAGTTTTGTGAATCCCTTCTGAAGCGGGTTGGTCTGATTCAATTACCTTAACACAACGACCAGTTATGTACAATACAGGTATGCATTGAAGACAATTAAACCAGAACAAAACTTTCTTTGAAACAACTGATGATAAGTATCACTTAAATTTAATAACTGGACTATCATTGTTTCAAAGCATCATGAATTATTGACTAATACCATTGATTGTGGACTAAAGGATTATGTAAGCCTAATCCTGCCACACATGTCCTTCTTTGTGATCCACAAATACTTTCACCTGTACTGAATTCAAACCTTTCATTAGGTATGTGTGATTTCACAAATCAGACCAGCTTGGAATTTATAACCCTTCTTCAGTGTACTCTATCTCTGGACAGGATTGTCCAAATGAGATTGGATAAAAAGCATAGTGAAGAGAAGGAAAGGTACTTTGAAAAGAGGGTTAACATTTTGATGAATAGGGGTGGTTTATATTCTTAATATTTTTGTTTCTAATCCTGCGTTTTTATTGACACACGCTCAATGTTAGGATACGGTAGCTGTGGCTAAGAGCGGGAGAACGATGACTACGAAGAATACACAGACTAACTGGTATGAGCTCAGCTATATGGAGAAACTATGCTATTATACTAACAAGTATAACCTTTGGAAGACACTTAAGCGTCGTATGTTATACTTTGGGAGACATGTCGAATTAGGGAGACATTTCAATGTCTCCCTAATTCCACATCCCCTACTTAGAGGCAACATTTTGTCGTCGCAAATAGGCTAGATCGATTGCTCGTGGTTCAATTAGTAAGTCTATGGGAATGTCTCCCTGCTACCCAATTTTCGGTAATTATTACACGTATAATAATAATAATACTTACCCTGGATTGGACATTTGGGAGACATCCCCATAGACTTGTGCACAAAATTGTTCAAACTTCAATGTGTCCTAACCAAAATTCCCTTGTCCTTTTCCCACGAAATTTCAGTATGTTTACTAATTACACCACGAGCAACAAAAATAACCTAATTGCGACACTAAAAATTTGCCCCTAAAGGGGGCTGTGTCATAAGGGGACATGAAAATGTCTCCCTACTGATCGGTGTCTCCCACCGTTCGAAGAAATTACGATACCGTGTCTCCTTAATGGTACCTTTACACGTATAATTAGTATTATTATAGTAAAACTTGTAATTCACAATTCGGTTTTCGTACTTTATCATTCAACCACTCATACACTTCTTGATTTTGATGACTCCAAACATATTCTGGGTATTCTCCTTGACCTCTTAAAGGCATGTGATACGATTGACCATCACATTTGATTGTGTTACCTTTCAACCTATGGTATTCGAGAAACCCCCCTTGATTGGTTTCTCTCAGGTAGAGCACAGTACATTGTATGCATCCATCAATGGCATAAATTCAGATTCTGATATTCTTATATATGAAATGAAACCCTTCTTAATTAAACTGAACATGTGTCGCAAAAGCTATCGTGCTGAAAATGTGGGGAAAGATAACAAATTATTAACACTAACAACAGATATAAAATATGAATTTAGTAAATGAGTATGCAGTTGTGTTATAGAAATTAGTACAGTAATGGGGGATTAGTGTTTTCGGGCGTGACTTTTGTAAAATAAGTATACTAAAATATTAATTGGTTCAAAACAGGTACAATTTGTGTATCCAGTTGTATTGGGCGACATATTGGTACTATTTTGATAACATTATAGTGTATGCTGCTGTGTAAGAGTACGTTAGTGGTACTATCTTTGTAAGATTGGCGTTCTATATCTGCATCTATGGTGGATTGAGTAATGGGTTCTTTGCTGCTGTGTAAAAAGGTGAAACTGGTACTATATACAGGGCGTCATGAAAAAAAAATGGTTTACACCATCTTCAAGGTAATAGATTTAGCTTGAGAATACCGTTTGTTTCATTGAGATTGCTTTCGTAAATCCAAAGATATGTTTGAATAACGGCAAAGCCAAGAAACCCATTTGGGGCCACTTTCTGTGAAGTAGTTAAAATCAGTATAGTCATATAGTCTAAAAAAAAATCACTCTACTGTTAGTGATGTTAACATTTTTAAGCAGAGTGTTCAATATTTATATATATTTAATTGAACTCTTCCATTGACGTTTTAAAAAGTGAACCTGTCTGTACTAATAAATTGTTTCAACATGAGAACAAAACCCTATATTGTCGTGTGAATGAAATGTTTGTCTTACACCCATAGGGATGATCTTATCGAAAGAGCCATACTGGCGTTGTCTGATCTTTGAAGCACTCGCTTCCTAAAAGTGGCACAGAACGAGTTTTTTTTTTTGGGGGGTGGGGTTTTTTTTGCTTTGCGGTTATTCAAACATATCTCTGGATTCACAAAAGCAATCTTAATCAAACGAACGGTATTTTCAAGCTAAATCTATAACCTTGAAGTTCGTGTAAACATTTGCAGCAAGTTCTGGTTGTAAATTGCCGAAAATGGCGGAGTTTACATGCACCATTATTTTCAGGACACCCTGAAGTGACAAATTAATGAGATATTAAAGGTGTTAATAATTTAAATGTTGGATTGTAAAGTATGTTTCTTCAGGTTGTATTTTATCAATGATTGATCCAGGTTTTCAGAAGATAAATGCAGAAAACTATTTGAAAATATTTATTTTCTCTTCTCGTAACTTCAGTTAATATTTACTTTTCGGAATCAGTAATTTGAAAATATGCTCAGTATTTTGACAGAACATCATAATTTAGTTGATGAATATATGCGTGTCTAGATTCATTCATGATTAGTGTGTTATTAAAGTAATTAAACAAAACTGCAGGATAGTTACACTGATACTTAGCAATGTGATATACAGGGTGAGTAAAAAAACGAAACCCAGATGTCAGGACCATTGTTTTAGTGAAGTTCTGCATGTAGCACTTTCAAAATCTAGGATATAAAAGCCCAATTCATAAGCATTCTTTTAGTACAAGAATCATTCGAATTACTTACGTACTTTTCAAGCTACGGAATTTTTAAACACAACCGCCGTTTAAAGGTTATGTCCACGGATCACAACAAATTCAGTGTTCTTTCAGCAAAACGAAAACAAATCACATAAAGATGTGTGTGAATTGTTTTTGTTTTGCTGAAAGAATTACGCACACCTTTTTTTGGATCTAGATGCTCTGTAGTGCATCTGAGGCATTTTCTGGCCACTTCCCCCTGACTTTTTGAATGAAACGTATTCGTGTTTTAGTGGGTGGGTCATCAAAGTTGATAAATTATATCACAAGCATCACATCCTAACTGTAGCTTGACTCTCTTTCTAGATTTGCGCTCTTTAGCTTGATCCATGATTGTGTTTATAGGGAAAGGGCGTAATCATACATGTCGCCATGCACTACATGTTAAGTTAAACGGAATTTAACCATGAATTTTAGTTTTCCTCAGACTTGTAGGCCTACTTGTGTTTTCTTAAAAAGAAGTGGTTTTCTTGCTGAGAAAATAGCAAGGAAGAACCGGTTTTGTGCAAGCAAAATTAAGGGAATAATCCGTTGATACTAATATCTTGTTGGAAAATTCCAAAATCATTTCAAGAAAGTTGCCGCCGTGAATCAGAGTTTATGAAGGGAAGAAAAGTGGGATTTGCTATTAGCATCAACAGGGCCATTCCTCATTCTTTATCTTTTACGGGTTGTGGATCAAATTGGACGAGAGGACGAGAGGCTCTGCGGGCTGATGTATTTTTAGAAAAACAGTTTTTGGCAACCAGGTTGTAGGGAAGATTTCCGTTTATTTAAGACTTAATTAATTCACCGGTATGGATACCGGTGTATGTACATGATTGAACTGCCGAGCATATTTGTTAAGTTTTTATCTCTCTAAAAAAATACATCAGCTCGCAGAGTCTCTCGTCCTCCAATTGATTCACATCCCACAAGGTAATGAACGATGAACGGCCTTGTTGATAGCAAATCACACTTTCCGTCCCTTCATAAACTCTGATTCACGGCGGTAATTACTTTCTTTGAATGATTTTGGAATTTTCCAACAAGATATCTACTTCAACGAATTATTCCCTGAATTTTGCTTGCGCAAAACCGGTTCTTCCTTGCTATTTTCTCATTTAGAAAACCACTTCTTTTTAAGAAAACACAAGTACAAGTCTGAGAAAAACTAAAATTCATGGTGGCGGCCAAACGTCATTCCGTTTAACTTAACATGTAGGCTTAGTGGCAACATGTATGATTACGCCTTTTTCCTTTAAACATAAAAACAAAAACAAAACAAAACACAAAAAGGAAACAAGAAAAATGTGGGGCAGGGCAATGGGGGCCATCCCCCCCCAAAAAAAAAAAATAACCCAATTTTTTTTTTTAGTGGCATCGCAATAAAGGAAGGCACGGTGTACACCACCATCTTTTCCTTTTTAAAAAAATGGTTAAAGTGGTCAGAAATTGCCTCAGATCGCACCACAGAGCATCTAGAAACCAAAAGAAAAAAAAAACGCCCTTGGGGCCATGCAAGGCCTTGTGTACATTAACAAAATATATTTTAAAAAAGAGGCCTGTTATTATTGGTACGGCTATAGCCGTACCTGCCGTACCGCTTCCTACGGCCTTGTGTGTAACTGTCTGATGACAATTTCGCACTTGGCTTCTGGTAATGACATGCCACTGCCCATACAACACGACCACGTAGGCCGCCATTTTACAAGGAATGCATAATACATGTTAATGCATCATACTAAAAGTACACCAGTACATTATCATCTCTCTCTCTGTTTTGTGAACGTAAAATGCTATTTTGCAGTTTAGAAACAAACTCAGACATTTCAAGTAAAAAAGAGAAACGTTAATGTATTTTTGGTGGCTGTGACAATAACCAAGCACTAAGTGTCAATGACGAGAATTTTTAAGACACTTACATTTTCATAATGATTACAAAAAAGAGGTCTCATTTTAATATGAAAGGGAAAGAATTTCTCAAGGAAATTTATTGTATATAAAAGTGAGGATATCAGTCAGCATACAAACGATGGAACATTTACAGTGCAAGCCATCATTTTTCTTTTGCTTGAGGAAAATAAATTAGATACAACATGAAAGGCACAATGATAGGAACTACACGCAGAAAAGAAGATACTATAATTCTTGTTGCTTCACATTACAAATTCACAATCAACACTACTATGAGCTCTAAATAATTTCAAGACAAACCAAATGTACATATATTTTGCCAGGATAAAAGCTCATAGGGCTGTGCATCTCCCTATTAAACTTGAAAAGTACATAAGTGATCTGAATGATTCCTGTACTAAAAGAAAGCTTACGAATTGGGCTTTTATATCCTAGATTTTGAAAGTGCTACATGCAGAGCTTCACTAAAACAGTGGTCCCGACATTTGGGTTGTTGTTTTTTTACTCACCCTGTATATTACAAATAAAATATGCACAGCGCAAAACAAGTTATCAGACAGGATGGCATTGCTAATATAATCTTTGCTGTCATCCGGCAGATATTAGCGGTTAATTCTTGACCCGTGATTACTGCATTGATAGTCACCAATGAAAATTAATATCATGACCAAGCAAGGTGACAAAAAATGATCAGTTGATACCAGTCTGGTATGTCTGTTTGCAACGCTCTGTCCATTTCTCAGTTGTAAATTTATACCTAATGGTTCGTCATCCTTATTTCTTTTTTTTTTTTAGATCTCTGCGTAATACTTACTTCAATTAAAGTAAAAGACTACAGGGGGAGCAAAAGAAAACGAAACCCAAATGTTGGGACCATTGTTTTAGGGAAGTTCTGCATGTAACATTTTCGAAATCTAAGATATGAAAGACCAATTCATAAGCTTTCTTTCAGTAAAAGATTCATTAAATTCACTTGTGTACTTTTCAAGTTACGGAATTTTTAAACACAAAACCGTTTAAAGGTTATGTCCACGGATCACAAAAAAGTTCAGTGTTCTTTCAGCAAAACGAAAGGAAATCACATAGGGATGTGTGTGAATTGTTTTCGTTTTGCTGACAGAACGCACACTTTTTTGAGATCCGTGGACAGAACCTGAAAACGGCGGTTGTGTTTAAAATTCCGTAATTTAAAAAGTGCATGAGTGATTTGTATGATTCTGGTACTAAAAGAAATCTTATGAATTGGGCTTTCATATCCTTGATTTTGAAAGTGCTACATTTAGAACTTTAATCAAACAATAGTCCCGACATTTGGGTTTCGTTTTTTTTTTACTCACTCTGTATAAAGTCTTATACGAAATAGCATGCTTCAGTTATCTCAAAAAATAAATATTTCATATGTTGTTGAGCAAGTGCTATATTCACTGGTAACTAGGACGCCTTGGAGACGACGTCCATAACGGTGACCTGCACTGCATTGTGTACACTGCAATTTGCGTCGCGGAGGTTTAATGTAATGTATTTTGTAACCATTTCTAGAGCGCAGGCAATAATTGGAGCACTAGAACGCTATATTAACTCTGAGGCCATACCTTACTTTTGGAGATGAGGGACTCAATAAAGGTTTACACATGTGACTTGGAGCAGCCAATCAGCTTCCCCCACGTACAGTTCAAGATCATGTGACACTGGTGTTATGTACATTTTGCTAAGCATCGGTTCTCGGGTTTAGGGACATGACTCGATAGTAGCAACACTGGTACAAGTTTAGATGTTCTTGGTGGTTGATGCTGCATACGACGGAGTTGCTATTTACAGTCTAACAAATCTCTCAGCTCCTTGTCAACTTTGCATTGAATGCAACATACACCACATTGTTTCCATAAATTGAGCAAAACATATATGATAAAATTAGAAGTGCCAGCATGGAAAACAGACAAAATATCCACTTGTCTATCACCAAGATGATTAAACTCAGACTTGCGATTGTTTCAGTGCTTGTGCTAACTGCTGGAGGTTTGTACGGAGAACACTGCGGTTACCTCGAGAAAACTTTCATTGCAGCAGACAATCGTGCACTTCAGACTTCTACATTTAGAGAGGAACGGGTCAAGTCTGCTGTCCGCTGTGTTAGCTACTGTCATGCTGATAACAACTGCCGATCTGTGAATTATCATAAAACAGATCAACTTTGTCAAATGAACAATCTGACAAGGATGCAAAATCGTGCTGATTTCACCACACACTACGGCAGTGTGTACTTTGATGATGATGTAGACACATCTCTCTTCTCTGTGCCTCCTCGGTTCAGAGGTTGTGATGAGGTCCTTCAAGCTGGTCAGGCTGTGAGTGGTATCTACACGATATTCCCAGCTGGATTCAATGATGGGCTACAGGTCTACTGTGACATGGAGACTGATGGAGTGGGATGGATCGTCATTCAGAGGCGTCAAGATGGCAGTGTTGACTTCTACCGCAACTGGGCTGACTACCAGGTTGGCTTTGGCAGCTTGTCTGGTGAGTTCTGGCTTGGGAATGACAACCTACGCAGCCTGACTGAGACTGAAGGTAAGTGGCAACTACGAATTGACTTAGAGGACTGGGAGAGTAACACGGCCTGGGCTGAATACGACGACTTTCAGATTCATGGAGATAACTACATACTCCAAGTCAACTCATACAATACCAACAGCACTGCAGGAGACTCACTCACAAGACATAATGGAATGATGTTTTCAACTAACGACAGAGACAAGGACATATATGATTATGATTCCTGTGCTAGACTGAATAAAGGGGGCTGGTGGTATAGGGCATGTTATCAATCAAATTTAAATGGAAGGTTTGGGCAAGGGGAGTTTCAGGATCACATAGTATGGCTGGCTTGGAAGAGCGATTACTATAACATCAAAAGATGTGCTATGAAAATAAAATCTTCATAAAAAGCGCGACGAAAATTCAATGTTATACCAACTACGGACTGTTACAAAACACTTTCAAAGAAACCTTGTTAGTTAGATAAATTAACGCAGGTTTGTTGAATAAAATATTAAGTCGGCAAAAAGATGCCTATTCAGACGTCTGAAGAATTAATGGGCAGTATTATGAGGGTATTTATGTAAGAAGATGTGTTGTATGGAATGATTGTTTTGATGTTGCTAAAAAAAATGTCTATGACAGCTATTTACTCGATTGTCCGTCTGAGTTGCCACATATTCTAAATTATTAGGTGGTATTGAAGGAATCATAATGATAAAAAATGTTCGTGTTTTTTTACGGCTTAATGAGCAATTTTTATCGTTGTGTATAATCAATTGTGAAATATATACCATCATTTTACGAATTTTCAGCTATGAATTAAGCTGTCCCCAGCTTTGTTGCACGAAACAACAGCTTAAAAATGGGATTTAGCGGCCTATTAAGCCTGACATGCAGCTTCAAGGGTGTCAAATGAGTATCTGATTTATTAAGATTTTTCAGGCAAACAATAAATCAACAATTGGAGAAAAAGACAAGAATGAGGATTGCCCAAAAGCTAACTATATAAGGGCTTTCCAGACGACAAATACAATACAAACATTAAATAATAAAGCACAAGCAATACGTTAGTAACGAAATCAGTAGAAACGTTCACACAAATACAGTATTTAAAACAGGACAAAGTTATACGGTACGAATATAATGGGTAGGAAAATGTCAAAGTAAGTTAGCCATTCTGAAGAATTTTATGCAATTTATTTGCTGAATGCAATCGTTGAAAATGCACGTTTGTCCCATTTGACCCTATTTCCAATTTTTGTTTTCCATTTTCAAGGGTAATTTGGTGTCTTTTTTATGCTAATGAAAATTTCCATATTCATGAGGCCTATGAGACCTGATTGTTCGAGCCGAAGTCCCTACCTTGGATGCATCCCCTCCCATCCAGCATGCTACATTTAAGTGCAGTTCCAGATGTGTTGTTTGGCAGGTTCACATCCAGGAGTCTCTGACTCGTTTTTTTGACCACTCTTTTGGCATTACCCACAGCACTACTGGTAACATCACTTCAGGGCGGATCCAGGCATTTTAGCGGGGGGGGGGGCATCAGCAAATCAATGCTGAAATGTAGACAGGTTTTATTTTTGTCCGGACACCTTTGCTCCGTAAAATCAATAGGTGGGGGTGGGGGGGGTCGTACCATACTTTCAAATGGGGCGCTGTTTAATCCGACAATTGTCAACACTGTATTACATAAAGTTAAATGCCCCCTAACCAAGCTGGCTCTGTCCGTATTTTGTACACAGATGGGCATTATTGCCAGTGTAATTTGTTTTGCGTGTCAGAGCAGGGGGGAGGGGGTTCAAATTATTTGTAATGAATTTCTATGAAAAAGAACCCCCCAGTTCGCCTTAACGGGGAGGAGAAAGGAAGCGTACTGTTGAAGCATTGGGTCTCACCATCCAACAAGGCAACGATTAATCTTTTCATTTGTTTTTCCGCAATTGTCATTTGTTTCACGAAATCCTGGCATTACGGACACACTCTCGCAAAATGTGGTCCGGCAGCTTTCTATACAAAAACCTCGTTGGCTCGGGGTTTTGTACGTAAACCTTATCAGTCAGCCGATCACGCTCAATTGACTTCGGCCAAACCGCAGTCCCATCATAAGAAATAAGTTAACAATGTTATCCAGCCCATTTTTTCCGAGAGTGTGTCTCTAATGGTCGATGGGCTTTTAAAAAGAACTTTTGCAAATGCGAAAGACACTTTGGAAACATCCAATCAGTTTGAATATGCTTCATGAATTTCTGAATAAACGAGCACATTTTTAACAGTATTTAATTACTATTATTTTTTTGGTGTGGTGGTGGTGGTGGTGGTGGGGGGGGGGGGGGGTGGGGGGCAGACAGAAGATATATCAGAATGGCGCAATAAGACCGACAGCGGGCGCAATAATTTTGATTAGGGTTTCAAAAATTTCTACGCGTCCGCGTCGGTAATTTGCATAAAAAGTGCCCCCACAATTTTTTGTAAAAAACGAGACCGTCTAGTTTAAAAATCAGTGGAATCGTGCGAATATAGCAGAGGATCATCTCCCTAGCTTTTGGGCTATTATCTAAGAGCAGATTTGATAAAATTAGGGTCCAAAAATGGGTTCTATTTGCACAAGAAAATGTAGCGATGCCACTGGTAACTTGGCAGTATGCAGGCTCAGCATTACCGGCAGGCTTCAAGCATTACGGACACACTCTCGCAAAATGTGGTCCGGCAGCTTTCTATACAAAAACCTCGTTGGCTCGGGGTTTTGTACGTAAACCTTATCAGTCAGCCGATCACGCTCAATTGACTTCGGCCAAACCGCAGTCCCATCATAAGAAATAAGTTAACAATGTTATCCGGACCATTTTTTCCGAGAGTGTGTCTCTAATGGGCTAACCCACTTGGGGCTTATCACCTCCTTCGTTGCCTTCCCCTTTCAATTCTAACCCTTTCCCTCTTTCTTTTGGTTCAAATACTCACATTCATACCCGGCCCCACAAACAAAAGCAAGTCTAATTACTCAGGCCATCATAAATTTAAGTGTATTTGTCATACTCACTACAAATAAAAGGGATGTCTCTACATGATAAGGTAGGAGTCAGGTTGGCGTAGCGGTATACTTTCCTCGCCTTCCACCGCTGTGACCCGGGTTCAGATCTCAGCCGGGCCAATGTGGATTGGGTTTTCAGTCCATGCCTGATTCCGTGGGTTTTCCCCAGAATATTCTTCTGGGCTTTTCCTTCCACCTCTAAAATTGTAATTTCTTCTCATTGTCTTCTCTCTACTAGTTTCTTCAGGCTTTTGAGCTTACAGTGCCCAGGGCGCTTTTGGGGGAATCCTTGGTTTCAGTACCAGAAGTAATAAATAAAAACTAAAACTGTTGTACTTGTATAAAGTTGCGTTAACAAAGCAATTCGGGCGATTCACAATGCAGTGCGCCACCAAGAGTTTGCCACGGAGAGTCCATTTTTCAAGTTTACGGTGACAAAACATGGCCCATTTGAATGAGTATCAGTAGACAACTTGAGCTAATGTGTCATAGACTGGGCATATATGTTCTGCCGCCTTACAAAAAACAACGACTTGATAACAAGAAAAGAAATGGGCAAACAGATCCTCGAATCATACGCTTACGAAACCACTGACCGGAAAAAACTAACGATTTCAAATGTCCCGCACTGCGAATTGTCGACCATCTCCCACAATGCACTGGGGAAAATGAACTCTCCATGGCAAACTCTTGGTGGCGCACTGCATTGTGAATCGCCCGAATTGGTGCAAGTTGTTTTTGCAACATTTTGAACAGAAAGGTTTTTCCTGTTCCGTTACATTGTATCATAAGGGTGCATAGCATGGCACTTCTTGTATAATTACATGTACATGTATGTCCAAAAGACTGTAGTCTTGGGTAGGATACAATTAAATAGTTTGCTTTTCTTAACTTAATTTGAACTGACTTTTCCAAAAAGACATTTCTTCAGAAATTGCTTTTAGAAAGTTATGACAAATATCTACATGCAAGGCAAATATGAATCGATATAAATGTTATGTACATAACTTTTAATCATTTTAGAGTTATTACGATCAAATTGTCAAATTACCTATGTTGTTGAGTTGAACTGACGAAAAACGTGGCAGGCCTATAAGAAGGTAAGAAAAAGAATTTTAGAAAAAGTAAGAACAACAAATCTTGTGAATTTTATTTTGACGTGAATTACATGATTCTCCTTTTTAGCATGTTGTGGACGACTTGATGATGATGATGATGATTTTGTGGTTAAACGTTTAATGTCAAGACGTTTTGTGGTATTGGAACAAATCAAATGTTGATTTATTGAATTGGTTTTTTTTTCAAATCGTGAACATGTAGTGTTCCACGTAATATTATATATACTTGTAGATAAAATTAAGGGCAATAATTCCTGGTTCTTCAGACGTAATACAGAACAATTTAAATTCATTAGTTGTTTGTAAAATCAAACTCGAAAAGTACCCTTTTCATTTCAATTTTTTGAGAATATATAAAAGTTTTAAAAGAAATGTTACTTTTAGTGGATGTATGATAATACATGACTTTTGTCTGATCCATCATTGACTGTAATTGATGGGTATATAAAGATATGAATGAATTTAATTACACACGTTTTTCAATAATTTGAACCTATTTTTTGAAAACCATTGAAAAAGTGAAACCCATTTCATTGATATGTACAGAAGATTAAGGTAGATGTTTGAATTAATACAAATCTGTTGTAGAACTACATCTTATCAATGTTTGTGAAGTTGTCTCTGCAGCTATGTTGGATAAAATAATCTGTACTTTGTTGGTGATATATATTTTGAGCTATGTTGCAAAAACGTTTGGTAAATGCTGCTAAAATTATTTAGGGAAGTTTAGAAGGGTGACATTTGTAAGTGGTACAGTTTTGTTAAAATTAGTGAATGAAACTATGTTGGAAATAAAGTATTGCATTGTGTTAGTCAAGTTAGTGTGTGTAACGATGTTGGTTCCATGTTGGTAAATAACAAAGAGGCTATATTAGATGAAATTATTCGTACGCACAGACCTAATAGAATTAAAGAGGAGTGTTTTAGTATCGGTGGGATGGGCATAAGTAAAATGTTTTGTAAATCATTGTAACTTCGCTCTCTAAGATATCTGCAACTTTTTTAATGTAATTTTGCATTAGATTATAGATCCAATAAGCCAGATATTTAGTCATGTTCTCAGTGTCTGAAAACATGTTGTCTTAGAGTGAGTTAAACTTAATGGTTCTACAAATTGACTATGTGAGTACAGATATTTTTGTATTGCACCTTACATGGCACAAACTTGTTCAAAAACATCAATGATTGATCTAGATTCTTTACTGAAAAAAAAAATAACGAATAAATATATTAAAAAACTCGAAATACGTTTCTTATTCGAATAATATGTGAAAAATAATCAAGGAAAGAGAATTTGGTTTATTTTGATTCTTCAAATAGTAAACAGTACCGGTAATATATGTCTGGATCCATCAATGATTGATATATATTTTAAGAAATATTTTTAATTATTTAAGACTATGATTATTGCACTGATTACACAGCTATGTAAAAGATGTTGATAAAAAAAATATTCTGACAGGATGTCACTGACTCATACAATACATGTTTCAAAGTGCAACTTTAATTCAATAATATTTATTTCCATCAAAGCAGGGTAAAAGAAACAAATAACCACGAGAACGGTAATAATAAACTCATCAGAACACAGATAATTGGTGATTTGTAACTTCATCATAAACCAGAAAAATGTTCAATTCCTTAGTCAAATGAAGTGTATGGAATTATGCTTATACCAAGCAAGATGAGGAATCAATAAATGTTCAGTTGATACCGGTCTGGTATATTTGTTTTAACATTGTGTCTATTTGTTTACTTGTAAACTTTCTGCCTTGAGGAAGGTCTACCTAGGATGTCCTAGGATGTCCCGCCCACATGAGCAGCCTAGACCCGCCCATCAGGACGTCATATTGGAAGATACAGACCACACCATATTTGTTTCAACAATTTGTCCATTTTGCAGTTGTTCACTTTCTGCCTTCGGGAAGTTCTACCTAGGATGTCCTAGTATGTCCCGCCCTCACCATCAGCCTATAGCTCCGCCCCTCCGATTGATTTACTTCATACATATTCAACTGGTGAACTTGCGTCTCAAAGTGGAGCATTACCCTTCTCTAGCATGTATGACAGCCAAATAGCAGAATAAGTGGATTGGAATGACTTCCAATAGCCATTAGTGTCTGCATACTCCCGAATAAACTGTTTTAAGAGTCTAGGAAATTCGTATGGCACATTTACGGTGGTATCTAGGAGATACCACGTAGTCCTTGAAGAAAACATTCATATATATGAACTACTGATATCGAGGTAATATTATATACAAAATGCTAAGACTAGTTTCAAGAATTGTATCTCATTTAATTAAAAGAAACCAAGTTGAAAAAAATAGGAAAATCAAATAGACTAGGGCCTAACTTCAAAACCAACTTTGATTGACGAAAAGACATGAAGGTATCACACCGAATATACCATTTCAATTCTTATGGCATATTACGATGGTATCTTAGGATAATAGGAAAATCAAATTGACTAAGGCCCAACTTCAAAACCAACTTTGAACCAGCGAAGTACATGTCCCACCAAAGAAGGCACCGTTGTTATTCGCTCGTTCACCCGCCCTGCAAACAGGGCGCTGGGACATGCTGATGAGCTTCACGGAATCTTGTGAAGGAAGTGGGGATGGCATTCTGGGTAACCACCTGTTCCGCAACCTGTTCCGACAGGGTGCGTGATATTGGTTGGCCGTGATAGCGCCCTCTCGCGGAGGCGGGTTATCTTTGTGACGGGTTATCGCATAGTCAAACCATAACAACATCTAGACTACAGAAGGAAGGTTATCGATCAGGGTCATTTTGGAAGATATCCACACATAGCTCCATGCTGACACATTGCCGTAAAAGTCACACACTAATAATTCAACACAAAACCCCTAGCGCCGGGGTTTTGTGCACAAACCTTATCAGACGGCCTATCAGGCTCAATTGACTTCGGCAAAACCAGCAAGCCTCATCATAAAGAATTATATAAGACAGAAGTACCGGACCGACAGAATATTTGTTAGGTCGTATCGTGTATTGTGCACTGCACAGTAATCCCATTCAATAGTCGACGACGTCAAGTGCAACTGAGCCATACTGGAGACAAGTGAACCCAAGGCTGAGAGCTTAACAGTCGGTTTGGCTAGAAGAACCTCCGACATCATTCCTGAATGATTGGTTTATTCCTTCCTGCACCCACGCAAGGTCATCTTTTCGTCATCGAGAGTCATAGTGAAGTGAATATTATACAGTAGCAGCGGCAGACGACGATGGAGAACGGCAAATCAGCTTCGAGAGTGGCAAGTTTGGACATGGAAGAGGTTGATGCCAAGCGGTAAGACGATATTAGGCCTCAGATTGTCCCAACTATATAAGAACTATTCCATGGTTGGGCCGATCCTAATATGAGTAGAGGGAGGGTTTGGGGGTTGAAAACCCCGTTCAGTCGCTGATGACTATACTAGTAATATGCATGGGGTCAAAAAAATAATACATGGAATGCTTAAAGCTTCGTAGATTCAAAGTCTTCCCTTCATCACACCTTAGGCTCAATCACCCTCCCCCCTTATGATCCACCCCTGATAGTTAGGACTGTTCTAACTGTATAGTTTGGGCTATTCCAACTCAGGTCTGTTCCAATTATAGTTGCTGTAGTTGGGCAAAGCAACTCTATAGCCACTACATTCTGGAGCAAGTTCAATCAAGGACCATAGTTATAATATCTTCCTCCATGCATGCTCGACGACGGTTGCCACTAGTCTAGTCAACTATTCAGGACCAGCCTGCGGGTTTTTTTGCAGCAGGGGCGGATCCCGGAATTTTCGCAGGGGGGGGGGGGGGTTCTCCGGACACTTTGCCTCCGAAAATCAATAGGTGGGGGGGGGGGGGGTCGTACCATACTTTCAATGGGGGCGCTGTTCAAATTTGACGATTATTAACACTATATTATAAAATTGTTTACAAATACCCCTAACCAAGCTGGCTTTGTCCGTATTTTGTGCACAGGCGGACATTATTACCAGTATAATTTTTGGGATGTCAGAGCGGGGGGGGGGGGGGGGTTTCGGATATTTGTAAGGAATTTCTATGAAAAAAAAACTTCAACAGAGCTTGGGGGTTTACCCCCCCCCCCCCCGGATCCGCACCTCAGGCCACTGTGGCAGCTCAACGAAAGCCGTTCTTTGAAATGCATTAATCTACATGCATGGATGAGGGATGACAATGTTGTGGCGTCATTTTATATGAACAGACATCGAGTCGATGAATAATCATGATCCATTGACGATGATTGCTGCACATAAAAACACCGCGACCAGCCTACCGCAGTTGGTCGCGCGACGATATATAAAGCTGGTTATCAAATTAGGTTTTGCCCTTCACCGACGTTCAAACACTGTATACTCAGTGTGTGACCTCCCGAGAGAAAGTTGGAAACAATCCAACTTTTTTCCAACTTTCACTCGGGAGGTCACACACTGAGTATACAGTGTTTAAAAGGGCCAAACCTAATTTGATTTATATCACCCGACGCCAAAAATTCCCATCCTATGAAAGCTGGTTATCAAAAGCAATTTCCATAGCATAGTGCAGAGGGGACCAACTGTCAACAAAATGGCGGGAAAATGAAACCGTGAGCCCTAAATTTTATTCTCATTGAGTTGTTTAAATTTTATTCTCATTGAATTGTTTTTCGATTCTGTCACTTTTGTCACCAATTTATAATAACAATGGCGATTATGTAAGATATCCTGAACTTCAAAATCACTATTATTTGTGTAAATAAACAGAAACAACAAGTGTTGAATAAAATTTGGCCACCGCCATTTTCTGACAATCGTTCACATATAACAATAGTTCGCCAAGAGTCCTGTGCACTTTAACTTCAGTGCGCATGAGCTGGGTATACTTCACGAGTGAACCAACCACTAGTCAACCACTGGTCCTTGATCGAACTTGCCCCTGGTACTCTTGCCTAATTGACCTCGTCGGAGCTGAGGTCAAACCCAGACTGAAGTTTGAGCCCGATTTGTTGAATCTAATTAGAACGGAGTGATATTCGATTAAAAAACACGTAGACTTGCACGAAATAATGCCTCGTGTAGGCTAAGAAAGTGCTACAGCACAACCGTCCAAGCGGATGTGCCAATGACGGGGCCCCTCCACGGGTAGCAGGGCCGAGCGGGACCATACCGTGAAGTCGCTCAGCCGAAGCGAGCAGACGCGGTTTGCAGGTATGCGACATCCCCCCGGGGCTGACAAGCTTACCCCGGGAAGGGACCACCGTCCCCTAAACCTATTTGCTCATAAAGCAGTTAAAAACAAAAATAGAGCCTTTGATGGCATTCTGCGACAGTATACTAAGTTGGCTACTACTAAGCTTAAGGCCACAGTATTTGAGCTTGCTACTGAGTACCGCACCCCGAGCACCGATCGGTATGCCCTCAACTGAGGTAGACGCTACTCCGAAACGGTTCTTGATGGCCGTAGAGATGGGGCCAGTGTTGTACTTGGTACATTTACTAATCTCCGAATCCCTCAAGGTGTGTTTATGGGCCTCGTAAGGGACAGATATATCGGCGATGAATGCATGGTTTTTCGCCTTGTCTATGATCACTAGGTCAGGTCTAAAGTTTCCAGTGCTGGTGTTAACCAAGGGCTCTGTGTATACCGAGTCTTCGCCATACCGCCTGGACATATAACGAGCAACCTGTTTACACACCTCGTTGTGTCTACGCATCCTAGCTTGGAGCACTGAAGGGCAGCGCTGTAGGATGTGGGATGTTGTTTCAATGGCACCGCTACAGTGTCGGCAAGTGGCCTTGCATGTCTTGAAAAGCAATTTATTTATTTGTATTCTCACACCACGAAGTGTTAGTTCAACAGGGCGGTGTAATGTTTATTACATATACACTCCATCGAATATCATTTTCGCATCAATAGAAACTACACGTATAACAGTTCTGTGTACGGTGCAGCAATATACACACGTCCATGCTTTATGATACAAGTGAATCGTTTTAAAGGGCCATGAAATGAATTTTACACTGGAGCAATTTGTAACAAAAATCAATTCCTCTGAAACGTATGCAAAAGTATGAGACATCCCATTTTGGTAATATAACCCGTGAGGTTATATAGACAAAGTAAGACAGTAAGAGACGAAGTGGTACTTGGGATGATGTGGTTTATTCGGCTGGCTGTGACGCTCTCTGTCTGATTCCTAGATTCTACTGGGTTTTTATACAGTAAATGAACATTCCAATCTTACAGCTATCTTACAGGTTTCTTGCCTTATTAGGAATCGTTCACTAACTATTGAATATTAATAATACAGAATTGAAGGTGTTTGGTCAACTTGTATCTGGGGGCAGGGCTAGGCAAATTAATAGAACAATCGGATTTCCTTATAAGTCTGTGGGCTGAATCACTGTGGCCTTCCGGTGCAGCCCAGCATCCACCCACGCGGACCTTGTGGCTAAACTGGCCATTCCTTAGATGTGTCTCATTACCAGGAAAGTGGTCCTGTTCCTTGAAGGTCAACGTATACAACTTAAACAGTAAATATAAAACATGATATTTTATCATGGTGATAGTAACAACATTTGCAAAGTGCCCATTTTCAAGCAATTAAAATGTTTCAGTGTTTTCCTGACAACTGAGGGCGCTGTTTCTGTGTTGTCACTTTAGGAACACACTCTTCGGGTTAGGGTTTTTTCTCTTCAAACTGTAAAACCAAACTTTTGCTTATTGAAAACATTTGTCATACAGTTTTCTCATTGTCTAATTACTGTCATAATGAAACAACATTGAACCATTGAAAGCAGAAACGTAACTACAACAAATTCCAGTGACTTTTTTTATACTCAAGCAGATGTGAAACTGAATGACATCACAGTTTTGCTCGTTAATATGCAAATTTACATTAGCATACAAAAATCAAAAATGCACCTAAACACCCTTAAAATGACAATAAAAGCAACTTGACCGGGTAAGTACTTGGCCATATAACATGGTCAAGTTGCTTTTATAACCGAACTATGGTATACAAATATTGACTGCTTCGAGTGGTGTAGTAAAACTAGCCTCCCGAGGTGATCCTAGCATTTCGCCAAGGCCATCGTGGCTTAGAGCGGCGTAGTTGTGAAAGCACGAAGCGACTGGAGCAAAGATTAAGTCAGCACGCACGAATCCAGTCCAGTCGCTCCAGTCGAATTCGCCGCTTTGTCTAATGCCGGCAAGTTAAGCCACGATGGCCTTGGCGAAAGGCTAAGGTGATCCATGAAGCATTCTATTTATCCCGAGGCGAAGCCCAGGGAAAATAGAATGCTCCATGGATCACCAAGGGAGGCCAGTTTACTTCACCAAGAGATAAGCAGTCTATATAACACCTCTCCCACAGATTCTGCTAAATTTTAAGCGATATCTGATTAATTTAATCTGTACAATTAAATGTACTTCTACTTGAATACTAAATTAGTTGAAAATTAACTTACACTTTTCCAAACTACCCCTTCACGAAATGTTTGAACCCAGCTCTGTAGCGCCAGCGCTTGGGAACAATACGCGCAACGCGCGCGCGCAACGCACAATGCACACACCGTATGCATTTGCACAATGCGTATAGTACTTTGGTTGCTATGGGTATAGTACTTTTGGCCGTGCACAGCATGCAAGATAGCGACAGGCGTGGATCCGGCCGGGGGGATAAAAAAAAAACAGCTCTGGGTTCAAACATTTCGTGAAGGGGTAGTTAGAAAAAGTGCAAGTTAATTTTCAACTAATTTCGTATTCAAATAGAAGTAAATTTGTATTGTATTAAGATTAAATTCATCAGTTATCGCTTAAAATCAAGCAGAAACTGTGGGAGAGGTGTTATAAAACAAATATTAACTGTTTTATCTCGTGGTGTAGTAAAACGAGCCTCCCTCGGTGATCCACGGAGCAACTTTTTCCTTCGGCTTCGCCTCGGGAAAAATAGAATGCTTCGTGGATCACCTCGGGCGGCTAGTTTGACTACACCACTCGAAGCAGTTAATATTTGTATAATATCTGCGACTGAAATTCATTCCTATTTGTCTTAGAAAATCCACAGTTCTGAGATGGCAGTTAGCCTTCGTCGTGGTGCTGATAGTGGCTGCGGTTGTGGGCGTGGCCATGGGATTGTTGTATCACTACAAAGATACTGGCACTGTGACAGTCACCCAACGACCAACTGAAGCGCCGCCACAGCCGACTGGCGAGTACCAGTACGCCAAAGCTGCGGTGGCCGCCGATGCTGGAGCATGCTCAGAGATTGGCCGGTGAGTTTTTAATAGCCTGCCCTGTACAAAAAGAGCACAGGCCTTGTGTGTGTGGTTGGTGGCGTCGGTTGCGTCTGGGCTTTTGTGCAAGTACCTTGCAACTTGCACAAAGGGAACAGTGGTACCGCACAAGTCCGTCTCTGTAAAGCGGTACCCCAGAAGGGCCCACATTATAAAGAAGAGGGTAGAGGGAGAGCAATGCAGGTATTCTATAAACCCCATCCTCAAATTTGTGTGCACCCCTGCCACGTTACTTCACCCGTAGGACTGTGAAGATTCTTAAAGCAGGTAACGAAGTTGACCATTCTTACAACTAAAAGAATAAATGTGTTCTTGGCTATGTTTAAAACCCCAAACCGGTCTTAAACATACTGTCTTAGGTATTTATGAATGTTGGATCAAATCTGGCATTTCCCATAGCCACGTTTAAAAAGCGATACTGGTAACTTTTTTTTAGAGATATATTGCAAATGGGAGGTTCTGCCGTTGACTCCGCCATAGCCACCATGTTTTGCATCGGTCTGCACAGCTGTCAGAGTGCGGGCATCGGAGGGGGTTTCTTCATGTTACACTACAACGCCAGGACTCGAACCGTAGACGCACTGGATGCGAGGGAAAGAGCGCCACTTGCGGCCACCGAAAACATGTATGAAAATGCAACTGATGATGCGTCTACGTTTGGTAATGATATTCTTTTATATAACCTTTGATGTTTATCAACAAAGATTTTTATTTCCAGAAGCCTAGTTAGTAGGAGATTTTTGAAATGCATCACTGTAGCTTTTGTTTCGTGATGAGTCGGTTATGGTCTCAAATTTGAGGTAAGATGATTTTGTTTCATTCAGATGTATTGTTTAAGCCAATCAGAGTTGTCGATAGATGAGGTGTGGGGTGCAATACCCCCGCACTTTTTGGGGAAATCGTGTAAAGTATGTCTACAAAAGAGGTCGCAATAATTAGCGCCACCTTGTGTCAAAGAATGTCCAGCCCTGCTCCCTCCCGGACCCCATCCCCTCTCTGATCTCTAGGTGTCGGTCACCGGTGAAAGTTTTCTGACAACTTTAATTACAGTAATGGTCCTTCTACAAAGTTAAGCCCCTCCTCCCGAGGCCACGCCCATGGAGACAATGCGGTGCCTCCTCGGTCTGTCTTACCTTATAAGGACTGTAACTTTCACACGTGACCTGTCACTAATTTGTAATTATCTTCACTTAGGCTTGCGCAATGCAACTCATGAGTCCACATTTCATACAGTCTACATTTCACACTATACACCTGTCAAAAATAATGTATGGTTGTTTTTTTTTTCTCTAAAACTCAGGTGGTTTGTCTATTGGTGTTCCCGGGGAACTAGCTGGCTACTGGACCGCTCATCAACGCTACGGTGTCCTACCCTGGAGGGATCTATTTCAGCCTGCAATCAGATTAGCAGAGGAAGGATATGTTATAGGCAAAGCATTGGCTGGTATCATCACTGCTAGAGAGAGTATCATCAGGGCAGATCCAAACTTGAGGTACGGAGGCCCAATACACGACTTGACAAATTGCAGCCTCGACTCCATGGGTGCGTGCGCGTTCCTTCACTAACCCCTGGCCGTGACGAATACGCAAACGACGCTGACCGGCTATTCAGAATGTACTGCGCGTTACGATATGGAGCCTGGCAGCCTCGTTTTTCGCAAAAAACCTGTATCTTGTGTTGTAAAGGGACGACAGAGGTAACATTTAATACAAATCCTTGCTAAATAACGCGACGTCGAAATCTCATGTTTGAAAGAATGGATTCTACCCCAAAAACAAATTGCGTCGCGCGTTATATACATAGACTGCAGTCCGAATTTAACTGAGCCAAATAATTGGCACATTTTAAATGTCACAATTTCAGGGGTTAAGATCGCGCAGGCCATGACGGGAACCAACATGGCGCAGCAAGATCGTGCCCATGGAAACGAGGTTGGACAAATTGTTATAAGCTCTCTCACTACCCGGTCTACATCCGGGTACCGGAAAGTCAGCGTCGCCATTGTAGTAGGCAAAGATCGTATTGGTAGAGCTGCGATGGATGGCAAAAGCTGCGGAGACCGATTTGTCCCGTATCACGGCACATGTAGTAACCACTGACCTTTATGCCATGTGATAAAGAATTCGCGATTATTTTTACCGTCGTGAAAATATGACTTACTATGTCTAGTTCAGTACTGGGCCCAATTTCACGGCGCTGCTTAGCACACACACAAAATTGCTTAGCACAAAAAAGTCTGGCTTATTAAAGCAGGTTACCAGCCAAAACTCCATGATTGTGATTGTCATGCTAAGCAAACAACAACTGAATACTAATCACGAGCAATATACAATATACATGGAGTTTTGGCTGATAACCTGCTTTTATAAGCCAGACTTTTTTTGTGCTAAGCAATTTTTTTGTGCTTAACAGCGCCGTGAAATTGGCCCTGGTTGCTATAACCAAACGCTTGCCTACTGCAATGGCGGCCGATCACGGGAAACACGGATGGTCATGTGGCACTTATAGACGTCGGACGATCGGAACCTATTGGGCAGATATTTTGGCAAGATAAGGATTATCAATGTTTACATGCAAATATGTGTTTAAAGTGTTTTAAAACTGGATTTTCTGCATGAGTAAAAAAAGGAATAAAGAAATGCATGCTAGTAACCAAAAAGCTCGCGGTTTTCAATTTCAGCGAACTGTTTGTGGACTCTACGGGTGAGATTCGAAAGGAAGGTGACATGATAACTAACCTCAAACTGGCCGAAACTTACAAGAAACTAGCCGAGGGTGGAGAGAATGCCTACTATAGGGGAGAACTGACTGATGACATCGTGGCTGATATTGCAGACAGAGGTGGGGGATTTATGTACTATACATGTATTTAAGTCGGTGATGATAATTATATATACAAGCCATTTTGGGCGTACTGCGCTGTTAATACGTTCGCCCGATGGTCTAATGCGGACACCTAAATACGCCGGCTAGTATAATATACTAGCAATTTTCTTGTTTTATATCATACAACAAGAATATAGCCGAAAGGAAAAAGTTGTACACTTATAAAACCTTACGTTAAAGTTGCATTCCGTATGCTCTTCAACACTTCTATTTGTTTCTATTAACAAAATGTCAACCTGTATATGTTTTATTCCAACTTTAAAAGTCGTTTCCCTTTTTGTTTTATACGTCTGCTACCCTCTGAAAAATATGGTGGTGGTTTTTTTTGGAGGGGGGGGCACAAACAATCAGCTCTGCGAGCAGACTGCCCGGCCTCCCGGCCCGTACACTGATTGTGGAGCGGGGACCAGCCTACCCCGCGAGATCGGAATTATCGTCTGGCAGCCAATAATTAGATATTCAAAAATAATTCAATAACTATTCTGTTTTGGTTTCCTATGCTGTTGTTGGATTATTCGTGCAGCCATTTAGCGTTAATTGAGATTGATATCACGGACGCCCACCAAGCTGAAATATGAACGGGTATGAAACTGTGAGCAACCTATGTGTCAGTTCCTGTAAACACGAAGCCCGTCACAGTCTGACCTCGAAACATGTGAAATTAATTATTCTTTATAATAATCTGATGATTCAAACAGGTGGTATTATCACAAAGAAAGATCTGGAAGAATACAGAGTCCGACGAAGGACACCTCTGATGATTGAGATCGGTGATCTGAAGGTGTACACGCCCCCGCCGCCATCAAGCGGCGCTGTGTATTCACTGATCATGAACATCCTGGAGGGTAAGTAACGACAATTGTCACTGTAGACCTTTAGTATGCTGCCACCATTTCAGTCATGTTCCCTGTATCCAATAACAGTACTGAATGATAATGGGTTTTTGTGCAAAAAGGAACCAGACTATATTTCATTCCAGCCTCGCTTTGGTTACATTGATTTGAATAGGAAAAAATCAAGATGGCCGCAACATGATAATGGTCTTTATATGTAGACGGATTCCCGATTCTTATATTCTCGTTCAGATCTTCTCGATTTTATTTTTCTGCTATAGGTAATTTCATGCCTTACTATGCGGCAAATGTTTGAGGTTTATGTGAGTTTTGTTTTGTCCATTTCTTGTGTGGCTGTTCCTTGTTGGCTACCCGGCTACGACCAGTGTCATATGAAAAGCGGACTCCTGATGAAAATCAGACTCTTTACCCTATAATTGGTTAAACCCTCTATACCTGACTGGCACTCTCCTAAACAGCACTTAGGCATGCGCAGTATTAATTACTACTGAGTCCGTACTTCGTAGGTCTTAAATTCACGTTACACCGGCAAAGACACATGCGCCGGTGGAAGCGGCTGTATTCACTTCCTTCGTCACGTGTGACTGCCGGTGTCATATGGAATTTGGACTCCTGTTTATACCTTATATGGAATGGAAACCTTACATGTGACCTGTCACTTTCGTATTTATTTTCTCTAGGGCATGCGCAACACAACCAAACCAATGATTCCGTATTTCATCATGTAGAGTCCAAATTTCAAACCTCACCGGCCCGTATCCAAGTGCTAAAGACGGCGGCCTACGTCTTCAATATAAGTCTTGTCAATTCTTATCTTATCTCGTCTTGTGCCTTTTGGTGTCTCACTACGTTGATGTTTTACAGCACTTTCAGTTTCGTTAAAACACAGGTGGGTCTTGAGCAAAAAAATTCGCACATGGTTTTCAAGCCCATCCCTCCCAAAAAAAAAAAAAAAGCGGCCCAATAAAATTAAACAAAAATTAAAAAAAATCGTAATAATAGCCCACTTTTATTCCTATAGGATATGACATTACTTCTTCGAGCACAGCTACCACTGAAGCCGAGATCTTGACTACTCATCGAATGGTTGAATCTTTCAAGTTCGCCTATGCAGGCCGATCATTCCTTGGTGATGAAGACTACGTGGACGTCAAAGAAGTGAGTAGTATGTTTGTTTGGATCGACTTTACCATCGCAGGGGCTTGAGCCCCCCCCCCCCCCGAGGTTGTCAAGGGTTTTTTTTGGGGGGGGGGGGAGCCAATTTTGTTTTAGTTCCACAATTTGACAGTGGCCTATTTTCGAAAAGTATAATAGGGGTATAAATGGCGCCACGGTCAAAATAGTCCGTCCCCCTCCAATTTTTTTTTCTGCGGCCAAAACGTTTTATAATTTTTCTTTAAAAAAATCAAACTTCTAGAAAAAAACAGCCAAATCCTAGGTGCGCCACTGTATCAAACGCTTTCAGTCAACAGGCGGTTATAAGGTCTCAACTCTCCAGTTGTGGCTCGTTGCCTTGAAAAACAATAATATACAAGAGACATGACAATTTTGAACTGAATATCAAAGAAATATTTATTTGTTTACTGTAGTATAGGCCTAGTCATATTTCAAGATGACTCACTTTTTTCTTCCTTGTTAGTCCACGACTGTTATTTTAACGTTCCTGTGACCATGACTTAATGGTTGCAGACCAGTAAAAAGACGGCCATAGACCTCAGAGATAATTACGCGCACTTCCCAAAATTATTAAAAAATATTCATAACTTTCCAAGGTGTTTGAGACACCTGTATTCTTATAAGCTTTTCAATTTAATATCTGGTTTCCTGTGTCCCAGCTTGTTGCCAACATGACGTCACAGTCTTACGCAGACTCCTTACGAGCCGCTATTAGCGACACCGAGTCTCACGGTCTGTCATACTACAAAGCGTACTACAATCAGCCAGATAGCGGCACATCTCATCTGTCTGTTGTGGATGGTGATGGCAATGCCGTCGCAATGACAAGCACTCTCAACCTATCGTAAGTATGGCTTACATAAAGCTTTACAAAGTTCCCAGCTTTGGCGATAATTGGTTGAATTGTGTTGTTCACTGATTTTATTGAATTAGTGCTTCTTTTGCTCCTTTGAAATTCAACAATTTTTCGCATAAGAAAAAATCGATGTCAGAATGCAATACTGTTATTAAAATCGAAGGCAAAATTTCGAGGGAAATATTACAAACGAGAAAACTGCAGGAAATGACCACATGTAACCCACACACGACCAACTTGACCTTTCCATTTGATCTCTGACCCCTTCCATTGACCTTTGTTCTTGCTCAGTTTGGGCTCCAAAGTTCGCGGTAACCGTACAGGGATCATCTTCAACAACGAAATGGATGACTTCTCCAAACCCAGTCAGCCAAACTTCTTTGGTTTTCCTCCATCACCGAGCAATTTCATCCGGCCGGGGAAGCGGCCAATGTCTTCTATGACACCCACCATCGTTGTGGATCGAGACGGGAAAGTTAAACTGGTGGTTGGTGCAGCAGGGGGATCACGTATACCAAACGCGTTGGCCCAGGTAACCATGCATCTTATTTTTTTTTCTTCAACCGAGTATAGTCACTGGCCTTAATGCGCATGCATTTATTGTTCACTTCACTTCCCTATTACTATAAAAACATGCTTCAGAATAAAAGGTGAAATGTATTTGATAAAAAAGGACCTCGATTAAACATCTTAAAACCAATCTAAACCGTGTAAAGAGTGATATATTATTTTAGTAACGCGATACTTTACCCGGTGCAGAAGAAAAACGATAGTCTAGAGCTATTTTTTTATGTCTTCAACAATTCAAACTACATGTACGTAGACTAGCAAAACATGCTCAGGAAGCTCGCTTCAGACACGACCGGTCTCTCTGATAGGACCGAGAACCAGTCTACTTCGCTCTCTATGCTGCACTTAACAGTTATTTTAAAAAAAAAAAAAAAAATACAGGGTGAATCAAAAAAACGCATCCCAAATGGCAGGACCAAGTTTTTCCTGTAGCACTTTCAAAAATATAGGATATGAAAGCCCAGTCGTTACGCTTTCTTTTAGTACATTGAACAAGAATCATTCAGATCACTCATGTACGTGTTCTTTTAGCAAAACCAAAACAATTCTCATAGGGATGCATATGAATTGGTTTCGTTTTGCTGAAAGAAACGTACCTTTTTGTGATCCATGGACAGAACTGTAACGGTGTTTGTGTTCAAAATGCCGTAACTTTAACAGTACATGAGTGTTTTGAATGATTCTTGTACTAAAAGAAAGCTCATTGATTGGGCTTTCATATCCTAGATTTTGAATTTGCTACTGGCAAAAACTTCATTCAAAAATTGGTCCTGCCATTTGGGATGCGGGTTTTTTTTTACTCATCCTGTACAGGAAGCTTATTTCAAAGACATCTAAATCTTCATCTCATCGCTAAATTGTTTTTGAAAACATTGTCTCTATATTGTGTGTATAGATATCTGTGGATACTTTGTGGTATGGTGATGGTATCAAAGAGGCGATACAACGCAGACGCTTTTTTCATCAACTTGTCCCCAATAATGTCACCTACGAGCCGGGTTTTGATCAGGTTAGATCACAAGAGTTTTTTTTTCAATGAGGGCTTTTTTAGTTTTGTAACACATTTAATTCCTCAGTGTCAAGATCTGCAGTTCACGATTATTTTATGTGAACGAATTCGCTCGCACCCACCGCCTTATGACAAGGGCGGATCCAGGGGGGCAAAAGGGGGCCATGCCCCCCCCCCAAAAAAAAAAATCAATTTGTTTTAGATGATTTCGCAATAAAGGCAGGCATTGAGTAAACCACCATCTTTTCCTCAAAAAAAATACATTGGTTAAAGTGGTCAGAATTTGCCTCGGATCGCACCACAGCGCATCTAGAATGGCCCCGAGCCCCGCGCCGTAATTTTTTCTTGACACACTTTTTGGGGACCCAATTTTTTTTTTTGCCCCCCCCCCCACAAAAAAATTGTGTTCTGGATCCGCCCTTGCCCTATGACGTAATTGCGAAACTATCCACGTGGACCGGGGATAGCTCATTTTAAAACATAGCGGTACGGTATTCTGGAGGTTATAGGTTCAAATCCCGCTCTAGTCGGGTTTCCCTTTCTGTTCTTAATCAGTCATTTTCACGACAGGCCGTCACTTACCTCACTGGCGCATTTTGCAAAGGAAACACGGCAGGCATGTGGCTCTACTCGTCATCATGTTTGACTGATGCACGTACATTTTATAGCTTACCGGAAGTAGTGACCCAGGTGTACAAAATGTGTCCAATAACTGCTCAAGGATTTAACTGAGGTCACAGGTGCCCTTATATACGACGGTGAATAACAGCGATCAACGTGACAAGAGTTTGCAATCGGTTTTGTCGGCAAAAAGTTATGTCGGCAAAATTGCGCGTCTGTTGGCAAATGTGTGCAAGGAATATAGCACCACTTCTGTCTGATTTTGTCCAAGATCGTCCAATTTGAACGGTGCCCCCAATAGTCAGATGATATCCCCCCTTCCCCCATTTTACTGGCTACCTCCTAGCAGCACGGATGGCCGGTCGGCAAACGTGTTGTCACCATGCACCCTATTCAAATTGATATAGCGACGCCCCTGCAGCTGTTCCAATGCAGACTCAGGCAAACCTTGTCATGTTATGTTCTTTCTCAGGGAGTTATCGACGGTCTGAGAGCAAAAGGACACTATCCTTACGAGTCTTCACGCTTGAGTGTTGTGCAAGGCATTCTGCGTGACGCGCAGGGATTCTTGAACGCCTATAGTGACGACCGGAAAGGAGGCTACCCGGCTGGCATTTAAACTTAGACTGTTTCCCGCCCCCCCCCCCCCTAAATATATGGGGACCGGTAAATAGCTCCAATTTAAAGCCTTTGATTGTATCGCCACTGCGCGCGCGCATCGCGATTGTTTATTTTATAATCACTATTCAACTTTTGTGCATGGACGCTGCGCCGGTGATTTAACTCACGATAATCAAGAAACTCACGTTATACCACAAAAAGTACACACAATCACCAGTGTCTCCATGAAAGCAACTTTCAAGTATTTCAATTCAACTGCATAGGTTGTATATTTTTAATAGCAATATTTCTCTCTTTAGTGAAACTTGCCAGAGGTAATTTCAAATTCAGCACAAATCAAAGCTAATTACATCCAAAACTGCACATTCGTGTCAGGCCCATTGTCATTTTGCAACAGGCTGGTTGCAAGAATAAATGTTCAGTTTATACCGGTCTCGTATATTTGTTTTAAAATCGTGTCCATTTGTTCACTTGTAAACTTTGTGCATTGAGGATGGTCTGGCTAGGACGTCCTAGTAAGTCCCGCCCTCATCATCAGCCTAGCTCCGCCCCTCCGGTTGATGTACATGTACTTCATTCATATACAACTGGTAAATTTGCGTTTCAAAGTAAATGATTATCAGGCGCGGTTCTAGAACCTTTATTTTAGGGGGCTAGCAGGGGTTGATCCAGAAATATTGGAAGGAGGCGTGCTGTAGAACGGGTTTTTTCTCCGGACACTTAGGCCTCGAAAATCGGGGGGGGGGGGGGCTTGTAAAAAAATTTCAATGGGGAGCGCTAATAAAATCCTACAAAATCATGCACAATATATACTAGTGTACAAATGCCCCCTTCCAACGACTATTTCTTTTAGGGTGAGACCGTTTGCATGTGACGTCACCTAACACTTGCCTACTGCCATTTTTTTAAGGAAATGTTTTGGGTGCCTAGACAAAAATTTGGGGGGCTAGCCCCATAGCCCCCCCCCCCCCCCGCACTTCCAGAACCGCGCCTGATGATGGCAGCCAAATAAACAGAATAAATGGATTGGAATGACTTCCACTAGCCATTAGTTTCTGCTTACTCCTCAGTGGACTATTTAAGAGTCTAGGAAACCCACGACCGGTGGGGTGGGCCCGTTGGACGGAAATGTACCGCCTATAGGCAGGGCTAATAACTGTACTCTTTTTCAACCTACGAAGGGGGGACAAGGCAGAACACACTACCGACGGACAGACAAGAGAAAACATGATGCGACCTCCTTTAATTATTACTCAATCACTGCTGCTTGAACCTCCCAGTCTTCATCGATTAATGTTGTACCCTCAAGTAATTAACTGTTTGAACCTCCCAGTAACCATCGGTTAGTGTTGTACCCTCAAGTAATTAACTGATTGGACCTCCCAGTAACCATCGGTTAACGTTGTACCCTCAAGTAATTAACTGATTGAACCTCCCAGTAATCATCGATTAATGTTGCACCCTCAAGTAATTAACTGTTTGAACCTCCCAGTAATCATCGATTAATGCTGCACCCTCAAGTAATTAACTGATTGAACATCCCAGTAATCATCGATTAATGTTGCACCCTCAAGTAATTAACTGTTTGAACCTCCCAGTAATCATCGATTAATGTTGCACCCTCAAGTAATTAACTGTTTGAACCTCCCAGTAATCATTGATTAATGCTGCACCCTCAAGTAATTAACTGTTTGAACCTCCCAGTAATCATCGATTAATGTTGCACCCTCAAGTAATTAACTGTTTGAACCTCCCAGTAATCATCGATTAATGCTGCACCCTCAAGTAATTAACTGATTGAACCTCCCAGTAATCATTGGTTAATGTTGCACCCTCAAGTAATTAACTGATTGGAATATAAGTGCCCCTGATATGCCTAGTGTTGTGGCCTCTCTGTAGCCTCTCTGTAGCCTCCCAACGATTGGCGTACGGGCCTCCTGGTGTGGATCTTCCCTTTTTGTAGCTTCCAGACTACGAGTTGGCGAAATATAATCGCAAAGGTAAGTTAACTCCCTTCCCCAACTACACGGGACAGAACTAATCACTAGTTCCCAGAAACTTATCCCTAGTTTCCTCTTCGGTATCCCACCGTTGTCCCACTCAAGTATTTCCAACAGTAGCGCAAACTGCACTCCGTACTCCTGATCGCTGAAAGCTTCCTCACTCAGTAACGCCTAGCGCCCTCTATAGCTTAACATCGCTTAGTGACTTGTGCCTTCTCGCGCTCACACCGCGCACAGTAAACGTCACGCATTTGCGATACAGTTCTAATTTAAAATGTGCCAAATATTGGCACAAATAAAACTACACAACTCCAGGGGATAACATGGCCCTAGGCATGACGGGAACCAACATGGCGCTGTTTGGCACAGGAAGATCACACCCACTATGATACGCTGCGAATGTGTACCTTATTTCAAGCTCAAGTATGTTATTACATTAATCATATGCAAAATGAATGAGTGAGTTGATGCCTTTTGTCTTAACATGGTTGGTACGAACAAGAAGACGGTGATTATAATATTTTAATGTGCAGCAGACTTGATTCATTTCTTTTATGCATCTTCGGAATTTGTTTAAGTTTTCTTCTTATTTTTGACTGTTTATTTTCTTAGAAATGTTCTGTTCCTTGTTTTTTATTGCTATGAAAATCTTGGTGCATGAATGATGAAATTTTCCTGGAGATGTTTTAAACTGCGCAAATGAACTTAGGGTGATCGACAGGATATAAGTCTAGCTCCTAGTTTTGGTTTCAAATAAGGTACGGTGTTCACACGTCTCAGAAAAGGGAAAGTAAATTCTTGTTTTAATTGACTGACTTCATGGTGTTAGGTTCAAGGACAGGCTTGAGTTTTAATGATCCTAACAGCAACCTGTGACCACCTGTTGCGGCTAACTTTATCTTAACGTAACAAACAGTCCTGGTCTGATCATGGAGGCTGATTGAAGTCTAATTGGAGATGCCCCGTGACATTTTATCAGTATAGCCTAAATCCGTGTCGGCGCATTGAGGTTCCAATAGCTCCATGGTTCCACGCAAGACCTTTGTGTTTTTTTCCTTGCATTGTTTTATCGCGAAAACTATGTACACGCCCGCGCGGATTCAGAAGCAGATTTAGAAGCGTCCATTAAAAACTAGAAGTAGAGGGCGAGAAACAATTTTGACCTTCGTGTATGTCTTTGAAACGCCGGTAAAGTCTAATCACCATCATTTATTACATTTATGAGCGGTTCGTTCGTAAATCCTCAAGGACGTGGGGCCACAAATCTACACACGTTAAGAGAGAGAAAAGACGCTGGTATGAGACCGGAGCAAGGTATGTTGACGGTGAACGCCTTCAAGTGGTTGCAACATCTTTCTCTCATCCTAAGATGAATTTGTCGAATATCGATGTTTCGAATATCGATGTTTCAATTGTCAATGTATCGAATAAAGTTCAAGAGCGGCTCTGATTACAACTATCGTGCCACAGATCTCGATATACGCAATTACCCGACACTCCTAGTGCCAAAAGTACACAGTAACCATTAAGTGCTTGGCCCGAAATTAATGTGGGTCAATTTAATTGGCGCCTATATAATAGACATCCGTCGAAGCATTGGATCACGACGATCAACAGGCAAGGTCCCACTTACTTTTTGGTCGTTTACTGAATAAACATTCAGCTGTGTACAGTTCAACTCAACACGTAAACGCTAGACTTGAGGACAAGTCGTTAGACAGTCGTATTGTGTATGTCGGTGTACGGCGTTGTATCGCGTTCATTTGCTGGCCTTTGACCAGCGGCGTACCCAGTAGAGTGAGGGGGGATGTTACAGGGGGTGCCCCGATGTTTGTAATATCCGTGCATTTTTGTGATGTATGCTACCGTGATGCTACTAAGCTGGATCTGTCCACGCCGCGCCGGTGCGCAGTGGGCGAACTACTCCCGGCCAATTACCGACTTGATTACAAGTCTACGTGAACGCCTCCTTGCACCGCAGGTTGCATCGTCGCGCATTGTCACTTGATAAGGTGGACAGTTGTTAATGCTCGTGTGTGGCGCAAGACAGAAAGCTTCGCTCAGTGGCACGAATTGTAGTCTGGAAGTTGAATCTTAGATATCGGCGGAGTTCTCTTATAACCCAAGATGGAAAACGGCAAATCGACCCAGCAATTAACGAGCCTTGACGTGGAAGGGGTACAACTCAAGGGGTAAGAAGAAACCATGCATAGGCCCTACAGGCTAAATTAGAGTTTAAATACAGATGTCAATAAATACTTCAAGCCAAAGTTCGATTGTCGTTCAAAGCTCAGTCTTGATTGTGTTCACACAGTGTATAAAGTTCCATTTGAAAAACAAACTGCCTTTAAAAAAAAAAATGATATGAAATTGACAGAAAATCGATTGTTTTGATGCGGGCGTTAGTGTTAATTTGGTTACTGGTTTGTTTAAACTATACTACGCCTACCCGTGTTTTTGTAAAAAACACTTTGAAGGTTTTTCCAACGATTTAAGAAATCATATCTGTTTTTTGAAGATGCATTCAGCAGTCGAAGGCGTAGCCCCACATGCATTGATCCTGTGTAACTCCGACAATTGAAACAGAATATTCTTGGCAGAATGCAAATACTTAAATGGTGTGTAAAAAGAATGGAGCGCGTTTGCAAAGATAATTAAACACACACATCGTCCCAATCCCAACAATCCCAATCTTTAAATTGAAATTTGACAGGAAAAATCGCATCAGTTGACCCATGGATGTTCTTATTCCTCCATGGTTGACCTACTACATACAATGTAATAGCAAAAATTATGAACTAATTTTTGTAAAATGCCATCCCTTAACGTAATCTGCTGCGAAACGTTGGGTACTTTTTATATTGGACACTCATATAAGCTCAGTTAGAATTTGATGATGTGCAATGCATGAATATAGTTTGAGAAAACCCACTTGTCAATAATTTTCCGATTCAAAATGATGATAGTAGTTTATCACATGATGTAATGGTGAAAAGGATCTCGCCCACTTAAAATTATGGGAACACTGGTTGCTTACAATGTGCTAACATGCAGAAAAGCTATGACATTTTTGTGCTTATTATTACTTGTTTTGCATCAACTCGACGTTTTATTTCCCTGTAGCGTTGCATTTCATACTTTGACGCTAAACGTCGAAAAGTAATTGGTCATCGTTTTCATTGTTGTGCTGTCGTTAGTGTCGTGTACATGGCAGACGATTTATTGGTGAACTTTACCAGCGGTTTATTAGTTTATTGTGTGTCATCTTCTGAATAAACTGGGTTTTTATTGGTTTTTACAACATCTGTAAACTCCCCCCCCCCCCGCCCATTTTGCGACAGCAATGTCTACAGGGTTAGGACAATTTGCGTTCAGAGTATAAAATATTTCAGCGTTTAAACACAGACTGCTGTTGTCTTTGTATGTACATTGTACACACTTGTGCTCGAGCGGAAAACGGAGATGGTTTTTGTCATTTTTGGCGGACTCGGAGTCGGGACCAAATCAACCCATTAGTTTGTTGGTACACGGTAATATATCTAAAGAAGCATCTTGAGAATTTCGACTGAAAATGGGCCGGGTTTTTTTTATACACGGCCTTGGACGATTTGCATCTAAACTTTCAGTTGGCTCTGAGGACCCCAAGTTTCATTAGTACGACGGTGTGGACTAGCCCCATAAATGTGGCTCAAATATACTGCACTTCCTCCGTATTTAGAGCCACCACTTTTGTATAGAAAATTGTTGTTGAAGAAATCGAAATCGGGACTGTTTTATCACTTGATATTCGCTTCTCGTACCCGGTGAATAACCAGGACAAATTAAACGGTCAAAGGTGCATGACCCATGACCTTGAGAAAAATACTTCGGAACCCCTTTCATGTAAAAAGCCCTCTTACCTTTACACGGTGCCAAAATGAGCAAGGTGTGAGAAACAGTTTACCAGCGGGCATATAGGGTCATTCCAATTTACATGCAGAAGTTATGTAGTGTGCATTTACATGTGGAAGGGGCGTTTTGAGTTTGGGGAGATTAGTTTTTCTTTCTTTTGGGGGGGGGGGGGCTGGAGGGGCGTGTTTTTTTCTTGGTTCGCATGAAAATACTTTGTCATCCTGTCATGTTGACCTATATTTGTATGCGTCATGTACTCAATAATCTCATAACAGCTAATTGCGTAACTACTGTAATATGCCCGAAAAGAGCTTTGTCATCGTATGTCTTTTTGACCCCATAGGATTGACAATAATCGATAGAGTTTGAAAAGTTCCATAATTTAAATTTCAGTCAGAAACTTTTGACGATATATCAAATAATTGATTGAGTCACTGGACCATCGGTCAGTTCTTTACAAGTGGACCATAGTGTATTCTTGAACGTATTATTTATACTCGCACATCTGAGTTTTTAAAGAAAAACAATATTATATCTGATGTTCAATATGGGTTCAGAGAGAATCAGTCAACCTCACATGCTATCCTGCAACTAATTGACAAAATTACCACAGGACACGAACAGTCTTGCCATACTCTTGGAATTTTCCTGGACCTCTCCAAGGCATTTGATACTGTTAATCATGAAATTCTCTTATCGAAACTTAACTTTTATGGAATTAGAGGTATTGCCTTGGAGTGGTTCAGGAATTATCTTACTAATCGTCAACAGTTTGTTTGTATTGACGACAAGAAATCTAACCTTAAAGAATTAACGTGTGGAGTACCACAGGGGTCCTTACTGGCTCCTTTGTTGTATTCTATTTATATTAATGATTTTGATAAATCTTCTGAGATTCTTTCCTTTATACTTTTTGCTGATGATTCAAATTTACTTTATTCCCATAAAAACGTAGACAATCTTATTGATACAGTTAACCGGGAGCTCACTCATGTTTCAAACTGGATTAAAGCTAACAAGTTGTCTATTAATATTGATAAAACTAGTTTCATGTTATTCAGCAACACAGTTTCTTGTCTTCCTCAAGATATTTTATTCGATAATTCACCGATTACTCAAACTGACTGTTTTAAATTTTTAGGTTTGTTTATTGATGCCAAGTTATCTTGGAGTCAACACATTAATTACCTTAGTAAACTAATGTCGAGAAACATAGGCATTATCAGTAAATTGAAATATGTCTTTCCGTCAGAGGTTTTACATAATATTTACAATTCTTTGATTTTATCACATATTACCTATGGTACTCTAGCCTGGGGAAATACGTACATTTTGTAAATAAAATTTTTATTTTACAAAAACGGGCATTGAGAATTATTGATCATGTAGACTTTAGAGCCCACTCAAATCCATTATTCATTAGACATAAGACTCTTAAAGTCAATGATATTTATTTACGCAATGCCGGTGTAATGTATATCGTGTGAAATTTCGACTCCGTGCAATACAGACTAATTGATTGTAATTGTGCATGTCTTAGTGGACAGAATTAGAACAAGAGACAGGTCAGGCGTAAGGGTTAGAGTCCATTTCAAAATTTTAAAAAATCAGATTTCATGACACTGGGTGTGTGAACGTCAGGAATCCCCCAAACTTGCAAAAACCGGTCCACACGATTTAGGACAAGATGACAAAGTCAGACCATGACCGCGATTTGGAGATGGGTATACCACGGAGAAAGAACCCCTCATCATTTCCCAAGAGAAAACACAAAATATCGACTTTGTAAGTTGCTAACTTATGGGTCACAGTAAGGCCTCTTTCAGACATCGTGCTTATATGCCGTGTCGAATGTAATCGAATTTAGCGCGACGTTAGCACGGCATAAGCGCGGCGGTGGTTTTAAACGTCGAACTTTACAAACGCCTAGTCGAATTTGATTACATCCAACATGGCGGAACACAGTACAGTCATAATCAATTTTAGAGTTGCATGAAGAAAACGAATTTTGCTTCAGCAGGTAATCCAGTACAGTACTTGGGCCTATTCTCGGAGAAAAACTGTACTGGCGTGCCTTATTGTAGTCCTTTTGTTGAAAGGCCCGATGAGAACGTTACGAATTGGTATATGCATACAACGTGCTGCTATCGGTAGGAAATCTAGGCGTGTTTGCATTTGCGTACACATGAATACCGTACCTCGATTGTTCTTTTGATGCCTGTATATGCAAGTTTGCATTGATTAAACATCAGTCACTGAAATTGCGGTTGGACACTTCGTTGTTATGTACAGTTCTCACTGAGTTTGCTTTTTGTCAACTTTGTGTCCTCAATTCAATTGTTTTCGGGAGGGGCCGATGGGGGGGGATAGATGATGCGATTGGTTAAGGGGAAATGTTGAGTCACGGTGATTCACAGATTTTGCTTAATTTACTTTCTGCTCATTTTTTTGGTGGGATTTCACCACCCAAAGTAATTTGATCACCCCTAAAAAAAAAACAATTCTGACGTCCACAGCCATTTTGAAAATGATCAATAGAGCAATTTTTCGCTCCAATTTCATCCACTTTTTTCCCGAGTAATTCCAAGTCCGGATCTATGGTGGTCCTGAAGGGACATCACACCATCGAAAATCACTTTGCACGTTTTTGCGATGCCCCAAATTTTGTCACGTACTTTGTTGCATAGTTTGCATATTTGTACCGGGCTATTTTTTTTAGGAAACTAGAGGGTCTTAAAGTTGTTTGAGTTCCAGCTTTCATTTCGAATTCGATCCTTTTAAGAAAAGACGCTACAGATGTTTATTTTCCTGCGTTAAAGCTTGATGCTTGAGCGATCAGGATAATGAATAGGGTTAATTTGATTAGATATGTCATTGAGGACGTTTTTGAGTAAAAGGGCCGGGCGTGCATGTGTGGCCATTCTAGCCTGCGTCTACCACGTACGTCGATGGTTGGTCGGTTAATTTTACGACCATATAACTCATATTTTTAATTCAAAAGAAGAGCCTCAGACATCCGGAGTATGTATGTAAACAAGTAAGTTATGCAAATCAAGGGAAAGATTCCCATATCTGGCCATCACTTATTTTTCCCTTAAATGACCTATCAGCCGAAAGAAAGTGGTAGTATGTTCTACAAAGTCAAAATTAGCACTAAGTGACAAATTTTGAGTTTTTACTGAGAAACACAGACATTTTCAGACCAGTCCCATAGGGTTTGTGCACAGGGTGAAAAGTGATGGCCAGATATGGGAATCTTTCCAAATCAAGAACTACAAAAGGTATAAGGGATCGGCCGCAAGGTTTTTCAGAGTTTTTACCTCTGGTTGTTCACCCTGGGCAATTGACAAGTAATAGAATGATATCATTTGAGATTTAGTAATAGTTAAAATGTAAACTTACAGCAAATAAAGTTGAAAGCGAGTTACGAAAACCTCAAACGACGCAAAAGAGAGCTTCCATCGAATGTTTTGTAACTATACAACAATTTGAATACAAATATGTGATTTTTTAACTGTATTAATAAACTGAATAAAACAGCCGACGCTAGTCAGGCAACAGGCTACATGGGCCTTATTCACAAGTCGGCCATATTGAATTGAAAGTGAGGTAAAATCTTAATTTTTGGAACTTGCGAAGAGAAATGAAAGTAAGTGAATTTATAATAAATTCCAGTCTGCTTCGATGAATAATTTAAAATTAGTAATTAAGCATTCCCTAATGTTTAAAGCCATATTTTAAAAAAGAAATGACAGTAAAATAACGGCTGCATTGTGCCTGCATAAATAGTGTGGCGCCATCCCATTAAACCGGTAATAATTAATGAAATACATTCAGGGAACTCGACAAAAGTGGCCAACTTGTGAATAAGGCCCATGTGATGTTTGCATATTTTAATTTGATATCGAAACGGAGTATATAGTATGCGCAAGTAGTGCGCATAGAACAGAATGTGGGGGGGATCCGTTTTTGCAGGTCCCAGAGGGCCAGCTAAGTTCAGTGTCCTCTTTGCACTTTACTGACTTTTTACTTACTGTCACTGTCGACTAAACGTGTTTGTTGGCTAGTACAAGCTGAGTTAGTACTTAAAATACCATCCTATAGGATTAGCCCGTAATGGACTGAATCCGGATCAGTGTGTGCCCCAGATGCACGGAAAGACTTCCACAGCAATTCTTATTCAATTGATAACGTCAATAACGAAATACTTCATGTAAATTAAAATTCCACTCTAATAGTTGAGGCGGCCTGACGCCATCCGATGAAAACATATAGGCCTATTCGTTTGCACACCGGAATTCTATTGGTTGTTTGTGTATTCAGCACTCCGGACTCAAGACCCATGAGTTTCACGAACATGCAGTGTGAGTCAAAAAAGCGAAACCCATATGTCGTGACTATTGTTTTAGTGAATTTCTGTATGTAAAACTTTCAAAATCTAGGATATGAAAGCCCAATTCATAAGCATTTTGTTAGTATAATAATCATTCGAATCACTTAAGTACTTTTCAAGTTACGGAATTTTAAACACAAACACTGTTTTAAAGTTCCGTCCATGGATCCCAAAAAAAAGGCGTGCGTTCTTTCAGCAAAACAAAAACATTCACACACGCCCCTTTGGGATTTGTTTTCGTTTTGCTGAAAGAACCCTTACCGTTTTGTGAACCGTGGACAGAACTTTAAAATGGTGGTTAATGATTAAAATCCGTAAATTAAAAATTACATGAGTGACTTGAATGATTCTTGTACTAAAAGAAAGCTTATGACTTGGGCTTTCATATCCTAGATTTTGAAAGTGCTACATGCAGAACTTAACTAAAACAATTAGTCCCGACACCTGGGTTTCGTGGTTTTTTTTACTCACCCTGTCTTGGAGAACATCGGGTAGACTCCGTCTGACAGCTACATCACGGTTGTCTACGTCCAAACTATTACATTTGCTGTTTCCTAATCTCTAAACATGCCAATGTTTACATTTGCTAACAGGAAATCTAATCTACTGAAATGGCAAGTGGCTTTTGCCTTGGCTTTGATAGTGGCTGTGGCTGTGGGCCTGACCATGGGATTGTTATATCACTACAAAGATACTGGCACTGTGGCAGTCACCCAACGACCAACAGAAGCGCCGCCACAGCCGACTGGCGAGTACCAGTACGCCAAAGCTGCGGTTGCCGCCGATGCTGGGGAATGCTCAGAGATTGGCCGGTGAGTTGGCCTGTAAACTGGCCTGTAAGCTGGCCAGCCATGTCTTCTGATCATGAAAAGCGGTGGCTGGAAATGGCCAGTGATCTAATCAGGTCCGCATAGGTCCTCACAAGTCCTCACAAGTCCTCACTGGTTCATCGCAAGTCAATCACAATCCGTTTCACCCAAAGACATAAGTCACGTGGGGGGGGGGACTATGACAAAGGAATTCATGTTATCATTAATCCAAGCAAAACTTGTAAGTGAACATAATGCATCACTAATAGTCACTCCACCATTCATCCTTAATTGTTACGTTGATTACATTTATTTTATTGTTTTTGTCTTTTTTCAGGGATATTTTGGAAAAGGGCGGCTCAGCCGTTGACGCGGCTATTGCAGCCTTGTTATGTGTCGGTCTTCATAACTGTCACAGTGCAGGCATCGGAGGAGGGTTCTTTATGCTGACCTACAACGCTAGGACTCAAACCGTAGACATGTTGGATGCCAGAGAAAAGGCTCCACTTGCGGCCTCTGAAAATATGTTTGAAAATGAGACTGATGATGCGTCTACCTCTGGTAATGAAGTTGTTGTTGTTGCTGTTGTCGTTGTTGTCGTTGTTGTCTTTGTTGTCGTTGTTGTCGTTGTTTATAGCTTAACAAAGCTGCAGCAAATACATTTCAAAAATGTATACGAAAAAAAAGTTGATTTTGTGACAGTATAATGTTTCCTATATTTCATTTAAAAAAAAAGTCAATTAGGTGGAGGCTGGTAAGGAATACCTTACACTCTTAAATGGCCCCGGTCAGATTCCACCCGGATCTCGGTCAAATTTGGCCCGGCACTTCTTCGTGTCAAAATGACACTCATCTGAGTCACTTTTTCGGTACCGTTTGACCCGAAAAAAAAAATCATATTGCCACAGCAAAAATGTCATTTTGACACGAACAAAATATCATTTTGCCTTGATGTCAGGTCCAATTTGTTCTGGATCCAGGGTCAAAATGTATCAGGAATAGAGGGTGTAGCAGACATAACCAGTCGAAGTATAGCTGATGTGATTTAAAGTTGGCCCAGTTTCAAGGTTGAAAGGCCGAAGAGTGCCATAACACTTTTCCGGGTCAAAATTACACTTTTCCGGGTCGAAATGACCAAAAAAATAATACAGAGAAGTGTCATTTTAACCAGCAAAGTGTCATTTTTACCAGCAAAGTGTCATTTGGACCAGCATAGTGTCATTTTGACAAGCAAAAGTGTCATTTTTATCAGCAAAACTGTCATTCTGAACAGAAAGTGTCATTTTGACCAGCAAAGTGTCATTTGGACCAGCATAGTGTCATTTTGACCAGCAAAAGTGTCATTTTGACCAGCAAAAGTGTCATTTTGACCCGGAAAGTATCAGGTCAAGTATCAGGTCAAATAGGACCCGGATTCCTGGGTCAAATTCCAACCCAGAACATCTTATAGTGAGTTTTGGCAATTGGATTATTACCTAACAGCTATAGTATACGATGTCAAAGAGTCTTTGTATTTCAATTCCCAGCTACTTTTTTTTTCAATTTGGAGAATCGTAGCAGAATCGAATTTTCTTTGAGATCATCAATATTTTTGTTTCTTTTTTCTGACTGTAGGTGGCTTGGCTATTGGTGTTCCTGGGGAGGTAGCTGGCTACTGGACCGCTCACCAACGCTACGGTCTCCTACCCTGGAGGGATTTATTTCAACCTTCTATTAAATTGGCAGAGGACGGATATGTTGTAGGCAAAGCATTGGCTGGTGCCATTCGTGTGAGAGAGAGTGTCATTAAGGGCGATCCAAGCCTAAGGTAGGGCCTATAAAAAAAATTAAATTAAAAAAACATAAATTCTTAATAATAATAGTAATAAAAACAGGTTTTTATATTGCGTTTTTAACTGAGATCAAAGTGCTTTACATTATTATTACCCCTGATCATTGGGCCAATTAAACATTCCAAATACCATCTCAGCTCCCTGGGGAGTATACAGCTCGATGCTGCCTGTTTGGCGCAAGGAAGCTAATTCAATCACAATAACCATCTCTGCCCTCACAGGTACCCATTTACTCCTGAGTGGAGAGAAGCATGCAATTAGTGACAAAGTGCCTTGCCCAAGGGCACACGCACCATGACCCCGGGCTGGACTCGAACCAACAACCTGCAGCTTTACCCACAGACCATGAATCTAGTGCCCTTAACCATGAGGCCACATCACTCCATTTAATTCTCGATATTTTGTTTTATAAAATTAAGGTAGAAAAAATTCTAAAGGTAGAATAACTACGAAAGGAACAATTTACCAGTCCGTTCTTGTCGCAGATCATCAACATCATAAAAAAAAGTCAAAATTTCGTTAAAAAAGTAACGATTCACTTCTGATATATTTTGTTTTTGAAATTCAAATTTAGAATCGTAACGCCTACTCGCAGCTCCGTGTTTAACTCTTTTCAGTGAGATTTTCGTGAACTCTGCCACGGGCGAGACTCTGAAGGAAGGAGACACGTTGATTAACACCAAACTGGCCGCGACTTACAAGAAACTAGCCGAGGGTGGAGAAGATGCCTACTATAGGGGAGAACTGACTGATGACATCGTGGCTGATATTGCAGACAGAGGTGGGTTATACAAAGGATAGCAAAGAACGGACAAAGCTTCTGACAGTTTTTCCAGTTGGACACCAAGTAACGCTGACTGGTGACGTTTGAGAAATGGCCATACCGTAAGCACCAAAGGTCGCCACTTAACCTTTTTAGCTATGGCAGGTGCTTCCACAATGTCACTTCAAGGTCGGTCTGTCTGTGTTGGAAAATTGACCAAAATGAGCCCCCCTATCGATATTGTTTCCGGTAAAATATAACTATCAAGTTTTAATTTTAAAAAAGCAAACAAAATAAATTGAATACTTTAACAAAAATTGTTCGTAACAATTTATGAAAATTGTGTAAATGGAGGCAATATAGGCCTATATGCAGTAAGGATACAGTCACGTTGTGTATAGCGCGCCATATACCGGCGCTTTAAAAGGACGCTACATTTTATTGGAAACTTAGGGTGCTTATTTGGTCAATTTTCGGGGGCAGACTGGCGCAGCGTGATTTTCGTATGGGACTGCCCGGGCTTGTACGCACAATCTCCGGTTAACTTGACCGTCCGTTGCATGCACGGTGAAATAATTCGTGCCGGCGTGGATGGTACCCCGAAGCACACGGTTATTTCTTGGCACTGGTGCGAAAAGGAGCCCGGTGTCGCACTTTTTAAGCTCTGGCAGGGATCGTTTTGATCGATTTCTTGTAAGACTTACATGCAAGACGGTCACAGCTTATTTTGCTCTCGCACTTGTTAATATGATACAGATCCAAATCAATTGCAGGGAGTATCGCAAAGAACAAATACAGCTTTCTCGTCTTGGAGATCGCTGTTTATGTTGATCCCGAATTACCCATGACCCACTGTATTTAAAGCATGCGCAGATGGAATTCCGCATTTGGCTTATTTTGCAATAACTGATGTCGGTATCGCTGTCTCTTAAAGTGACGATGCTGGTTCTTTTCGCTGAAATGACAAACAAAAATTCTTGTGATATACTCTCTAGAATAAGTGATAAATTTGCGCTATTTTAAAGTGTTAGTGATTCTGTTAATACTTTTTGCTTGAGTTTTTCGGAATTCATTAAGCTTCTTTATTTTTTTCAATCAGATGGCATTATCACAAAGGAAGATCTGGCAGGATACAGAGTCCGACGAAAGACACCTCTGATGATTGAATTGGACGGTATGAAGGTGTACACGCCCCCACCGCCAGGCAGCGGCGCTGTGTATTCACTCATGATGAATATCCTTGACGGTAAGTCTCAGGATTTGGCGCCAAAATTAGAATGCTTAAAGATTCCTCTCCGTCTAGAGTTATAAATTTCAATGCTCTCATCCCCGGGAACCGCAAATCTTTTTAGTGTGCATAATAGAAAAATGACACGAGGTTGTTGTATTTTTTCATGGTAATAAAAAAGAAGGCGAGAACAAAATATAATTTGTTCAACAGCTCGCGAAGAACAGTTTACCTAATAAGTGTTAGTGTATTGTCTTTCGTCCTCCCATGGTGGATTTCAGGATATGACATTGGTCCAGACAGCATAGCTACCACAGAAGCCGAGATCCTAGCGACTCATCGCATGGTGGAATCTTTCAAGTTCGCCTATGCAGGCCGATCATTCCTTGGAGATGAAGACTACGTGGACGTCAAAGAGGTGAAAGGCATTGACATACTATACAACATTGAAGATAAATATTAAAACTGATGAGACAACCTTAAACCAGTGCACGTAAATCACAGCGAACTAATTGGACACCACTTTTATCGACGTAGAATTGCGGTTTCATACAAAGTGTTCTTGTAATAGCTGTTTGTGAACCAAATCATGTATTCGACGGATTTATGCATGAGCTTGCAATCTGAGTGTAAAGTTATGGCTAGCGCAGACATTATAATACAATTTTACTACCTGTAATGCTTTTGACCTAAGCTTATCAATTATGTTGAGGACATTCACGGCGCATTTTTTACCACTTAAGTACTGCGCCCTCGATTGATCATAAATGTGTCAGAATGTTTTCAGATTTTTGGAGATACACGTGTACTACACTCTAAAAAGTCCCGGGTCAGATTTGACCCGGAAAAGGGTCATGTGGGGCCTGACCCTTTTCCGGGTCATAAATGACACTTTCAGGTCAAAATAACCCGGAAAACGAGTCATACAGTGTAATTTTGACCAAGAAAAGTGTCATTTTGACCCGGAAAAGGGTCAGACCCCACATGACCCTTTTCCGGGTCAATTCTGACCCGGGACTTTTTAGAGTGTATAGGCTGCATGAACTGGAACCCTCGGAGCAGAATAGCTACTTCACGGTCCTATGATTTTTAATTGCTTTTGATTTATTTTTTGGTGTTCAGGTTGTTGCCAACATGACGTCACAGTCTTATGCAGACTCCTTACGAGCCGCTATTAGTGACGACTCCTCGCACGATCCATCCTACTACGCAGGGTACTACAACCAGCCAGATAGTGGCACAGCCCACCTGTCAGTTGTCGATGGGGATGGCAACGTTGTGTCTGTAACAAGCACCATTAACCTATAGTAAGCAATTTAATCTTTTAAACTTCAATTTAAGGAAATGTTTAGTCCAACATCAATTTCGCAACTTTTTAGGCAAACCAAACGTTAGGCTAGCAGGAGAGTGCATGGGTCCCGTGGGCCGAGAACAATTTAAGATTTGAAGACTCGATTTTGAGAAACCTTTAGAATAATTTTGTATTTCGCAAAGGTTAAAACATTTCATTAATACTCGGAAAATGAATTCCATCTCAGCGAGAAAATCCATGAGGGCCTAGCTTGACCTTTTAGTGACCCTTGAACTTAACTTAATCTAATATTTGTTGCCTAGTTTCGGCTCCAAAGTTCGCGGTACTCGCACGGGGATCATGTTCAACGACGAGATGGACGACTTTTCTCAACCTGATAGGCCGAATGCTTTCGGTGTCCCGCCGTCACCGAGCAATTTCATCCGGCCAGGGAAGCGGCCAATGTCCTCCATGACACCCACCATTGTCGTGGATCGTGACGGGAAAGTTAAACTGGCGGTTGGTGCATCGGGAGGAACACGTATTACAACTGGAGTTGCCCAGGTAGGCAGCAATTCGGGCGATTCACAATGCAGTGCGCCACCAAGAGTTTGCCACGGAGAGTCAATACTTTTAAGTTTACGGTCGACAAAACATGGCCCATTTAAATGACTGTCGGTAGACAACTTGAGCTAATTTGTCATAGATTGGGGCATAGCGTTCTGCCGCCTTACAAAAAACACCATATTGATAACAAAAAAAGAAATGGGCAAACAGATCCTCGAATCATACGCTTACAAAACTACTGACCGGAAAAACTAACAATTTCAAATGTCCCGCGCTCTGAATTAGTCGACCATCTCCCACCGTGACAATGCTCTGGAAAAAATGAACTCTCCATGGCAAACTCTTGGTGGCGCACTGCATTGTGAATCGCCCGAATTCAATTTGCTTGTTCGATCAATGAAGACAGCTATTGATAAGCAAACCAGTTTTCGCCGGGTTTCAAAGAGTTACAACCCTCCAGACTCAAGAACCATATAGTATTGAGTAAATAGGTCTTGGAACTAGACGACGTTAGAAGCTCCCGGTGGCAATATTGAGTAAGTTGAGTTCACTTGGGAGATACAAGAGGACGCCAGTTAAAGCACAGGTTCAATAACTTTCACCCACGAAACATGGACTGGAAAAACATCAAGCAGGATATGTCCACGGATCTTGAAATATTTCATCGGAAGGGTCGTTCATTCTTTCCTAAAACTTTTTAAAAAGGTAGGCCTATCCCAAAGGAGTCATTTCAAGACATCTTTGAAAAGATGTTTTTTATATACAACAGTATTTGCACTGGTTTGATGTTTCAGGTATCAGTGAATACACTTTGGTATGGTGAGAGCATAAAAGAAGCGATCCAACGCAAACGTCTTCATCATCAATGGGTTCCCAATAATGTCACCTACGAGGCAGACTACAATCAGGTAGGACGCCCTCAACAGTCTGGTTGAGTACATGTTTTTGTGGAAAGGTAAACAAGCAAGAACAAAACTAAGTTAATGTAGGCCTATGTCCAGCATTTGAAGTAAATTGTGTACATGTACCAAAAAAATGGCTTTGAAAAAGGTTGGCTGTCGTTTTAATTTTATGTGATTGTCGTTGGCATATGTAGTCTGGTTCCCAGACCTGACAATTATTCCCGACGCTCACGTCTAAATTGCAGGTCAGGCAGCCTCCGTGGCTAAAATGTACATGACGACATTGACGGCCCTTTTTCAAAGCTCGCTATTCGTTTCCGATTTCGCTTTATCACTTATAGCTTTTAATGATCAAATTTTTAAATAAATCACTTGCTTCATATATCATACCGTTATGATAATACAGTTTGATATTTCTGTAAGATAACATTGACTAATGTTGATCTGGAATCTTCAAAAATAGGCATCTAAATAGCACTGTTAGCAGGCGGAGCCGAATGAAGACCGAGTTTTGGGAAAATCTCGGCAACGGTCGTCAAATTCAAAATAGAACATGACGCAGCAAAAGTTCGCCCATACGATCCGAGTATACTTAATGCACAAAATCGTCGTTGAATTTCAAGTTTTCTAAATGAAAGCAATGAATATTATAAACTCATTTTAAAAAGTTTTTAATGAGCAACTAGCAGTTAATTAAACCTATATTATACTCGGAAAAACTCGGGCGCTATCCAATTGTCGACGAAATAATTCGGCAAACTTCGGATATTTTCGGAAAAAGGAGGAATTCCTCCCGTTTTAGTCACGTGATGTAAAGTGTAATGTATTACCAGAGGCTATGGACCTAAGATTCATCAGGAATAGTCAGAATCTTTTGGTCTGGGAACCAGACTATGGTAAATGTAAAAGCGCCCTCTACAATATATACCAGTTGATATTATTCTTGACCGAAACCTTTTCCTTGCATGCACCTTGTTTGTCTCTTTTCAGGACGTCATCGATGGATTGAGAGAGAAGGGTAACTTTCCAATGGTGTCTTCCAGTGGGTGCGTAGTGCAAGGCATCCTTCGTGACGCGCAAGGATTCTTGAACGCTTACAGTGACGACCGGAAAGGAGGCTACCCGGCTGGTATCTAAACTTGACCTTTTTAATCACGCAAAGGAAGAAGGTATCCCGTATGTGCCAACTTCAAAGCCCATGTGCCACATAATGTTTCCTCTTGTGGCTCGTGCAAAAGGAATAGATACCCGTGTGGCGCCCGGTTGTCGCCCACACTCCCATTTGATGCCTTCTCCCACTATGACCTCTTGGTGGCGCTGTGTACATGTATTGTGAATCGCTCCTTATGCACACACCGGTATATTAATTTCTACAGTCACAAAACTTAATGAAGAATACCAGACCTAAGAAAATCAGTAAAAAATACTCCAAGGCCATATACATATAACATAAAAGGGTATTGCTTTCCTCCTATGATGATAACGCCTAAAAGCAGTCCTGAGGTCCATATCCATTTTTAAATGCTTCCACTGCATTTGCAAAATAGAGCAATATATTTCACAGACACACTACTTCAAATACCAGTTTAGAGCCGGGAACCTTTAGGTGCCACAAAATAATTAAAGAGAAAGATTGACAGTATACAAATCGTGATTTGGACAGCGTAGCAATACTGGGCCTATTTACTGGGCTGTAACCTCACAATCAGGGCCCAGTTTCATGGCGCTGCTAAGCAGACGATTTTCTGCTAACTGAGCCTCCGTCTACACTGACGGTGACGGTACATAAATAAATCTCCATGCGCGGGCCAAAGTTAGCACATCCGCACCATGAAATTCATAAAGTGCTTAAGGTTAGCCTTACCTTTTATACTTACTGGTAAGCAGTGCCATATGAAATTGGGCCCACACCTTTGCAGATATGATGGTTGGCGCAATATATAGTGGAGCACAAAATAATGTTATAGTAGGGCCTAATACTTTTTACCTGCAAGCGTCATTTTATGTTTTAGATATTAAGATCTTATTTAATTTGTTTTATGATTATATAGTGACCATTTCTTATTCACTTCCTAATCCTCATACCATCTCTCTTACTCCCCTATTCTCCCGTCAACCTCATCCCTAGCCCCAACATTAACCCCCCCCCCCCCACTCCCTTATCATGTTTGAGTTACAGTTTTCTGGTTCTGTGGTGTTTTTATACTTGTCTGATTATGGCTTATAAGTTTTTACAATATTGATTTTGTTGTAAGTTTGCTTAAGATGACTTTACGTACATTATAACTATTGTAAAAATGACTACAATTCAGCCTCCTGGCTGTCATGTTTCATTTTCAATGAAATAATTTAAAAAATAAAACATGAATAATTTGCGGGGTGAATATACAAGAGAGGTCACCTACTGAAAAAGGCGATCTCTTTCTCTCTCTTGCTCACAGTATTTCAAAAAAGGTGAATATGGACCTCATAAGTAGCAGTCATCAAGGCAATGCATTTGTCTTGCTGTGATATACCAGAAATAAACCTTTTAAGCACTCATTGTTTCTAAGTTAAAATAACAAAGGATGCCCTCTAAGATGGCCGCTATACGCATAAAGTCTACCAATGAGGTCTAAGAAATACGAAGGGTGCTCAAGTTTAAGGAATTAGTCAATCCGGCACGAGAGGTCATCATGGCCTACGTCAAGGTAATGATGCACAAAACGCTGCTCCGTCCGTCCCGTAAATTCAAAACTTCGATTTTTTTTATTCATTGACATTCAACAGTTGTAATCAGAAATGTTATCAATTCTTTTGCCTCCTGCAAACACTAAGCTTGGAAAACACAACGACCATCCTCAATCAATAGAATTTATGTAGAAATATAACTATGCAGTTTTTCTAGTATATATTTTCCTGGTCAGTCTTGTAATTGACTTTGTATTTCGTTAATCTTTCAGAAATTTGAGATAATTAACACACTGTTACAATGCAACTCAAAATAATTATAATCTACACGACTACATGTAATTGTCGCACAGATTTTTCATATTATTAAGGGAATTGTTGTAATTTAGGGAATTATTGTTGTTAATGTATTTTTACTCTTTTGGACGGTTTTAATTCAAATTTGGTATACTACTTTTAATTGAATAGTTGTATTTTTGGGAGGCAGGTGTTTTTACCAATTAAGCTGAATGAATAAAGTATAATTCCATAATGTATGCTCATTGTCTCTGTCCCTTTGCCAGATTCATGCTATTGTGTCTCATTCAGTGCACATCACTGGAGTTCGTTTCTTTCCCTTTAACGCGTTTCTATCATTCCGTTCCCCCAGTGAGCGTCCTTCGTTTGTTCTTGGTTCTTGGTTGGTTCTTCTCCTAAATACTCCACGTGGGAGTTTATACAGTTTGTCTTCTACGGAAGCGTAGAAGTAAGGAATCGTGCCATTTTAACGATGTTGTGATGATAATTACCTGAGGGTGTTGGAGTCCAAACTTTTTGGATGTCCTCATCTCCAGATAAATGATCTCAAGATGTTAACATCCAGTTCAGGATGTTGTCAGCCCGTCAAAATTATTTCAGGATGTCGACATCTTACGTGTAGAATGTCTTCAGACCGTGAGGATCTTAGCCTCTTGGATGGCAACTCCAGAGCTCCGTAACTATCTACCCACAAATTTAGATTTTATTATAATGGCTTGTTGCCCTTCAGAGTTTCCGTAGTATTGCGCATGGTTCATCATTGGATAGAATGGGAGACTTTTGAGACGCTGGTGGCAGCAAACACGCCTGTCCATTTTCCACTGTTTGCGTCATATTGAGCGTGCGTGCTTTAGCTTAAACATGACGTAAACAAAAGGACCGGTGTGTATGCCGCCACCAACGTCTCAAAAGTCCCATTGGCAAGTCACGTACGTACGTATGTGAGGGTTAGAGTCCACTAGAGGATTAAAAAACAAAATATTTCATATTCCAATTGGTGTATGAACATCAGTGTAAACGTATTTAGATCTGGTCCACACGAGTTAGGACAAGATGTCAAAGTCAGACCATGACAGCGATTTGGAGACGGGAGGCACGGAGGAAGAACCCCTCATCTTCTCACAAGAGAAACACAAATTGTCGACTTTGTAAGTTGCTTACTTATGGGTCACGGTTAAAATAGTAGTGTTTCCACCATTCGTGCGTATTGGTATACCGCTATCCTTTTTGCATAACTGTTATACATACATACTTGACTTTTACTCTGTACCTTACACTTTGCACAGACAACACTGTGTAAACAAACCAGTCGCTGAAATCGCAGCCTGCCACTCCGTTGAAAGGAAATCGACCGGGCATGCAAATGGTGATTAGGTCAGCGTAGGCAATTTTGGGCATTTTTAGTCTGCAAGCAACACCAAAAACGATGTCAATGACAAAGAACCATTTTTCTCCATTAAAGGTAGCTTCCATCATTTGTAATTTGTACATTATGTTCGTTTGAAGCAACAAACGTGCTAAAAATCTAAAGAAGGGTGCTGAACAACCAACCTGATGAAATTTCAGCTCAGCGTCAGCTGTATACTTTGAGAAAACAATATTCGAGGATTTCCGATGTCAAACAAAAGTTGCTAAGTCATGTTTTGAATTGCGCCCGAATAGACCTAAGACGTAATGACGTCACGCTTTGTTTACATGTGCGCTTTCCTATGAGAGCGCCCTGACGCTCCCCACCATGGATCTCATACAGTACACGATATAAATCCAACACTGCATGAATTCAGGATACAGGAAGAAAGTTTCCCATCAAGGGGTTATTATTGGAATCGAGGTTGGAAATAAAGTAACCCATGCGGACGAGGTTGCATAATCATTGCAAAGTGCCTTACCACAATTTCTTGAATTGGAGGTTATGCACCCCTTACCTAACCAGGCTGACCCCCTTTACCGACAGTTTCGTCTTTGCGTTAGGCCTATGCGTTCCTTTTTACGATAAGACGCTTTAAAGTTGCGGGGTTGGGTTTCTGCTGGTCCCAGAGGTCCAGCCAAGTGTCTTTGTGGCTCCCTTCCCCCGACTGACTGAATGACTGACTGACTGGCTGACTCCCCACTATACTATTGTATAGAGTACATCAGAAACATGACTGACTTCCAGTGAATGGCCATTTCGTATACAATGGACCAGAGTTTTGTGAGCTCTGGTCACAGTTTTGCTAGTCCTGCCTATTGTCTTGTTTCTCGTTCGTAACTCCCATTTCCACATGTTTTCCACGCCCATTGAGCCTATACCTAAGTATTGCTGTGCATACTGATCACGTCACGAATCATCAGATTAACGTCAAATACTTGATGTAAAATTCCCACTCTAATAATTGCATTGCCGTTTTCTCATCGGTAAAATGTCTGTGTTTACTTTTATCCAGAAAATCTAAACTCCTAAAATGGCGAGTGGCTTTTGCATTGCTGCTGATAGTGGCGGTGGCTGCGGGTGTGACCATGGGATTGTTGTATTACTACAAAGACACTGGAAATGAGCCAATTCAAGCCCCGCCACCGCCGAGTGGCGAGTACCAGTACGCCAAAGCTGCGGTGGCCGCCGATGCTGGAGAATGCTCAGAGATTGGCCGGTGAGTTGGCCTGTAGTAAACTGGCGAGTGTGGTAATGCGGGGAAGTTGTTTTAATATGAAAAAGGTGGCTAAAAATGGACAGTATAGACCTACATGTATATGTTTTTGGTGACCGGGTCCATTGCCAATTCCTTACGACAATCACAAGTCCTCACAAGTAAATCACAAGTCCTCACAAGTAAATCACAAGTCAATCCCAAGTTAATCACAGGTCAATCACCAGCCATGTTGTCCGAATTCAAATAAACCACAAGATGAAATGATACTGAGCCCCACCCCCTCCCCCCTCCCCCCCCCCAAAAAAAAATGTCAAAAAAATCCGCCAGGTGGGCAAAGTGCCCCCCCCCCCCCCCCCCCACTGGATACGCCACTGCCTACCCTACATAAAGACAATAATTCTTGACACATTCTGATTGGACATAAAGCACCACTGACAATCGCTCCTCATTTTAGTTCTCTATTACTGTTTATGATTTTATTATTATTTTCAGGGATATTTTGGAAGAGGGCGGCTCAGCCGTTGACGCGGCTATTGCAGCCTTGTTGTGTGTCGGTCTTCATAACTGTCAAAGTGCAGGGATCGGAGGAGGGTTCTTTATGCTGACCTACAACGCCAGGACTCGAACCGTAGACATGTTGGATGCCAGAGAGAAGGCTCCACTTGCCGCTTTTGAAAACATGTATAAAAATGAGACTGATGATGCGTCCACCTTTGGTAATGGCGGGTTTTATTTAGCTTGACAAAATTACAGAAATTATATTTTATATATTTATACGCAAAGAACTATGACTTTGTGTCTGTTTAAATATTTCTTAGATTCCATATTCGGAAAAAGTAAACTACGTGGAGGATGCTCAGCAAAACCTTATATTCTTAAATTCGACGCTTATCCGGGTCAGATGTGACCTGACACTCCTCTGAGTCACTATTGCAGTACCGTTTGACCTGAAAAATTGTCTTATTGCAATGTCACAGAGAGAAAGGGTCATTTTGACACGAAAAAAACACCTCATATTTGCACCGATGTCAGGTCCAATTTCACCCGGATCCAGGGTCGAAAATGTCTCGGGACTTTACTAGAGAACTAGCAGACAATAACCAGTCGAGGTGTGGCTTATGTGATTTGATCTTGGCCCGGTTTAAAGGCTATAGAGTGCCAACACTCTAAACGTCTTGTGCCCGATTTTGACCTAGAACATTTGACCTAGAATATTTGACCTGATACCTTTCCTGGTCAAAACGATACTGTTCCGGTTCAAAATAACCCGATATATGATACAGAAAAGTGTCATTTTCACACGAAAAAGAGTCATTTTGAATAATAAACGTGTCATTTGGACCCAGAGAAGTGTCATTTTTACCTGTCAAAGTGTCATTTTCACCCGGGAAATTGTCATTTTGACCAGGAAAAGTGTCAGGTCAAATATTCGACACGGATTCCGGGTCAATTCTGACCCAGGACTTAATAAGAGTGAAGTTTCAGCAAATGGATTATTACTTAAAGGCTCAGCAGTATTCATAGTATATACGAAATGCCAAAAAGTCGTTGTATCCCAAGTCCAAGCTCACTTTTGTTGCAATAATGGCGAATCCACGCAAAATCGAATGTTCTCTCTGATATCGTTAGTTATTTCCTTTTTCTGACTTCAGGTGGCTTGGCTATTGGTGTTCCCGGGGAGATAGCTGGCTACTGGACCGCTCACCAACGCTACGGTGTCCTACCCTGGAGGGATCTATTCCAACCTGCAATCAGATTAGCAGAGGAAGGATATGTTATAGGCAAAGCACTGGCTGGTGCCATTCTTTCTGAAGAGAGTAAAATTAAGAACGATTCAAGCCTAAGGTAGGGCCTAAATAAAAACATGACCCCTTGGGGTTTTTTCCTTCAAAAGTAGCATGAAGATTTAATAACTGTGAACGGAACAATCCACCCATCTATTCTTTCCGTTGTTTGATGCACATCACCACAATCTTAAAAACGGCTTTTCAAGGTTTCCTAAAGTGAAATAAATGCAGTTCGTTTACACTTGTTTTTGAAATTTAAACTTTTCAGGCCTATTCGCAACCTTTTAAAAAATTCTTTTCAGTGAAATTTTTGTGAACTCTGCCACGGGCGAGATTCTGAAGGAGGGAGACACGTTGATTAACACCAAACTGGCCGAGACTTACCAGAAACTAGCCGAGGGTGGAGAAGATGCCTACTATAGGGGAGAACTAACTGATGACATCGTGGCTGATATTACAGACAAAAGTGGGTATTTTACAGGCTGCTCACGCGGCGTAGTAGAACTCAGTACTCAGGTGTTATGATGCTTGCGCGCAGTGCGTATGGGCACTCGATTCATATCTCTTTTTGACAATAGGATTAAGATGTAGGCCTACGTAACAACGCGCCTAAACTTCAAGAACGCGTCTGCGCACGAGCCTCGTTTGAAACTAGTTTGTTCGCGGAGTCAGTGTAGCGACGAATGGAACAAAGATTGTCCCTTTTTCAAAATACATTTCCTTTTTTGGAAAATGGGGAATTTTGCAATTAGGCTACTTTGGGCAAATTCTTAAGAAAATTCTTAATGTCCATTGAAAAGATGTTGATGCACCTTTCTTCTGAAGCAAAACAAATCCTGCCGTTTCCGAGGAATATTGCCCCGAACGTGTGTTGATTATTATTTTCATTTCTTTTTTGTTTAACTAAAAGTGCATCATTTAATAACTAAATATCGATTTATCTTTTTTCCCCCTCTAATTATAAGATGGCGTAATTAAAAAGGAAGATCTGGAAGGATACAGTGTCCGACGAAGGACACCTCTGATGATTGAATTGGACGGTATGAAGGTGTACACGCCCCCACCGCCAGGCAGCGGCGCTGTGTATTCACTCATGATGAATATCCTTGACGGTAAGTCTCGGGATTTGGCGCCAAAATTAGAATGCGTATAGATTCCTCTCTGTCTAAATTTCATTGCTCCGTTAAAGTAGTATTTCCTTTGTCAAAGGCCTCTCTCTTGACCTAATGGGGGCACTAAAATTGCAACATTTTTTGGTATAGGCAATTTATTTCTAATATTTTCTATTAAAGTAAAGTTGCTTCTGTTTGAATATACGGCATTTTTTCTTGTTAAATAGCGTTGGTATAGCGCCCTCACTCGCTCCAAAATCACTTCTCGTTTCCTCTTTTGTAGTCTCAACTTTCCTCGTGTTATCATATCCAATCCCGTTTGGTGGCTTTAGTCTTAATATTAAAGATGTACATGTACTGTTCCTTTTACATTGTTTAATGATGTTTAATTCATGCGACTCGAGCTCAGAGCTGATCTGCTTGCGCGCGGTTGCAGACGCACGAAACAAGAAGAAAGTAGTTTTTTCATTGAAAAAGAGAAATAGGCCTAGCTTACAAGTTGAAACTTCGTTAGGAGAAACAAAACTGAACATGTTAAAGAACACGAAATGTGCATCTGCTAGTGTCGGTTTATTATTTGTGTTTATTATTCCATAATTATTGGGATGGGTTTCAGGATATGACATTGGCCCGGACAGTATAACTACCACTGAAGCCGAGATCCTAACAACTCATCGCATGGTGGAATCTTTCAAGTTCGCCTATGCAGGCCGATCATTCCTTGGAGATGAAGACTACGTGGATGTCAAAGAGGTCAGAAGATTTAATATTAAGCATTGATAATGAATTATTTGGTGAAATAATGTAAAGATAATCAGAAGCAAATTCACGTAATCACAGCAACGTAATGAGACACTGGGTCGTGTGTATACAAACTGGCATTTGTTTTTACTACCAATTTACTTGCATCTCTATGAATGAAAAGGAAGCAAATAGTTTTAATAGAAAGCACTTGGTAAAAGCTAAAAGCATTTAGTTTTTACTTTTGTAGCTTTTGCTAGACATTTTGTTTGTGTTTGCTTCGTTTGGTATGAACAAAAAGGAGTAAATGCTTCGGATTTGGAGTTTTCACAAGTCATTTATCAAAGATGGGTCGGGGCAACCTTGAAAAGAGAGAAGCAAATACAACTCTGCCAAATAGCAGCTTTTACATGTGGTTTACAGTAAAAGTTATTCACGGCGGACGGGTTGTATAAAATCAGAATACAAGCATGCAGTTCTACCGATTTGAGGAAAGCAATGTGGCGTGGGTATCCGACCATTTCGTGGAACATTCTGGGGATCAAAAAGGGTTATCAATGTCTTAATGAATCGGGGTTTTCTTGGGTTTCTATTGTCTTAAGATTGTTGCCAACATGACGTCACAGTCTTACGCAGACTCCTTACGAGCCGCTATTAGTGACGACTCCTCACACGATCCATCCTACTACGCAGGGTACTACAACCAGCCAGATAGCGGCACAGCCCACCTGTCAGTTGTCGATGGGGATGGCAACGCGGTGTCTGTAACAAGCACCATTAACACATAGTAAGTAACTTAATCTTTAATACTAAAAGTAAGAACAATATTTTATGCATTATGTAAAATTTATTCTGCACCCACTTACGACCTCGACCGACACGAACATTCTTCGGGAAATTTGGATAGTCAAGACAAAATCAGAGAAACGGTAACGTCAAACCATACGGCGACATCGACATCGTGCATGTGCTGCCAGGCTGGTCATTAGTCTGCTCCCTTTCATATTGCGCTAATTAAAAAGCGTTTACAGGTTCCAGATGTACCATTGCTCCCTCAGTCTGGCTTCCAGACGCACAATTACAAAATTAAAACACCCGTCTGCAAATGCTGCCCTACTAAATTTAGTGCAAAATATATGGAAGCCCAGAGAGGCCACATAAAGCTTATACTCGATCGTAACCCCATCTAAAAACACGTTAAAATTGTGCAGCAGAAGGATTCCAGTCAAACCAGTGAGTTTGGCGGTTTTGAGACATCATCTTATATTGAAAAAAAAACTTTTTAATTTTGCCGACGCGCATGGCCACGGCGATGCGCGCAGACCCAAAAACGGGTGACTTTTTTTGGGGCCTTACATTTTGCGGCACAAATTGAACAATCATGGTGATTAATAGTAACACATGCATGCAGGCACCGTAAATGTTAAAATCTTCAAAAAGGAACTTTGATAACTAAAGAGTGATAATTAACTAAACATAAAGATGGGTAGGTTATTGAGAACAGATAATCTAAAACGCTACATAGGCCTATTTATTATGTTGTTACCCCGGTCCGAAAATCATCCAAATTTCGAGGACTCAATAAAAATTGTGAGAAACTGTATCGCACAGGTTTCAAAGCTTTACAAATACTCGGAAAGTTAAGTTTGTCAAAATGATAAAATCCATTAGGACCTATGAAGCTTGACCTTTTGTTGACCCTTGACCTTGGCTTAATCTTATAATTGCTGCGCAGTTTGGGTTCCAAAGTTCGCGGTACTCGAACAGGGATCATCTTCAACAACGAGATGGACGACTTTTCTCAACCTGATAGGCCGAATTCTTACGGCCTCCCGCCGTCACCGAGCAATTTCATCCGGCCGGGGAAGCGGCCAATGTCTTCCATGACACCCACCATCATCGTGGATCGCGACGGGAAATTTAAACTGGTGGTTGGTGCATCGGGAGGGTCGCGTATTACAACTGGCGTTGCCCAGGTAGGCAACAATTCAATTTACTCTCTCAGCCAATGAAGACAGCTATTGATTAGCAAACCAGTTTTCGCCGGTTACAGCACTCCAGACTCAAGAACCATACAGTATTGAGTAAATAGGTCTTGGAGCTAGACAACGTAAAAAGGTCTCGGTGTAATATTGAGTAACTTGAGTTCACTTGGGGGATGCAAAAGAACGCCAGTTAAAACACAAGTTCAGTAACTTTCACCCACGAATCAAACATGGACTGGAAAAACATCGAGCAGGATGTCCACGGATATTGTAATATTTCATCGGAAGGGTTATCCATTGTTTCCTAAAACTTTTAAAAGAAGGTCGGCCTATCCCAAAGAAGTCATTTCAAAACATCTTTGAAAAGACATTTTTATATACAATAGTATTTGCACTGGTTTGATGTTTCAGGTATCAGTGGATACACTTTGGTATGGTGAGAGCATAAAAGAAGCGATCCAACGCAAACGTCTTCATCACCAATGGGTTCCCAATAATGTCACCTACGAGGCAGACTACAATCAGGTAGGACGCCCTCAACAGTCTGGTTGAGTACATGTTTTTGTGGAAAGGAATACAAGCAAGAAAAAATCGCTTTAACGAACACAAATTTAAGTTAATGTAGGCCTATGTCCAGCATTTGAAGTAGATTGCGTACATGTACCCCAAAAAACGGCTTTGAAAAATGTTGGCTTTCGTATTAATTTTATGTGATTGTCATTGGTATATGTAAAAGCGCCCTCTACAATATATACCAGTTGTTATTGTTCGTGAAATTTGACCAAACATGTTTTCCTTGCATGCACCTTGTTTTTTCTCTTTTCAGGACGTCATCGATGGTTTGAGAGAGAAGGGTAACTATCCAATGGTGTCTTCGAGTGGATGCGTAGTGCAAGGCATCCTTCGTGACGCGCAGGGATTCTTGAACGCTTACAGTGACGACCGGAAAGGAGGCTACCCGGCTGGCATCTAAACTTGACCTTTTTAATCACCCAAAGGAAGATGGTATCCCGTTTGTGCCAACTTCAGAGCTCATGTGCCACATAAAGTTTGCAATGTTTCACCTAGTTGCTCGTGCAAAAGGAATACATGTACATGCCGTGAGGGGCCCGGTTGTCGCCCACACTCCCATTTTATGCCTTCTCCCACTATGACCTCTTGGTGGCGCTGTGTACATGTATTGTGAATCGCTCCTTATGCACACATCAGTATTTTAATTTCTACAGGCACAAATGAAGAATACCAGACCTAAGAAAATCAGTAAAATATACTCCAAGGCCATATACATATAACATAAAAGGGTATTGTTTTCTTCCTATGACGACCACGCCTAAGGGCAGTACTGAGGTCCATTATCATTTTTTAAATCCTTCGACTACATTTAATTGTAAAATAGAGCAATAAACGTCACAGACACACTTCTTCAAAGACCAGTTTAGAGCCGGGAACCTTCAGGTGCCACAAAATTATTAATTGAAAAGAGAAATATTGACAGTATACAAATCGTGAAGTTGGATAGCTTAGCAATACTGGACCTATTTACTGGGCTGCAACCTAAAAATCAGGGCCCAATTTCATGGCGCTGCTAAGCAGACGATTTTCTGCTAACTGAGCCTCCGTGTACACTGACCGTGACGGTACATAAATAAATCTCCATTCGCGGGCCAAAGTTAGCACATCCGCGCCATGAAATTCATGAAGTAGTAAGGTTATCACAATTATTGTCTGATATGGTAAGTATAACTTTTCTGCTTACTGGTAAGCAGCGCCATGAAATTGGGCCAACACCTTTGGAGATATGATGGTGGGCGCAATATATATATAGTTGAGCTCACAATAATTTTATAGTAGGGCCTAATACTTTTTTATCTGTAAGCGTCATTTTATGTTTTGGATGTTATTTAAGATCTTATTTAATGTGTTTTGTGATTATATACTCACCATTTCTTATTCACTTCCTAATCCTCATACCATCTCTCTTACTCCCCAATGCTCCCCTCCAACCTTATCCCTAGCCCCAACATTATGCCTCCAACTCCCTTATCATGTTTAAGTTACAGTTTTCTGGATTTGTCGTGTTTTTATACTTGTCTGACTGCTTATAGTTTTTACAATATTGATTTCGTTGTAAGTTTGCTTAAGATGACTTCATGTATATTATTGCTATTGTAACAATGACTGTTATTTAGCCTTCTGGCTGTCGTGTTTTATTTTCAATGAAATATTTTTAAAAAATGAATAATAACATAATATAATACATTTGCGGGGTGAATATACAAGAGAGGTCACCCACTGAAAAAAGGCGCTCTCTCTTGCCCACAATATTTCAAGGCGAATATGGACCTATTATAAGTAGCAGCCATCAAGGCAATACATTTGTCTTACTGTGACATACCAGCAATTAACCTTTTAAGCACTCATTGTTTCTAAGTTAAAATAACAAAGGATGCCTTGGGAGACAGGTGTTTTTACCAATTAATCTGAATGAATAAAGTATTATTCCATCCTGTATGCTCATTGTCTCTGTCCCTTTGTCAGATTCATTCTGTTGTGTCTCATTCAGTGCACATCACTGGAGTTCGTTTCATTCCCTTTAACGCGTTTCTATCATTCCGTTCCCCTGTGAGCGTCCTTCATTTGTCTACTACGGAAGCGTAGAAGTAAGGAAGCCGCCATTTTAACGATGTTGTGATGATAATTACCTGAGGATGTTGGAGTTCAAACTCTTTGGATGTCGTCCTCCCCTGATAAATGATCTCAACTCGAGATGTTAACATCCAGTTCAGGATGTTGTCAGCCCGTCAAAAAAATTTCAGGATGTGAACATCTTACGTGTAAAAAGTCTTCAGCCCGTGAGGATCATAGCATCTTGGATGGCAACTCCAGAGCTCCGTAACTATCTACCCACAAATTTAGATTTTATTAATTGCTTGTGGCCCTTCAGAGTTTCTGTAGTATTGCGCATGGTTTATCAGTAGACAGAATGGGAGACTTTTGAGACGCTGGTGGCAGCAAACACGCCTGTCCATTTTCCACTATTTGCGTCATATTCAAAAGTCCCATAGGCAAGTCTTTCGCTAGTACCCCCCACCCGGCAAACAGGACGCTGGGATACTCTGATGAATTCACGCTCTGATTGGTTGGATTTTGCATGACCAGTGACCTGCGCGTCATCAAGGTCATGATTCTGCATAGTTCGAAACGGCCGTTAAGACTGATTCATTACTCTTTTATTCCAGTTTAGAGATGTTTTTCTCGTTGAAAAAGCGTAATAATGTAGGAAATTCTATAAAACTTATCTGTGTTGTAAATTTACAATTCCCGTTACTCGCTCAGGCTCCATTTCGAATCACGAACGGTCGGATTGCATTATGCGACGCTCAAAATTGTGTCCACATGGTCCGTAATGAAACAGAAATCACATCCGGTAAGGAATGCGCGCAATTCTTTGGAAAGTTTCGGATAGCATTTGAGCACATTGTCTAAATGCGGTCTTGAACAGCTGCAGCCAGATGCTTTATACATAGGTCATAGGCCATTTCCTTCACAAGATTCTGTGAAGCTCATCAGAGTATCCCAGCGTCCTGTTTGCAGGGCGGGGGGTATGAGCGAAAGGCAAGTCACGTACGTACGTATGTCATGTATGTGATTGTGAGGGTTAGAGTCACTAGAGGATGGAACAAAAACAAAATATATCGTGTTTGAACATCAGTGTAAACGTATTAGATCCAGTCCACACGAGTTAGGACAAGATGTCAAAGTTAGACCCTGACAGCGATTTGGAGACGGGGGGCACGGAGGACGAGGACTATTACTACAAAGACACTGGCAATGAGCCAATTCAAGCCCCGCCACAGCCGAGTGGCGAGTACCAGTATGCCAAAGCTGCGGTGGTCGCCGATGTTGGAGAATGCTCAGAGATTGGCAGGTGAGTTGGCCTGTAAACTGGCCAGTGTGGTAATGCGGGGAAGTTTGGTAAGGGCTGGAAATGGACGGTACAGGTCTACATATTTTCATAAGTGGTGTGACCGGGTCCATCGCAAATTCTCACAAGTCAATCACAAGTCAATCACAAGTCAATCACAAGTCAATCACAAGTCAATCACAAGTTAATCATAAGTCAATCCCACGTCAATCACAGGTCAATCACAAGCCATGTTGCCCGAATTCAAATAAATCACAAGATGAAATGATACTGAACAGTGGCGTAAATCTGTGCCGGCGAGAAGGGGGATGGGGATGACCAGAATCCTAAAATTGCCCGGCCGTGGTAATTCGAAAGCGGGGGAGGGGGGGGGGGGGCTGGACACTACATTTCACTAGGGGTGCTCTTCGGGATATAGATGTATATTCGTGCTAACATCAGAACAGCGCATTTTAAAAGCTTTTGTACTTTTTTCTCCATTTTTAATGCTATTGAATACATTTGGGTGGTTGGGATGTTAGAAAAATACCTCAAAATCCGAGTTTTGTTTTTCCCAAGTTAGTGGGGGATGATTCAAAAGCCCATCCCCCTGGTCTAAAAGTAGGGGTCCCCCCCACCCCCCCCCCCCCCCCCCCATGGGTTGTACACGCCGGATACTGAGGCACCCCCCTCCCCTTATTCTTGTTTTTCCACTGTTATTTGTAACCAGAGTTGTGATGGATTTGACTACAACATTGCAGGATGGACATTAGAAAGTATGGGCACAGAAATAATTTGAATATGGCCAGTTTATACTCAGCCAACATAAAGACAATAATTCTGTTCACACATTGTGATGGGACATAGCGCATCACTGTCAATCGCTCCTCATTTTAGTTCTTTAATACTGTTTATGATTTTATTATTATTTTTAGGGATATATTGGAAAAGGGCGGCTCAGCCGTTGACGCGGCTATTGCAGCCTTGTTGTGTGTCAGTCTTCATAACTGTCACAGTGCAGGGATCGGAGGAGGGTTCTTTATGCTGACCTACAACGCCAGGACTCGAACCGTAGACATGTTGGATGCCAGAGAGAAGGCTCCACTTGCCGCTTTTGAAAACATGTATAAAAATGAGACTGATGATGCGTCCACCTTTGGTAATTGCGGGTTTTTTCTTTAGCTTGACAAAATTTCAGAAATGCATATTTTATATATTTGTACGAAAAGAAAGTTCACTTTGTTACAGTTTTACTGTTTCCTAGAGTCCTGGGTCCAATTCGAGCCAAATCCGAGTCAAATTTGATCTGACACTTTCCATGTCTCGATGACACTCCTCTGAGTCAGTTGACCCGAAAATTGTCATATTGACACAGAAAAAAAGGTGTCATTTTGACAAGAAAAAAGTTATTTTCCCCGATGTCATGTCCAATTTGACCCGGATCAGAAATCGACCCGGTCGACCCCGTTTGAACTTGGCCCATTTTTAAGGTTGAGGGGCCTTTGAGTCCCAACACTCTAAACGTCCCGTGTCAGAATGTGACCCGAAATCTGGATCATATTCGTGTAAGAACTTGACCCGGAATCCGGATCACATTCGTGTCAAGTGACCCGGTATGTGATACGGAAAAGTGTCATTTTGACCCGGAAAAGAATCATCGTGACCCGGAAAAGTGTCATTGTGACCCAGAAAAGTGTCAGTGTGGCGCGGAAAAGTGTCATTGTAACCCGGAACAGTGTCACTGTGACCCGGAAAAGTGTCATCGTGACCGGGAAAAGTGTCATTTTGACCTGGAAAAGTATCAGGTCAAATATTTCACCCGGATTCTATGTCAAAATCTGACTCCGGACTTTTCAGAGTGAAATGCATTATTACATAACAGGTAAGCACTATTCATAGTATTCGATGCCAAAAAGTCTTTGTAGCTCAAGTCCAAGCTCACTTTTGTTCCAATACGGCGAATCAACGCAAAATGGAATGCACTCTGAGATCGTTAGTTATATCCTTTTTCCAACTACAGGTGGTTTGTCTGTCGGTGTTCCCGGGAGATAGCTGGCTACTGGACCGCTCATCAACGCTACGGTGTCTTACCCTGGAGGGATCTATTCCAACCTGCAATCAGATTAGCAGAGGAAGGATA